GCTCGTATCTTTCCGCTCCCGCGTATAACACCACTGCGGGATCTCCGGAAGATGGCTGGTGATAATTTGGCCAACAATGTGCCAAGATCAAGTGCCCGCCGAAAAAGAGCGGGCAGGTCGTTGGAGCAGCCACGATCCTTTCACCACTCTGAAATCATTTCAGCGCTTCTCATGCGCCATCTCCAATCAAGACATGTCAAATCGCATCCATCTCCATCCCAGAGGCCGGCACCAGCTGAGACGGTGGTTGAAAGTACGACACGTGGAGATCAAGTCACTGAGAGGCCCCCGCCCCTCGATTAAAGCATGATGCGTCGTCGGCCAATCGTTACTCGTTGTTGCCCAATTCCAAGACCAAACTTGACGGGAAAAGCGGTGGGGGAATCAAGTTTTTGCTGGACTGGAAACCTCCAACATTCTGGATGTTTGAATCATGTTACGAGTGCATGGTGGGTGCTGTCGTGAGAACGGCCGACGCGACAGAAATGCGCCAAGTTGGGAATTCATGTTGAACCAGAAGTAAGCGTCAGCCAAGCACAGCGGAATGAAAGGTCTAATGAGGGCATTCGTAGACCTTGAATAGCTGAAGACAGGGTTGTCTCTTGATGTTGGAGGGAAATGGTGTGTGGGCCGCTTGGGGGCAGGTCCAGAAAAGTCCCGAAAGGGGTGCTTCGTAGGTGCATTTTCGCAATCGCAAATGGAAGGTGCAATGACACCACGGGGCACTTGCTTTCTTTGCGAAAGCGCGCCGACCACCTCTTGATTGCCTCAGAAGGGTCCAATCGAGACTTGGGTCTATGGGGACTTTTTTTTCTCTCTAGCAACACCAGCCTCCTCTTGCTCCCTTTTACCACCTACGGATACTACTGCTCGCGCAAGTCTCTCTGTTACGCGCCGTAAACTGCGCATCATTTCGCTGTCCGTTTCCTGAAACTCCCCTGCAGATGCCAGCCTATCAACCTTAAATCACAAGCTGCGATCGCTGGTGGCTTTCTCGGCCGCTGCGCCACTTCTTGGTCTTTGTCTCCTGGGGTTACACCTACGTCAAACGACACGAGATTTTGCATTGGCACCAAGAATACCAAGAGTCAAAACTCTCACACGACTTGTTCCTCTCCTCCTTTTTTCCCTCTCCGATCGACCGGTTGATACCTGAAAACCCGATCCCCGCCGCTTGCGCTCCTTCGCGACGTCCTCGTCTTTCTCGAGACCCCCGTTCGCGAATTCGAGATCCTTGCGATCTTCTCCCCGAGACAGACACGGCAGCTCTGAAACCTTGCCCGCCAACCTTCATGATCGAGTCGCCCACACCTCGAGAACCCATTACCCGATTTTCTCTCTTCTACGGCCTCTCGATATAAGAGTCTTTCGAAATAACCACTTTGGTGTCGCGAAATCTACCCCGGGCGGGATCGCCCGCCATCCCGCTTCATCCGGCCCCCTAACGACCCGTTGCCGTTCGAAATGTTCGCGACTCGACGGCCCGCAAGGGCTTTGGTGGCCTTGCTCTCTGCCATCAGTCTCGTCCCAACAGTTTGCGCCCAGGATCCGGTCCTCATCAACGGGACAGATGCCGATGGTGTCTATCGTGACGATCTCGATGTTAGTCGAACTCCGGCTCTATACACGGGCGACTTTGGCGACTGTTTGAGTGGTGGAAGTTTGTTCAATGTTACCGCTTTCGATGCTGCGTATTATGCCGACAACCTCACGGTATCTTTTCACTTATACGGAAGCTCCAATATCCGTCGTGAAAATGTCATGAGTATGTATGGGGAATTCGTCTAAGCCAACCTAGCTAACCGGGCTATAGTGCACCTTTCTATCGAAGTATACGGTGAAGAGAGATTCAACAAAACTTACGATCCATGCAAGTCCAACGTTACGAGCCTCTGCCCACTCGAGGCTGGCGAAGGCATTCAAGCATATATCGCTACCGAGATCTCCCCCGACGACATTGCTGGCATCCCATCTATCGCCTTGAACATTCCCGATTTGGAGGGCTTTGCCCGTCTGCGGATTTTTGCCAACTCGACACAGACCGAGATAGGTTGTTTTCAGGCCACCATGAGTAACGGACAAAGCTTCTCTCAGCCGGAGTATGTGGGAAGTATTGTGGGTGTCTTTGTCTTCGCCGCCGCCTTGGCTTCTTTTGCGACGGCCATCTACGGTCTCCAGATTCCGCACATGAGGATGCACTACGCTCACTCTTTCTCGATTTTGGTCATCTTTGAAACATTCCAGTCCATCTTCTTTTCAGGAGCACTCTCGGTTGACTGGCCTACCGTTCTGCCTGCCTGGTGGAGCAACTTTGCATGGACTGCTGGCATGTTTGCGAGCGACAGCATGGTTGATGCCATCAGCCCCTTTGCCGGTGTCACCGGAAACGCTAGCCAAGTTGGCTCTGCGGGATCGGTTCCCATCAATAACGGAGGTGGACTGAAACAGCAGATTTACGGTCGATCACTTATACGCCGGTCACTGCATGTTGATGATGTCCTTCAGTCTCTTGCTAAGCGCAATGAGTTCAACGCGAGTGATCCATATGATTATACTTGGGCAGGAAAGCCACGAAATCCCGGGATGCCCCTCCCAGGTGATTACGGTGGTTTCGCAGGCACGCTTTCTCGTATCAACATTCCCCTGTACGACGCGTTCATCGTCGGTCTGATTTGGCTTTGTGTTATACTGGCAGCTGTTGCCATCTTCGTTGTAACAGCCAAGCTGCTCCTCGACTTGTCTCGCAAGATGAAGTTGATCAAGTCTGATGGGTTCGACTTTTTCCGTTCGCACTGGCTTGGATACATGGTGGCAGGTCTGCTGCGAACACTCTTCATTGCCTTCTTCACCATGATGACACTGACCACGTACCAATTCACTTTGGGTGCGCCTGCAGGTCCGAAAGCTATTGCCGCCGTCATCTTCGCCATGTTCCTTGGACTTGCTGCACTCGCGGCCTATGCTTGTGCCGTTAGATTGCGCGAGGGCAAGTATCAAGTTGTTTCCGACTCGATCCGCTTTGAGGAAGGAAAACTGTTCAAGAAGGTGCCTTTCATTGCAGCAACACTAGAGAGTTCGATTGGCGAGGAGGAGCAGGCCCAGAAGCCTCGACTCTTTGGCAGCATGGCAGTTCGACGCATCAAGTTCACCGACAACGATCCCAACCGAGTGAATGTACACCAAGACGCAGGCTACATCAAGCGCTTTGGATGGCTCTCGGCGAGATATCGACGCACACGATGGTGGTTCTTTGCTGTCTATCTTGCCTACCAGTTCATTCGAGCGTGCTTTATCGGTGGAGGTCGAGGAAACCCGTTGGCTCAGGTCTACGGACTCTTTGTCTTTGAGATACTCGCCCTGGTTGCCGTTATCAAGATGAAGCCTTTTGAGGGATCTCGCAACACCACGGCGGCGATCTGGCTGTTGTCGATCTCCAAAATTATCACCACTGGCTTCTCGATTGCCCTTCTGCCTTCGTTCAATCTCAGTCGTATCGTTGCGACAGTCTTTGGCATGATCATCATTGTGGTCCAAGCCTTCCTGGCCGTTGCGATTCTGGTCTTGATTGCCCTGGGCATGATTTCGACGTGGATGTCTCTGTCTCGCAACCGCGAAGAGTTTCCCAAGGATCTCGACCCGATTCGAGTCCGATACTTTGAGCACATGGAAGTCCGAGCCAGGGACTTGCCCAAGTCGAAGGGAGTCGAGGTGATCCCAGAGCCTCCCAAGCCTACTTTTAGAGTCAACAGTGTTCGACGCGAGCGAAAGGTGGTTGAAGACAACTCATTCCCGATGCTCGAAGGAACAGGAGGCGACGTCCCAGATCATCCAATGCACCCGCTCAACCGGCGGAGTCGGGCAAACAGCGCCAGCTCTCGACACTCTGTTAACAGCCTGCCTCGCTCTGGACGCACCCACCGTGCTTCATGGAGCTCAAAGGACTTTGCGGAGTGGGATGCTGAGATGAACCGAGGAGATACGGCACGGGTCAGCCGCATGAGGAGTAGCTCTCTGCGTATGCAGGCAGCGAGGTATTCCGTGTCTCGACCACCGATGACACCAACCCGGGAGTCAGCCGAGTTCCCTCGCATGAGCGTCAACTTGATGGGATCCGAGGATAAGGAGGTGATTGCCGAGGACAAGACTGAGGAGACGACCGACACACCGAAAAGGAGGAAGAGGACTGTGAGCTGGGCCGACCAAACAACGGTACCTAGCTCTTCCGATTCTTCAGACAACACAAGCAAGGACAACACTATTCAAGAGAAGGAGGAACCAAAGAAGAGCCAAGACGACGAGGTCAAGGCCAAAATCGAGCCATGAGCAAATCGTGACTCGTTGAGCGACGGCCCTTGCATTTCATTTTAGACACGGCCTCATTGCTCATTTATTCGCACCGCATTTTGGAGTTTTTTATTACGACTAGGCGAGGGGTTGGCATTTGATTCAGCAAGCAAGCAAGCAAGCATCAACGACGGGATTTGAAAAAGTAAGCATTTTGTAAATACACGGCATGTTCCCGTCTCCCTGCCAGGCCAGGCGAGGTGGATTTTGTTTTCTTTCGTTACCCAGGTACCTTACCTACCTACACTGAGATGTGACATGACGAGACGCAAGAATATAGAGAACCTGGCCGGATTTGGCGGCTGGGGAGTTTGATGTTTGGATGCTGGAGATTGGCCACAGATATGTAGATAGTTTATTGAACCATTTGAACAGAGCATGTGCGCAATAATTAGTTGACTGGGATGGATCAGCTTGTTGAGTGTGGGTGACCCTGCTCAACACCCTATACTTGCCCTCTTGTAGAATCTTGGTGAAACAAGACGAGGGATCATGAGGTTAAAGTCGGGTCCTGAGACCAAGGTTGATGACATTGAGGTTTCATCCCGATTCAGCAACTACCCTGCGTGTGATATTCATCTCATGTTTGAACTGATTCAAACGCTCACCACATTTAACCAGAATCCTTCGCAGCTGACTTGAGCATCAACGCCAACATGGCATGCGACTTGGTCAAGGGAACTAGATTGGACTTGGTGTCATTATCACGATCCATGCTCAAGAGTGTGAGCGCGAGGAGTCAAACAAGAACAGTTCGTCATTGAAGCAATTGCCATTTTGGTCTACGTAGTCACTGAAGTTCTGTAGTTGGTGACGAACCAGAGCAAACGAACAACTGTTATTGAGAACGCTTCTGGAAAGAAGCCATCCAAGAGAATGCCACGTAACAATGGACTATATGCTGCGCTGCAAACACTGGGCTTTCATCTATTGTCCTAAATGGTATCTCAATGAATCGTTTGAGTCTCACCAGAAGCCATTGCACTCATCCAGATGACCCCAAGAGAAGAAACAGAACTTGTCAACTCTTCCCGCCTCAGCCCTTGAGAAGCTTGAGTTCGTCAACACATTCCCGAATAGCATCATCAACAGCACTCTCGAGAATCCAACAGACCCCCCACAATGGCCCCAGATCCTATGACCGATGAGATGAAGGAGGATATCCGTCGTATGACGGAGACCCTGACCAACCAGTCCACCATTGAGCTGCTTACCCGAGCCGGGAACCAAGCCAAGTACAATCGGTGGGACCTGAAGGAGCGAAAGAAGGCTCGGGAGGAGGCCATGGCACGAGCTGAAAACGACGGCAATGCCGGGGACTACGAAGAGGATGTCACTCGAGACACAGAAGCCAGTGTTGCCGACACCACTGGCATCAACGAGGCCAACGTCACGGATGCCGGCGCCAACGAGACCAATGCCACTGACGTCTCCGAGGCAAAGAGCAAGGTCACAACCAAGGTCACAACCAAGGTCACAACCAAGGTCAAGGATGTCGTTTCCCGCGTCACAAAGGCAATGAACCGCTTGAGCATGACCAAGAAGGGAGCTGGTGACAAGACGGCCGCAGACGACAAGGGCAAGTCTGGCCACGGCAGCAAGCAGGGTGACAACAAGGCTTGATCACCTGGATGAAGTTGCAAGCCAAGAACATGCACTGTTCTCTTCCTTTTCTTTCTTTTTTCTTTTGTTACTATCTGCAGAGGTAAGTGTTTGCTTTTCTCTGAACGAGGCCCCGACTAATGGACGCTTGCAGCAGCAGCAGCAGCACCATTACAGGAGCAGCAGCATGACTGCAGCAGCAGCGCGATTGCAGCAGAAGGGTGATTGCAGCATCATCTCCGCCATGGAGCGGACAGAAAGGCAAGCGGTGGCGTTCAAGGAGGGTATCGTCAGTGGAATTACTCAACATGTAACAGGGACGGGGCAAGGATCAAGGCGTGATGGGACGATACTGCAGAAAACACATCATTAATCTTTTTTGGAATCGATCGATTAGTTCTCAACAAATGAGAGCTTGCTACTACCCTACCCCAAGATGCCAAGTCTGTGAACACCTCATCTCATCTTGTTTGCTCTACAGCCCCTGCAAGGGATGTAATGCCCTCGTGTGCAGTTTGAGCAGCGGGCTACCTAATCCGACACTCGACATACCCGTTGCCTGCCTCGAGATCTCGCTCTCACCGGTCAAACGAACGAAAAAAAAAGATATGCGGGGAGACGGGCACCCACGTTTTTTTGAGGCCCCAAGTGAGACATATGCAACCTGGGGCTGGCTGTTGCTGCAAACACCCGTTTGCAACCCACCTCACCAGCCCATGCAGGCTGTCCTCTTTTTTTGCGTTGAAGATGGAGGGGTGAGCAAATCTTGTAGATCCAATCTCACGATCGGAGAGATGCAGATTTATCATGCAGGCTCTGGGAAACAAAAGAGTACGTCTTTGTACTGTGTACTATACCTTTGTATCTTGTCGAGGCGTTCATGTCTCAGTGCCGTGTGCGTGTTTGTCCCCCAACCGGGTTGCCGGCATATGTAGGAGTTCACCGGAAGCTTGATCCCGGAGATTTCGATCTAGGTTGCGTTGTATTGCAGCAAGGCTAGGGCTGTGTACCCGGGTCTAGAGTATACTACCTTGTTTAAACATGGCTGACATGGAGAAACCTCAGTCGTGCACTTTGTAGCATAACCTGTCAAGCCTGTTGTCGTACAGCTTCAAGTAGCAAGTAGTCACGTCACAATCACATAGTATTCTACACACTCCCCTCCTCTCGAGTCGAGTGCAGCCACTCGTCGAGGACTCTGCCGTGTCTGCATCTACCCGTAGCGTCCTGCACCTTGAAGAATCTGGGAGGTACTGGTTTTTTTTGTGAGGGGTCAGGACACGGCTCGAGATTTTTGTTTGTCCCCCCCCCCCTTTGACGGGGAAAAAAAAAAGCAAAATACAAGGGTTGCAAAATCGGTGGCGTTCTTTCAACGACTGTCGAGTACGATCGGCAAAGATACCAAGCCCTAGCACCACACAGTATACTTGATGACGAGGTGTTAGATTTGCTTCTTTTCATAGCCCCCGTGTTCCCGAGAGTCATCAGTCGACGTGGCGCCGCCAACGACTACGGGTTGGTCTTCAGGCAGCGACACTAATGCTAGCTGCCGTGTGGGAAAACGGTTCGAGACAAGAGAAACCGAGACAAGAGATTATGTAGGTCTTTTTTTTGTGTTTGTTTGCTCGCTATGACTCTGAGCTTGATGGATGGGTGCATCGGCCAGTCTCAGATGTCATCACGAGATTGGTTCTCGATCTGTAGCAACTCCTTTTCAGATACTGGACGAGTCCTCGCTGTACTACGTTGATAAATGGAACCTCTTTGACTCTATCCTCTCTTCTTTCTTCAGACTCTTTTGTCCTTCCCCAGATCTCTTCCACAACTTATCTGTCCCATCTTCATCTGTCCTTTTCCACAGTCACACACACACACACACACACACGCACACATACCCCTGAACAACACTTCAACACTTCAACAATGTCTCAAGTCAACTTCCTCTTCGAGTACCCTTCCGTCGGTCGCGACGTAGTCTCTCAGTCTGCCCCCGGTGTCAACGGCCCAACTTACGGCCCTGACCCGGAAGTCCATCCTTACGAGGACGACTCGGGTAGTGACAGTGAAGACTACGAAAGCGAAGCCGATGATGAGGAAGAGGAGGAGAAGCCTGAGGAGCCCGAGCTTGATTGGCATCCTCATGCTATCAACTTCCTCGCTCAAATTCCTCCGGATGACGCTGCCTGGTCTAGTTACCTCCCACGCAATGGAGCTGTGAACTCTCTGTGCCACCGTCTCCGAATCCCCTTTCTCTTCCCCGGCATCAGGGGTAACATGGACTGGGAGAGGTTCTTTGCAGAGTGCAAATGGCATCTCGCCCGGGCATGCAACAACCCTCCCCTGGCGTCACTCTTCACTCTGGTCTTCATTGCTGCGTGCCACATCGCCGCGGCCGACGGCTTGCCCCGCGCGATTTGCCTCAATGGGATGAGGGAGTGCGTCAGGCAGTGCGGAATCTGGGAGTACGAGCTCACGGACCCCATGATTGACAGGCTCCGAGAAGGTGCCGTCAAGGGCATCTGGATCCTCAACGAGTACACCAGGACCGTTGGGGTTCGCGCTCACGAGATCCCCCTGTTCAGTAGGTTTCCCCTTCATCCGGATCTGTGATCATGTATCTGAATGTTTGAACAGCTTCTGACTGTCTGCAGCTGTTCCTGCGATGTACTCCGGCGTGTATAACCTATGTCAAAGGTCGTATCCCGTTTACATACCGGCCAACCACGCCGCTGCATTCCGAGTGCCTCGAGACCCCATCCATGGTGTACAGTATGTTAGGAGGGCCTAAGTCGAAGTTTCAGTAAGTCCTGTCCAAACCCCGCAGCATAACCCTTTTACTAACAAACTGTCACCAGGTATCAAGAAATCTGCCAGATCCTGCAACCCGAGGGAGTGCCGCTGCCTCTGTACAAGGACATCTGTATGGCCGATGTCATGGAGTATGATGAGGATGAGAGTGATGAGGAGGACATGGATGATTATGATGGGCTTGTTTGTGATTTCAAGTATCAGTACGCGTGTTCGTGGCCGCATCCGATGGGCTTGTTCAGGAAAGACAGCTCCAAGGGTTTCAAGCCTCCGTTGTCTTTGTGATTTGGGTAAAATTGTTTTGAGATTCGGAGTGTGTGTATTCAGATTGTTTCATCAATAATATGAGTTTGTTCTTTCAACCATGACAAGATGAGTGCCGAGTGTGAAAGCCTACTGCATGTTCTGGCTCTTCTACACCTCCGGAGGCATACCAGCCGAGGAGGGCATGCCTCTGCTAGACTACCCGGGTACCACGATACCCTATTAGATCAAGAGTGGCGATACGTGCGAGGAGAATGCGGAGATCTCTTGTGATGCCCTTAAGCCTGAGCATCGGATTTGCCTGCCTAATAATGGCACCAAGGACATAGGATCAGTGGGGGGCCCGGGGGCAAGGACGAGGAGGAGGCCCTGCTCTCCTGATGTGATGCCCTGCCCTTCACTGCTGCACTGTCACCTTGTTGATCATATTACTCCCGTTCTCATGGTGCCAGGTGGACTGAAAAAACACCGCCGCTGTCCCCATACCATTTTGGTGCCAGTACCGGCGGCGTTCTTTTCAGACCACCTGGGTGCCAAGGAGAGTGTGAGACATGGGGGCAGACACAATCTTCAACGCAAAGACGGCATTTCAACGGGGTATCCCGAGACACACTAACTGAGAATGAGGCCCCCACGCGGGTGAAAGAAAACAGGGCCCGTCCTCACGTACAATTTGTATGGGGCGGGCGGCCTTGTAATCTTTCACCCGCGTGGCCCCTTATCGAGGACTCGTTCCCAGCATGTCTTGGTTGATTCAAGGGACATCAACTGTATGATACCGGTGTCTATTTGGTAGCAAACAACTGATCCCATATGTTAGTGCCATAAGATGCCTCGGGAATATTGGGATAATGAGACGAGAGAATCGGACGAGCAGTTCAGTCGGGACACTTCAATCTCATGGTAAAGACATACGAGCTCAAACGTCAAACAAGTGTATTCAAAGTAGGTAACGACAGACTATGTATCCCTTTCAAACTCATAACCAAGACCAAGCAACCAAACCGTAGTGCATCCAAAGTAGGTAACGACAGACTGAATATCACTTTCAAACACATAACCAAGAACCAAGAACCAAGGACCAAGCAACCAAACCGTAGTGCATCCCATGGAGGTAACGACAGACACTGTACATCCCTTTCAAACTCACAACCAAAAACCAAGCGACCAAACCGTAGTGCCCCTATTGCCAAAGCCCAAGCATCAAAAACTCCACGTATCCAAATCAAGGGACATACACCTCCCACCCCCTGATCTGTGGGACCGCAAGCTTATAAAGCATGATGTAGATGAAGCGAACGCTTCCATTGCCAGTGAACCGCATGCCCATCTCGTTCAGAAAGAGGACAGTGTCGGCATGCCAGTAGGCGGTAATGACATAGTCTGTTCCCCGGGGGAGGAGCTCGATGGGCGCCTTGTAGGCGCCCAGAGGCATCAGGAGCCCGATGGTATCTGGGCTAGGCCAAATAGTGCAGCCTGCCTCGAGACGAAAGGCCTCCGGGTGGAAGAAGGGTTGGGTGATGTCCTTGATGACGGCGTTGTTGCTTGAGGACCAGGACAAAAGGGGGTTGTACTATGCGTTCATGTTAGACTTGTTGGCAAATGCAAAAGTTGAGAAGACTTACCATCCCGCGCAAGACAGCTTTGACCACGGCCTCACAAGATGGAGGTAGTCCGTAAGAAAAAAGTCTGACCTTCTTCTCCCAGGGGGTGAGACACATGAGCTCGCCGATCGCCTCTCTCTGCAAGACTCGAGTGTACAGGTCGTACTCGAAGACGGCGAACCGGGGATCCATGGCCATGGTGTCGGTAAGGTATTGTGGGACAAAGTTTTGGTGAGATGTGTGTTGGGTAAGGGGTTGTGGAGCAGAGTGCTGGTCGAGTGTTGGTCGAGATGTGTGTTGAAGTGATGAGATGCTGTGAAACTGATGCTGTGGTGGATGATGTGAAGATGAACGGACTTGGAAGCCCTTTTTATGATTCATCGGACAGGTGAAAGCCGTGCAACAAGAACATTGACACTCTTACAGCCTGAGCAGAGACAGTATCGTTTGCTTGCTTCGTTCCATCTTCACATTGACGATGCATAAGCTACTGCCAAACGCCGATACCCCTTCAAACTCGACTGACTCCTACCTGAGAAAGCAAGCAAATAACCGGTAATCATTCCGGTACAATGCATTAGTCCATTATTTGCCCGGTGAAGACCCCGGCTCTCTCGTCGCGGAAGCAGGATCCGGAGACAACCCCCATAGGCAGCAAACGGAAGCTCGCAGGACACGATACACCGGAGGTTCCTCCTATCTTGCCGCCATTCGTTCTTCCCATGTTTGCTCTCCTTGATGCTGCATTGGTGCTGAATTGATCAACACGGGCTGAGCTGCAAGCTTCCGTCGAAAACCATGGCTTGGCTGAGGCCTCAAACGGACAAGAAAGAAGGGGGGGGAAACTGTGTAGTCGCCAGTTACAAGTTGACAAAGTCATATCCAGAGGGTTGCCGTTCCTGTGACACCACACGCACATACATACATTAGCAAGGCTGGCGTTTGCAAACATACATACAGTTATTCATGCAGGCTACGACGGTCCGTGGGTTGTCGAACGCCAAGCTGGAGCGGGACAGAAAAGAAAAAAGTGATACATCAGGTCATCGTCAACCCGCTCGCTGGTTTGCGTTGGACTTGTCAACTGGCTGCAGTAGCGTATCGAATTCTCTTCAAGAAAAAAAGCCACAGCTTATCTTTGCCTGGGTCTAGCCCCAGAGCCCGATCCAGAGGATGCTGCAGAGGGGGGGGCCAATGCATGAAGCAAACAGAGATATCGTCACATTGGATCTCGCACACCCTGGCAAGAGGGAACATGGCATGGGGGAGAAAAGAGGCGTAAAGGGGGGCATGACTCTTTGCATCTGCCGTGCGACAGACATAAACGGATTGAGTGGTTTTTTTTCTCTCAACGTAGTTTGTGTTTCAATGCGATCGACTGTGGTATCTTTTTTGAGGCTTGCAGTTGTCAACTAGTTTCTCACACTGTCAACGTTGTCCATCAATCTACATCTGCATCGCCCCCAAGATGTGATATGCGAGAGCCCGGTGAATCCCACGCTGCCAAACGAAACAGATACCCACAACCCTTTTTTCAGCTTGCATCTTTCTCCTTTGGCGTTGCAGCGTCAGGACGCCACGATCCCCGTCTCCTTTCGCAATCTCCCAGATCAGTGACCTCTTGGCATCGACTTGACCAGCTTGACAACATTGTTGTAGTAACCCCCAACTCCTCCGTACTTGTGCAGCACCCCAGCAATGTCCACCTCGTCGAGATCCTTGGTTCTCGTTCGTCCCAGCAGCCCCGTGTTTCTCGTGCTGGGGATCCTCAGCATCTCCGTTTCCACCTTCCACCCGCAGTCCTCGGCGATCAGAGTCACCCAGTCGACTAGCGACGCAAACATGGACTTGCCCTTGGTCTTGTCGCGGGGCGGAGGGGCTCGCCACCTGTCGCCCGTGAGGTTGTGGCTGCAGCACGGGATCATGATGAAGGGGCAAGCCGAGATGGCGGCGAGGATGGGTGTCCAGGGCGTCAACTCATCGGCGTGATTTGAGATGATGAATGCGCCCTTGGGAAAGATGCCATCGTGGATGTCATCCGGGCCAACCTCATGCTGCTGTCCGTTTGCAACCTCCCTCGTGACGACGCTGGGGAGAAGAAGCAATCTCTGCAGGGATTTACCCGAGGGTGACATGGACGATTCGCCGTTGTATTGAGCCCAAGACTTGCGCTCTCGAGCGTCGAATCCCCAGCCCGTGTAACCCTCTTCTCGTAGAATGTGCACCAGCAATCCGTTTCCACATCCAATGTCGACAAAGCCTGGAAACTCGGAGTCCTTGTACATGTCTCTCCACAGCTCAATGAGGAAAGCCGCGATGCCCAGATCCTCAAACACATGTTTGGACGGATCTGTTGTCTCGAGCCAAGACCGAGTAAGCCGCCTGGCGTACTTGTTCTTGAGCTCGGAGTACCTGTCCTGGAATCGCTCTCGAGGTACGACGACGTCGTGGTTTACCCTCTTGACGTAGCCGACTGCATTGGCGTGGCCGTGCTTGTGGATGGTTTGAAGGAGGTGATGGGCAATCCTCCCCAGCTTCACTCGATTAGCCTCCCGGTCGGCCTCTTCGATGGCAGGGTCCTCTTCGAAGGGTAGGAAATGAATAGAGATTGTGCCCGTGTTTGTAGCCGGATCCCACTCGTGGAGCTGGCCTACCCCCCTGACTTTGGGGTGATAGTAGGGCATTTCTGCAGCAGAGGTAGCATGTGGTAGATAGATGGTGAGAGATCTTGTCAGGCCTTCACCCTCTGGAGAGTCCTCGCTCTCTGGGGTGAGAGGAGAAGTGTAAAAAGAGCACGTTTGATCCAGGGGCGCATCTCGAAGTGTATTCCTCGGAATGAGTCTGCGAACAATAGTTCTTTGACAGATCAAGCCCTGAAAGTCTGGGATAGAAGGGCAGTCTTTGACAGAGTCTTTATTATGAGGCTGCTCGTCATCCCCATCATCATAGAGAACATCGGCCCGAAACAACCATTTGGAGTTGAGGTTTGGATTCCTAACCAAGTTCAACATGATATCGTCAAAGTATCTCGTCTCAAAGGTACAAGCGTGGCGGCACACGGGCACCCAACCGTCACCACCATCGGCGCGGAGGGCGGGCGGCGATCCCGGGGGGAACACTTCCGGGTCAAAGGGCAATTTCCTTTGAACCTCCATTTTTTGACGAGAATCGGAGGTTGGTGCCGGCAAGACCGGAGGGATGGTTGAATTTTTGCAAGGGGGATGGATACTGTAAAAGTGGTGAGACTTTTGAGTCTTGGGGGAAAATTCAGTTGGTACCCAGTACGGGTCGAGAATGAACGGGAGACTGCGGAGTAGAATGGCAAGCACCTTGTACTCTCAAAGTAATGCCTCTTTGATGAGTGTAAAATCCACTGAAAATGAATAGAGTATATAGAGATTTTCTATGAATTTTGTGTATTATTTTCTATTGTGCGGCTTGTCCATCAAGACATTGGTTTCTCGTGCCTCGTTTTTGCGTACCCCAGGTACCGACAGTTTACGATTCGAGCATGTCACCCCGAACGTTGCTAACCTTTCTCTGCCTGCCCAACAAAGTCAGTTAAACTTGGAGCTCTCCCCATGCACTAAAAAACCATGAGGCGACAAATCCTCCGTCTTTGAACAAGCCTCCCCCAGTTCTCACTTGATCCTTCGGCTCCGGGGAACCAAAGTGGGATGTGCCTCGGGTTGTCCCAGGGAGCCGGACCTGGCAAGGAAAGGCTACATAGGATGACAGGATATGGACAGGGTATCCGTCGAGAATGACGAAATACAGACACTATCAGCGGGCAATAGATGTGACACCGAAGAACAGTCACTACGATGGCTGTGGTTTGCGTAAAAGTCGCTGAGGACTGCATGGATGAATCAGGTGGCGACTCTACATCAGGCTCTGCAAGGCCAAATCTGCCTTGAAATGACTGCTTTTCAACCCGATGTTGCCTTTTGCCCATTTGGATTGGCAGAATGGTTATCCGTGGCAACAGTCAGACACTCTAGGGCTCCCTCACCGAGCTCCCTCTTGGACCTGGATGCAGCCCTGTGCGTCACCAGCGAGGGCTGGGTGACTCGCAGCGCAACCATCCTCAGTGGAGTTGAGTTGACTTGCCGCGGGTTCGGTTCGTGGAGATGGAACACCGCTGGCCCTCCCGCAACCGGCCGGGAACAATCCCCCGAGGCGGTCAATTATCAGAATCAACAACCGGCCGGATATGATTTGCAGAGTGGGTTGCGATGGCTGGTGCGTAAGGGGCTGTGCATTTCAACTTCTCAGGGGTATGGTGCTGTCATTGTCCCCCAGTATACGAAGTTGACAGTCTGGAAGCGACAAAGTGATGGAATTCTGTAGAGTCAAATAGCCGCATTCTGTAAAACGGGCTTCGCCGGGCGCAAACTGATGGGAGATGTGGCCAAAATAGCATCTGGACTGGGCTCGACTGGAATTGCCCGGCCAGAGCGGTGTGCGCGATAGTAGGGACAACCAGGCGTAAAGAGTGACTCCCCATGAGACCGGATCCGACCACTGACAGCCTGGACTGCGGCTGGGCCTTCTTTGTTCGGGCTGGTCCCTGGTGGAAACCTTCCATGGATGGCTGTGGATGGTGACCGAATTCATCCAGACAAGGCTCGGCGCCTTACAAATCAGGCCACAACTACCCCAGTAAGGCATCCGTCGCCCGTGCTCCCTCCCGCCCGCCGCCCGCCAGCGCCCAACCAATCCTCACTTACTCATCTTTTTGCCCCTCCGCCTCTGCTTCTCGAAACTCTCTTTCTTCACCCCCTACAACGTCACCAACACAAATACCCGCAACCCCCCCAGACTCTCTTCTTGTGTTCTCGCAAACTTCGTCGCAAGACTCTCCTCTATCGCAAGCTCATCACAGCTTCCTCTACAACCTCGTACCACTTCGATCAACCTACAACAGCGAGGCGCTATCTTTGCCGGCGGTCGCTGAAAACACCCTCAACCCTTTTTACAAAACCCATTTCCCAAGGTCACCCCAGTACCTCCGAGTTTATGTCCATCGAAAATCTCAAGACCTACGGTACGTTTTTCTCCATCACATCTCCTTCATCCATCAGTCGCAAACCCTCGGATCGTTCAGAGGCAACCCAGCCTCAAAAACCGACCCGCGTGTACCTGCATCTGTTGATGCCAAGCCACATGCTTCCGACCCCGCCAAACCCACATGTCAAGCCAGATGTTCCATGGAAACAGTTTTACTAACTGCCCTCGCCAATAGACCCCTTCGCCGAAGCCGACGAGGACACCGGAGAAACCAAGCAGACGCAGAATTACATCCATATACGCATTCAGCGTAAGTCCTTTCCTCTTCCAAGCCACCTCAGCCACCGGCGCGGCGCATCGAGTCGCATCACCTTACATCCTCACGTGAGATTGTCTGGTGGTCGCTTGGATCGTCGCATCGCTGCATCGGCAACGTCATATCTCGTCCAATGCTAACCTCCACCGCAGAGCGTAATGGACGCAAGACTCTGACCACTGTCCAGGGTCTCCCCAAGAAGTTTGACCAGAAGAAGATTCTCAAGGTCATCAAGAAGAAGTTTGGTATGTTTTTTCCTGTCATATTGTCAGCCAGTTACTAACATCTACAGCCTGCAATGGCACCATCGTCAACGACTCCGAGATGGGAGAGGTGATCCAGCTCCAGGGGGATCAGCGCAAAGATGTTCAGGAATTCCTCATCGACAAGAAGGAAGGCCTTGAGCTAGATGCCAAGACCATCAAGGTCCACGGCTTCTAAAGCTCCGCATGCCCCGTCGTCCTGTCAGTCGCCGTACCCGGGCGTCTTGACGTAGAGGGACAGGGATGCATGGCCTCCGGCTTGTGCCTTATCCGGACGTGTCCCCTTGCATTGGAGACACCCCGAGGCTCGGATCCGATTACTCTAGGACGACGGGCATCCACTCAGGGCGAGTTTGACTTTGACTCCTGGTGGCTTTTTGGAAGAGTATTTTTTCTGCTGCACACGTTCTGGAGCGGGTGGGTGGTGGTTTACCTACAGCATCTGCCCAGGCTCACGTGCAGAGAGGACGAGGCTACGGGCAAAGAACCTGTCGTGTTGTGTCTTTAGACGAACAGACAAGGCTTGTCGGTCGCTCGTTAGTCAAGTATATCCTACCTGGGCAAGCCCGCAGTAGTCTCAGGCAATAAATACAAGGTCAATTCCGAATGATGTCTCGAGTGATCAACTGTGAACGTGATAAATAGACTTGACGCCAGGCCCTTCATATCCAGTTTCAAGATAAACTCCAAGGCACCGACTCCAAGACTAACTGCCTATACACACAATACAATACAACAAGAGTCTGAAGAACAAGGACTCGCTGAAAGACAAGTTGAAACAAGACAACAAGCATAGCCCCAGCATGGGCGGGATATAAAACTCCGAAACGAGAATACAAGAACGTATACAAGTAATCCAAAACAGACAACGGCCAGGTAGGGATGACCATTCACCAGAGAAATGTTCAGAGAACCTGGGTCAATGTGACTGGGTCAATGTGAGGAGGATGCACACCGGCATGCCGGCACACAGTTCCGCGCAGATGACGAGATGCACTAGAGGCCGTCATGCTGCTCGATGCTGCCCCTAACCTGCGCGACGACGCGTGACGCCTCGTCCCAGGCGCGGCGTCCAGAGGCGATGAGGGGTATCTGAGGATACTGGGGCGTGTAGAGGTGCATGTGCGCGAGCAAAGTCACCATGCTGAGGAAGCTGGCGATGGAAAAGACGTTGATGGAAGTAGACGTCTCCTTGCGGATGTTGATTTTCTGATGCGTGATGTGATACATTACGGTTAAGGTCTGTGTGGCTCATGTGTTAGTGGGTGAAGCAAAGAGTGCACATGAATGTTGCGGTGTGAAGCCGAGGTGAGGGGGTGAACAAACGTACAGTCGCTATGCCGATCCAGCCTGGTAGGAGAAGACGGGGGTCTTGGAAACCCCCCGCGAGGGAGAGAACGCCAGCCGTGATGTAGGCGTTGCAGGCATTAATAGTTAGGAGGCGGACCATTGTCGCCTGGGGAGTATAGTTGATGAGCCTGTATAATAACTTGTCAGTATCAAGAGCAGGGGTGTTTTGGTGGACAACGTACCATCGCGACATCAGACAGTCGGTAAAGAAAAAAGATAAATATCCTGAAGCAAAACACTGAAAACCCCACGATATCAGCACAATTCCTTCTTGTAGTTTCACCTCGCAGCTCTATACTCCAATAGAGCTAGGTTTTCTTCACGCACCCATATTGTAGCGAGCCCAGTCTCGGTCAGGGCATACCTCGCATCCGCCTCGACGCTCAACTCCTTTGTCCCAGCCGTGGCCGACGGAACAACAACAACAAGCTCCGGCCCAGGAAGTATCCGTATCAAAAGCTGAAGCGCCGAGGGAAGACCCCACCAGAGCGCGGGTAGGATGGAGACGAGACGGAGTGTAAAGAGCCACGGATGCCAGGGCGGGGGCACATTGAGGACGACGGCGACGCGAGGCTGGAGGAGAGAGGGATGCACAGGAGGTTCAGAGCTGTTGGTAGAAGCTGCTGCTGTGCTCGGGGTCGGGGTCGAGGAGGTTGTCGAGAGAGGTTGTAGTGGGAGATGGCCTGTCGAGGAGCCCCGACGGAGGGGGGAGGGGTTGGCCATCACTCGCTCGGTCAGGCCATCTGAAGCAAGATGTTTTCTCGGTAGACAATTCGTAATGTCCAGATTTTCTGAGTAAACGTGTTGGTAGAGCAAAAAAATTCAAGAAAGTTGCGGTGGAAGGGGGGAAATTTAGAAAAAAAGATGATGGTGATGGCGTCAAAGGAGGAACCTCTCCTCTCGCCTTGCACCGAGTCTGAACAGGGGTTGCGGGGAAAGCTTGCCATGGTTTGTGCATTTCAGCGGCTGCCAAGTGGGCACACAAGGGTCATGAATGTGGCTATCCCCCCAATTTCAAACTGTGGCGCGAGCATCCCCCCCCCGTGGCTCGTGGGTTAGGGTTGAAGAGCGTTGAAGATCTGCCAAACCAGAAAAGGTAAACAGCTCAACAGACGGGATTGACAAGTCGTACAGAGTGGCTCATCTCTAGAAACAAAAGAGTCATGATGACAAACCTGACATTGCACACAATTTCATTTCAAAGCTAGCACTAAGGTATCATATTTTCGTTGGTTAACTTGCAGACTCCTCCATTTTATCCAGACTACCCATTGATCCAGCCCTTGAGAAACAATCGTCACTTGCATTATTGTAGGAAATTCGACATGTGAGAAATCCAGACCATCAAGCTTACCCCTTGAATCACCGGTAATGAAGCCTCCGGGTAACGACTGACAAAGTGGTGAAACACGTTGTGTAACCACACCATCTCCCACCCCACGAAATGTCCTCGCTCGAGTCCTCCTCATTCCTCAGCGTCCTGTTTCGACCGCTTGAGAGGGCTGCCACCATCCTCCTCCGAACTCTCTCCCTGATCGTCTTCAAGACGTGTCCGCTTTTTCCCGTCTCTTCGGGGTGCACTCAGTTGTTGCGACAGCAGAGATGGGTGATCTACATCGTCGCCCTCACTCCAGTCGTCCCCCCCTTCAAGGTGTAACCCATCCTCAGTCGAAGCTGGCAATCCCAGTTTCTGCTCGATCAAAGGTATTTGATCACGTATCCATCTCAGTAGTATCTCGTGGCGCTTTGCTCCGCTCCTGGCCTCTCGGTAGGTTGCCGTCGCCATCTTGTACTCCCCAATCGCAATTTTCCGATGCATAAAGTCGTCGAATTCCTTGATCGCCGAGTCCAGTTCCGCCTGGGCTTCAAACAGTTTCCGTTGTGCAGTAGGCCCCTTCACACTTGGGTCCAGCATGTCTCGATCTGCCAGCAAGATATTGGATCTCGCAAGCTCCACCGCTTGCCTCAACGATGTCCTCTCCCTCTCAAAAGCCACCACAAAACCGTTGGCTTCGAGGTCGTCCCGAGTCTCGCCGGGCTTCAATGCCTTGGTGCTGACGAGAATCTTCCAAGCCTCCTTGTACTGTTGATGTGACTTCTTGTGCTGGAGGAACTTTTCGTACTCGAAATACTCAAAGCACAGGTACTCGATCCACTGAGACAACTCGGTTTGGTCTGATGCATTCTTTTCAAGATCAAGAGACCCAGCGAACGAGTGCTTGGCCAAGCGTTTGCGACACCTGGAAAAATGCTTGCTGAAGAGTTCCGGGTCACTCCTCATGACCACCTGGTGACGACAAAACTGATCCCATCTTTTCCATTGCCGCTCGTACACTACCCAATCATCCGGTCTCGGCTCTTGCGACTCCCCTTGCCAGTACTTGAGAACCTCGGCGTGCTCTGTCGGTCTCGTCGAGACCTCTTCGATGCGCTCAATGGGATACCAGGGTCGTCCTCCAGTCCTGGTCAGTAAGCCGTGGAAACTCTTCTCACGTTCGAGGTTGTTGGAATACCGCTCCTCAGGTGACAGACGCCGTCTAAGTCCAGATCGGTATGGGGAGGCTCTGCTAGGAGTGGTTGGACTGGGCAGGGCCTCCTCGGGCCTGGTGTGGGGGTAGAGATGCATGTAGCCGATGGGCTTGTCATTTGGATAGATGACACTGGGGGTGTTCGGCAGCAAGTCGTAGTAAAGGATACTATGAAACCATTAGAGAGGGAATAGATTAATCGAGGAAGTGCCCATACCCGATCCGGTCCCTCATCCAACGAGTGACCTTTTCTTGGGCTTGAAGGCTGAGGTTGCTGAGGTTATTGTCAGCCGCAGGCAGATGGGAGTCGGCAGTATGGACCTACGCGCAATGCTCACCGTACTTCTTGAGTTCTTTGTCAGTCCACCTGACGGCGTCTGGACCTCGACAAGGCGTCCGGTCCGTCGGTCCATCGGGCGCAGGCGATTTTGGTAGCCGGTCCATTCGAGAACCTCGGGGAAAAGCTGGGGTGAGAGGGCCTGGTAGACGAGGCGGTCGCACGAGCTGAGACCGAGTGAAGCTGGCTCGGTGGCTGACAGTTAAAGACGATGGGAAGGCGGCCAGTGTTGTAGGATTGAAGAGAGGCTCGGGCGAGCGAGGTGCAGCCAGCACATGCGTCACGCAATGGGCATAGAGTGACACAGACACAGACAGATCCGACACTGACAGTGACACAAGCAGACGGAAACACACATGGAATGGATGAGACAAGACGGATCGTGAGTGAGGCTGAGCTCGAGGTCGTAGGTAAGGTAGGTTCCCGTCCACGTCCTACGTACCTCGGAAGGTACAGGTATTAGGGGGGCGTGCACAGGCGCAAGGACAAGGACAAGCAGAAGCAGCTGGAGCCTTGTTCTGTCGCATTTCCTGAGTGAGGAAGTTGCATGCTCGCACGCACCTTCTCGGTCGTCGCGGGTTTCGATTTAACGATGGAAAGCGCGGCCCAGGCCAGGTCAGGTCGCCCCTCTACTCCCCTGCCCTGCCCTGCTTGTGCCTGTGTCACTGAGGCACGGAAGGGAAACAGGTACCCCGGTACCTTGCCTTGCGTGGTAAGGTAGGTAGCCGGCCTCTACCCCCGGGCCCAGCCAGCTCCGACTCCAGGGCCTTCTCAGTCTCCAGGGCTGGGCGGCGGGGCAGCTTTGCCGGCAGCGTGTTTTGGCATGTTCAGGGGGGTCCATCACTCCCCACAGCGGGCGGCGTGGATCCTTTCCATCGTCACAGGTCGACCGAAGAGTCCGGGTACGTATCTACATTTGCGGGCTGCCCGTTCAACACCAGAGCACGACAGAGACTACGAAGCAGCTAAGATGAATGAACCCTGGTTCTGTAGATGAGCTGAATCAAGTGACCCCGATAACGTTAGGGTTCGGAGCTTTGTGAGTCCCGAAGTAGAAGAGTTTTCGGCAGTTTGGGCAAGAGAACGCCCTGTGAGAAAAGTGTGTGAGGAATGGACCTGGAAACTTCACTTTTGCCTGGAGCAGGAGATGCACCTCAAAGAAGCAAATACACAAGTAAAAAATACAATAAAAATGTGTCAACACAGGAATGGCTTTCAAGTCCCTGGCTATAATTTTTGAGCAATTATTTTCCCATTCCCTGGTCATCATGGCATCTCACTCGATAACCGCAATACCAGCCTGTCGACATCAAACATTCTCAGATCAAGGACGTCCCAGTATCCAGCACACAGGTACACCACGTTGGCAGAAGTGGAGGCCGGTCGCACGCGGCCGCAGCAGAGAATCTCTCCCCCCCCCCCCCCCCCCCGATGGAAGGACAAGTACCGCGGGATAAGCGCCAGAAACTTCTAGGCAATGTTTAGCTCCAACATGCGTGGAGACCCGGGATCTTCCCAAGTCCCCCCCGCTTGACCGCACATTTGTCATTTGTATCACCATCATGCGCCGTGTAGCGAGCCAGCCAGACTCCCTTGTCCATCATTTCCATGCCCCACGCACCACAAAGAGCATGCAGGTCCTTTCACGTTTGACTGTTGTTCCTCGTCCCGCGTAATCGTCGTGACAGTGTCTACCCGTCTGGTGTTGCGAGTTTCGTCTTGTTAGGAGGCCCGTTTAGACGAGAAAAGTCGTATGTCTTGGGTAACACCGTCTGCAACAATCCATTTAGAACAACCACTCATGTTCCGAAACGTCGTCGAATATCATCAAGGGCCATCAGATAAAGCTTTTTTTTTTCTTGTCCTCGCAATTTGCCCCCCGGCCAAGCCCAACTAAGCCCATCCAAGCCGGCATCGGGGACTCCAGGCTAACTAACTGCCTCTGTAACTAGCTGGTCCCCAATCTCTGAGAGAACCAACCTGATCTCGAGCAATCATCCTTGCGCGCCAGCTGCCCGTCGATCCCATCTGCCTTTTCTGCAGCTTGACCCTTTCTTAGCTTACCGAAGATACCGAACCTGGACAAACCTGGGGACCGGATCCTATCGACAAAACGTGTGCAAATGTACATACAGCACAGCAAAGCAAGTCTGTAGACGACGTCTGACCCATCACGCATCCCATACCTACAGTACATGCAAGGCATGTCTCGCCCAGTTTTACCACCCATGCCCATGCACGGGCGAATCTCTCCACCTTGACAATCTTGCTCTCCCTCTGTCTCCCGCCTCACTTGTGCTGCGTGCTGTGGCAGTCAAGGGTCAGTTGTCTTGAAACAGCTCAACTTTGACTGTGGGCACGTCTATCCGTTTGTCGCCTCGCACAATGTCCTTGTCAAGTGGGACAGAGCTCAATGGTCGGATCATATGCTGGTCCCCGAGGTGCGGGCTGACGATGTTGTCTCCCTCCTTGCGTCATACCTTTTCACGCCGGGCTGCAGCAGCAGGAATAAGCCCTTATCGACGATACATGCAGGCAAGCAGGCATGGGTTCGAATGTTTGCCTGCTACTGCTGCGCGTTCTTTCCAATTTCGGTTCACTGCAGCCCATGAGACGTCGGCTGGGAAGAGGTTTGGCTGACGAACAGGGAGGGACCAAGGGAGGGATCGCTCTGCGTTGTGTCACCCACCATCAGCCTCTCAACGTCTACAGTACGAGTACCACTTCCAGGGAAACAGGGCTGTCGGCCGCGTGCGTGCGTACGACAAAGCAACGTCGTACAGCGTCCCGTGCTGAAATGCACGTTGACTGGTTGGTCAAGACGCAGTTGATGAGTATCTGTGTCGGTGGGATACCTCGCGAGTCTGCTCATTGCTGAACACAAGCTGGTCATGTAGGATCCCGTGTTGGAATGGTTATGCTTGCATGACAGCACATCCGGGAGCAGGGCCTGAGACTGTTGGCGCAGCAGTGAGCCCAGCGGAATGGCGTGGGCAAGAGGATGCCATGGGCGAACAAAAGATGGCTGAAATGGGTGACATCTCGCACAGTTGAGTGCCGCCTCTTCTTGGAAATACCTTGAGAGACCAATCAGGACTACGGAGGGGGTCAGGTTCAGCTGTCCTCAATCCAAAGTGATCCAACAGGAGCTCTCGAGAATGTGCGCTTATGCCTTTGCTTCAAGTGGCTTGCGTTGATAGTCTGACAGATTATGTCTGAGATGGAGGTCGGAGCCTCGTTTGCAGACTCTACCTCATGCTCCGCGGATTGCCATCCGGGGAGCCAGGGTATCAAGACCCTTCATGCCTTGAATGTTTGCTACTGCATCTATGCAATAGGCAATGCCGAACCGGACATGAATGAAGAGCTGCATCTGCAGCTTTCACTGTGGATGGCTGAGACTGCGGGGTGATGGGACAAGAGGGAGCAATCCATACCAAGGGTTGTATCGACTTGGTCTTCTCAGCCCGGTTTCCTGCCGTTGTCTCAGTATCACGAACGATTGGTGACATAGCCCCGTTCAGGAGGGCATTGACGTGAGGTGACGACAATGATCATCGTGCGTTCCAAGTTCAGAGACAAGGTGTCGTTCGTTTGTAGTCTTGACAAGCACGTAGATCATGTTGCCAAGAGCATGTAGTAGCACTGCAGATGAGACAAGAGACAAGATGGCTGTTCCAACGGCAGGCTTGGTGATCTGTGATTAGCTTCACTCAGCCGTTGCCTTGAGAGAACACTGCATCGTGGAGGGTCTACACCCGTTAACAGTGGCCCGATCTGCGTGAATTGGATCCATCTCGAGATCACAAACAGGCACTGGCCACGTAGGTCGGGTACCTACCAGCCTTACAAGCAAGACTCAACCGGCGTTCAAAAAGATGGTGCAGGATTGTGAGGGAAACTGCATCGTTTGAATGCAAGAACAGTCCAGTATACACCCACTTGCAGTTTGTGCGACCCAAACACTGAACCTTGGAGGTATAGACAGGTGACCAATGCAATCAGCAACAATAGAACAGCCAGGGTCTGTATAGTGTCCGATATTTATCGGGAAAGTAGAATGAAGACGGAACGTATTGGATACCAAACTCTACATCCCATTTGCCCACAACTCTAGTAGTAACGGAGTAGTTACAGAGTTGACGAGACACTCAGCCCTCTCCCCCTTCCCTCGTCTTCCGCAAACTCACCCCTCTCGCTGCAGCACAAGAGGGATGTTCTCATGTCATTGGCCTCCGAACACGTCCTGTCGGAAGGCGACATATCGCACGATCGACAATGCGAGTGCAACCATTGAAGCCCGGTGCAGAAGCTGACGATGGCGTGGACGGTATACCAGCCATCCCAATGTCACATCCCGCCCCCGACTCGAACACGCGATACCATTTACCCGACTGGACATGCAAACGAAACTTGAAAGGTCGAGAGCAGTCTACCACATGCGGAGCCTCAAAGTTGTGATGCCCAACTTGCGGCGGTACACCCAAGGAAGCCAAGTTGAGGCCCCCGATCCATCGGTCTCGAACCGTTTCTATTCTTATTCTGGCCGATTGCATACCGATCGCAGCAAATCAGATCTTTGAGGACCGAGGCCATCCAGTCAGCTCCGTCGACACCGGCCGGATCACGATCCCCAGGAGTTGGGTTTCACGGTGGGTGATGCTGTGGAAGCTGCCAGCAAACGTTGTTTGTTCTCAAGCAGCAAGACAGTGACACAATCCCAAGAGGTAGGTAAGCGGTACAGTGAGGCTCGTGTTGTGACACTGAGTAGGACACTGGCTGGGCAGCATCCTCAGACGAACAGCAAGAAGGAGGACCATCATGTATGGAGAGCCGTACACAAGTCCGAGAACTAGGTAGAATTGATGAGTTTATTGCGATACTTATGCCCTGGATACACACAGAACCTAGTTGTTGTGCTTGCTCAAGTCCATTGCTGTCCAAGTGGTTGCGCTCTTGTTGGCCTCGCGGCTAGGTTGGTTCCCGACTCCCAGGACGGTTTTGAATGGGTATACTTGTAGATTGATAGCCATAAATCTTTGTCCCAAGACAAATATTATTGTTTAAAGTTGTTGTGTTGTCAATCAGCGAAAATTTGGTAATTCGCCGAGATGTTGTATTCCACCTGTTCCTCGCCGTACTCCTCCTACAGGCTTACTCACTCCAGCGGTCACATACAGTTGGGTATAAGCCTTCTACTGCAGGCAGCAGAAAGACTCAAAAATGCCAGCGCGTTAGCATCGGGATATGGTGGTAGGATGTATTAGTATTGTGTTGCTGTATATAGTTGAAGCCCGGCCCTTTATGGGATAACTGAGCCAGAAGACATTCCCAAGACGAGTTCCTGGCTTTTAGCTTTGCGCCAGTGAGCCCGTGGTCTCCGAGCCCGACCCCTTTTTCCTAAACCTGAGAGGAAGAGCGCGATGCCGCGCAGGGTCAGGCCGCATCATTTGCAGTGAACAAGTCCGCTGCAATCTCTGAAGCACCTCGTAGTTCGACAGGACGACCATTTTTGCCCAGTGTGAGCAGTTGAAAAAGGGAAAGTGAGGACGTGTGGTGCACTTCATGATCTCCTTCTGCGTGCTTTCGGACAGGCCATATATATCCATGCACTTTTCCCATTCGTCTAATTCCCAGAAGGCAGCGTCCTTGTAATAGACGATGTGTCTGATCATGAATTGCAAAAATGTAATACATGGCCTTCCGTCGTCAGGGTCTGTCTCGCGCCGGAGCTTTCCGCTAGGCCATTTTCCCCAGGCATCCCACATATGGTCTGCCATCTTGGATGTGAAGCCAACGTATTCGATGGTATCCCTGGATATGAGCACCTCAGGGATCAACGACTGGGGGTGAGGAGGTGGCGGTACGAGAGGTGGGTGTAGGATAGATGGTGGTATGAGAGGTAGGTTTATGAGGCGTTGACCTTGTCCGTTGTTCAGGCCAGGGGGGTTTTGTAGTGGCTGTTGCGGATCCTGTTGAACGTCCGCTTGGATGGAGCTGGCGACTTGTTGTTGTGAGAGCTGGGGAGTTTCCTCTGACTGAGGAGTGTTGTTTGTGAGGTTTGAGTTCGTAGGCATCATGATGTCGGTATCACGTAGCTGATAGACTCTGATCAAGTTCCGTACACTGGGTCTGTACTAGACACGATATCAGTATTTGCAACTAGGCTTGCCAAAAGAAGCCTTACCAGAGATGTTTGCTGTGCTGAGGCTGGCACGGATATTGTGAATGCGTTGTGAGATGAGAATTATGCACTGCAAGATGCGAGATGAGTCTGAGAAGAGTTGGATATGATGAGGAACCGAGAGGAGAGGATGAATCTGAGAAGGTAAATGATCACAAGAATCAGAGGCCTACTTATAGTATCCATATCTGCCCCCATGGGGAGACAGCTTCAACGGGCATTCCCAACAACTCTCCCCAACCTCTTGACATAGTTTCTTGAAAGGCCGAAAGCTAGATCAGCCTTCCCGTCTCTGCCCAAGTAGATGTTTCGAGAATCTCTTGTCTGTGGAAATCTACACTAAACCAAAGCTTCATGAAACTTTTGACTCGTTGTCCAGGATATCTTCACCTCGTTTAGACGGCCAACGTACAAGTCTTTGTTAAACTGTAGTCTGTACATAGGTAAGCATTACCATTTATCCTTAGAGTCATCATGCTAGACTAACCTAAGCTTTAGGAAAAGGAGAAAAACCAGGACTCCTCACACAAGTAGGGGGTCACCAGTTGACATGATCCTTTGTAAGGTTCATGGCGACGCCGTACGCCGGTCCGTGTGGTGAGGTATCGACGAAGACTCCCAAGACAAGGAATAAAACCGCTGCGATGAGACCCAAGAGAAACAGAATGAGCGACATTGGGCAATCTGAGGCGTATGGGCCCCATGTGTCGGCAAAGACATTATCGGAACGGGGTGTCGTCGACGGTCCATCCAAACAATTCGAAGCGAAGAGGAGGGCCTGTTCTGCCTTAGTAGCTCTTCCGCATATGACTGCCAAACCAACTCGGACATTGGTAGCTGGTGGCTCCAGGCGCTTTCAGTACGTCGAGCCAGCCGATCATGGCTCACAACCCAGGAAATGCGCCCATGGGCATCGCGTCGGCGCCGTTGAGTGCTCAAGAAATACTTCTGCGCTCAACCGAACTCTTCAACGATCCCAACCTCCGCAGTTCCGCTCGCCGCATCATGGAGGATGTCCCATCACGCCAGGATCGTGCTCCAGTGGAGCCATACGTTCTAGACTTTGACACACGCCAGCGCATTATCCTGCGCTGGGAGTCTTCTCTCGGTCCAACTCGACGATTCTCAAAATGACGCTATGGGAGGCGCCTGGGTGGTACGTACGGTGTTATTCTAGACACCGCTTCAAAGTGTCAGCGCCTGTAACATAAGATTCTGGGGGCGTCTAGGTACATACCGTGATTCTGGATCAACGGGAAAGTCAAGTCCCGGGAGGTTGGCAAACGAGTCCACGACTGCAGACTGTATGTCAACCACGGCTGCGCGAGACTCGAAACTCTGGTCCGGTTGAGTTCTCAACAAAAGTGCTCTTCGCTTCTTGCCGATGATGTACTGCATTGACCAAAGGTCTTTGAAGAAAGAAACGGGCTCAGGGATGAGTGAGCCAAACCCCTCCAGCTCAAGTGAGGTCACTCGCCAGGTTCGGCGGTATTGTTCGTGGGAGTTGTGGGTGTTCCCGGATGTGCGATGGGATGGGTTGAGGGAAACCGAAGATCGGTCAAGTCTTGTTCCAAGTCATCTTGACACATGTGTAAAGCGTCGTGGTCATAATGTTATGATGTGTTGAGAATCTGTTCTTTATTATAGTTGCAGCCTGGCCCTCGATGGGTTAGCTGAGCTCAAAGATCGTGTAAAGTGTCGAGACTGCGGCAAGATTTGTCGAAGTTATCCCCCAGGTTTAGGTCCACCTCGTCGATGGGTTCCAGTCGAAGCATATACACTGGTTGGATCGTAACTGCACTGATGCCCACGTATACCGAAGGGGCCGTTTCCTGGAGTTTCACGGCCGAGGTAGACAGGCAGTCAGTCCTTGGATGGAGACTCCCCCTCCTTTCGATCATTTTGGTCCTCTCGTGGGAATAACAGTCGGCAGGCTCTAGGGAAGACCTCGAGGACCCTCATGTCCCCTGCCAGTACCTTAGAACCCTGCGAGTTTCTGGCAAACACCTCCATCGTATAGGATCCAATTAAGGCGGCCCTCAGCGGTCGCCCATCGAGGTTCTCCAGCGCCATACCCTTCAGGGCGACGGGAATGCGTTCCACCCCCTCGGGTGTAGGATCGGTGGCGGTCGTGCGCCTGGCGAGCAGGCTGAGCTCAGCCTGGAGTTCAGCCCGGTGAGATGGTACTTTCTTTGGACAAATTCAAGAAGCAGGCCAAGGGTTTCTACAGCGGAAACCCCAAGGAGGATGTCAAGGACACTGCTGCCGCTGGTCTCAATGCTGCCGTTCCCCAGCAGGAGCAGCAGGGCACTTACACTCAGGTCACTGATGGCCCTAGTTCTCTCGCTAGCGCCCGCGAGGCAAGAGGTTCTTGTCGTGGTAGGGTGTAAGTCAGGACTGGGATTGTTCGTCGACAACCTCACCTACTCTAAGATCGCCGGTGTCCGTCACCCAGTGTCCTCCTGTGCTACCATCTACCTTGCGCCGAGTTTCTTTCCCTTTGACGGACCCATCTTCTTCTCATAGCACGATACCCACGAATCCCCTTGTGTGCCATGGAAACAGAGTTGATCATCGCCTTCACCGCGTAGACTAACACCCTGGGTACCTTCTTGTCAGCGCATGTTGGGCCGTCACCAAATATACTACCATACGGACCGACGCACAGCGTCGCAATGACTGGAACCTTACAAAGGATCATGCCAACTGGTGACTTCCTTTTGCTGTCCGCCACTCCCATGGAAACACACAAACTTCAGTACCATTTTTTTCACGAACAATACCGCCGAACCTGGAGAGCGGCCTCACATGCTTACTGGACGGAGCTGAAGGTTTTTGGCTCACTCTGCGATGAGACCCAAGAGAAGCGTAATGAGCGACATGGGATAATCTGATGCATACGGACCCCATATATCGGCGAAGACATTGTCGGAACGAGGTGTCGTCGAGGGGTACCTGGGTGGTGCGGCGTTGTTCTAGACACCGCTTCAAAGGTCAGTACGGTAAGTTTCTGGGGGCATCAAAATGCATACCGGGATGGATCGATGGGAAAGTCTGGTTCTGGGAAGTTGGCAAACGGAATGTTTCGAGGCCTTGACTCGAGACTCTGGTCAAGTTGAGTTCTCAACCAAAGTGTTCTTCACCTCTTGCCCCTCCCTCAGCCATCCTGACGACGGTACCTTCTTTGGTACTTTACGTAATTTGTCCTTATCTTGTAAAAGGTTCTTGTCGTGACAGGGTGTATACCAGGACTGGGTCGTGTGAATCGTGGTGGTAGGTTCGGATTAAGTTGAACGGGACGCACGATTCCCACATAGTAGCCGTTGCAAGAGCCGCCACCTCAACTGACAGAGCTTGCATAGGTTGAACCATGGCGGAATTTAGGAAAGGCTGAGTCTCGTTCGTCCGCGGGTGGCTTTGAAAAATTCTCGCAATCTGTTGGGCCAGGAGGTTTGCACATGTGAAGGTTTGAGAGAGGCTGTTGGTAAGCCTTTGGCGAGAGGTGCAAAACATCGGTAAGAGGTGAAAAACATCTTGGCTGAGAACTCAGCTGAAGCAGAGTTTCGAGTCGAGCCTTCCAAGCATGATTGGTATGAAAGAGCCATGGACTAACATTGACAAGCCCCCGCGACACCGGCATGCAGCCGAGACGCACATCACGTGCAATTCCCGTTCAACTTTGTTGCCTGCGATGGGTTTGACGTAGACTAGCTTCCGAGGTCCCGCCGGGTTAAGTTTGGGAGAGGCACATCGTTGAAAGACCAGATGCGGGAGGCTGGTGCCTTGCGGATATGTGTTGGTGGCTTTCACCAAGATGATCTTGGATTGCGGCTGCAAGGCAACCCCTACCCTGCATGGGTACAATCACAGGTAGTTTTACTGTCACGCTTTTTAGGTATTAAATCAAGGCAAGCTCTTCTCGGGGAAACAATGAAGTCATATCGGGGGTACTGCAAAGCGAGGTATGCGTGCCTGTTTACCATCGAACAGATATTTCAGGTGAAATAACCCAATGCAGGATTGTACCCAACCTGTTTGTTGAAATCAGGCTTCGGCGTGACCGAATTGTTCCAGACCAGGTCATCCCCATTCTGTTTGCTCCCCTTTGTGCGAATGTGCGGCTAGCCCCTTTTCCTACCTGCTTGCCACATAGACTTTCACCCACCCTGATTCAGGATCAAATGTTGGCGCACCAAGTACTCTACACATTCATATTTTCTATATTTTTAAATGAAAGCAGAAAATTGGCCTTGTGGTATGATCGCTGTATAGTTGGAGTGTTGAGCACAACGGTAAAATGGGCGTGTACAACCAAGAAATCAGCAGGTTGCCAGTCTAGCAGCATTGGTTTTAACGTTTGTTACAACGAGGACACGAAATTCCATTCCTTTGACAGCAGATCTGTTTGCTTTTGATGGGATCCTCTAGCATTGCCACCTTGCCAACTTGCCTCTGATTTCAGTCACCGGACAGTCTGACAGTCCGCGATCGCCTCCTAGTCTGCAGTATGTCCATGCCCGCATATGATAATCCGCGTCGTCTCTCAGCACGATAAAGGACAGATACTCGGCGTTTCGTTGACCAATGGATCCTGTAATGGACAACCAGCATTGTCGGAGAAAACAAGGAGCTGGATATGGCAGAGTACCGAATCCTAGCCTGGAACGCCATATGACCTCCTCAACTTCAAAGTTGCAGCATGTGTTGAACTCGATCGGTATCGTTCATCTTTCCATAGTGCCTGATCTATACAGATTTTCCGTTCGCGACGACGTGGAGGTGTCTCTCAATGGTGCTTCTTCCTGCTTCGGTACGAGTTTTGGCTTGGCTCTGAAGCCTCAGTGGCAGCTCTAGCCTTGGGATTCCTTCGACGACGATCATGTCGGACTCTGATTCAACACTGGGGATTCTGGTCTCCGAGGTTCGTAGGCGGAACTACGCTTGGAGGTGTAGTCAGGGGGTGGTTGAAGGAGAATTCAAAGGGATAATCGTAGGTATGTGCATAGGTATAAGAAGAAAGATTTAAAATACTATACCACATTGGCGTCGCTGGATTGAGGCGGAGTGGATGAAAGAAGAATCTAAAGTCCTAATACCACAGTTAGTTTACGAGTTCCAAGAGCAATCGGTTTCTTTCAAGCTCGTAATCTGCTCCTGGGCTTCTGGGGAATAGGCACCGAATTCTTCGAACGTTTTTCTAACTCCTTTGAGCAAGGAAGCTTGCTTTTCTCTCCTCCTCCAAGAGACTAGTCTACCTGCGAGATGGTACTCCTTTTGTGGCCTCTGTACCACCTTGGTTCCAGACGATGCAACCGGTATGCTTTTGGCCATCTTTGACTTCAGGGTCTGGTATAAGATCTAGCTGTCGCCAATTTCCTTTGGTGTCAAGTTGGAATTTCATCATCCCATGAAGCTTTGGTTGTCCATTCTGGAATGACCTGGATAGGTATGTTAGTCACTGGTCTCTTGGGTTCTCGTAAGAGGTGAACCTACCGGAAATACGTGAGGAGCGGTACCTGTTGAGCAACCTCACTTAGGCAGTGGGCCTGCGCTTCTTCATGGGTGATTGGTGGACTCTTCTTCTGTATCTGTTTCTGTTCCAGGCATTAGAAAGGCAAATGGTACTACAAATACTCCCTCGTCCTCAAGTGCAAGGTTACTTGCCCCTGACCGTGTAATCTCAGTCCAGGACTGAGATCCATCGAATTTACACTTCACATTGCCAACGAGAATCCAGTCTGTTAGCTCGGGGACCATGGCAGCTCCAACCGTAGAACTGGAGTCGATCACGACACCGGTCTTTCGGCATCGAGAAAGTCGATGTCCCGCTCTACCCGATGTCATATTAAAATGTTCAAAGCAAAATGTATCAGGGCCTTTTTCCTCAAGTCTGCCGGAGACCTTGTGAGCTAGGGCCGTACAACGCCCCGTTTTCGAGTTCCAGGTGAGTTCCAGTTCAGGGGAGTTTTTTCTGCGTTGTGCCTGAACATGCTTCAACGTCTGGGGAAACGTCCATTCTTTCAGCGTCTGATGGGGGTGGCTGACGAAGCCCTGGAGCGATAAGCCTGATTGGTCAATGAGATACTTCACCATTCTCATGGATGTATATGGACCCTCTTCGTGGCCTTTCCCCCATTCCTTTTTCGCAGTTTGCAATGCATCCATATCGACCTGAAGTGAAACAACGATATGAGAGATGAGCCAGACCTTGCCAGACTTGAGCGCATATGTAAAGGTTCTAGTCCGAGAAGGTGTCTTCCATTTGGTATATGTAGGAGAATGGTCGTCGGAGTTCTCGCTTGAACGCAGTGATTTTCACGCTTAATAGAATGGTTACAAACGACACCTTGAGATGGCATCTCCAAACAAGCTCCATTTGAGGAAACATGAGGTCGAAAACATAATCTCAAGGTACAATCGACGTCAAACAGGGAACCGACGCGATAGCGAGCGAGATGCCAAACTGTGCGACAATCAGGCTCAACATAGTGGAGAATGTTTGTAGGCGTTGGCCACGATTACTATGTTATGACAGGTTTAATGAAGAATCTGTGACAAGTCTTGTGACGGTTATAATGATAGTTGCGATGCTTTAGGATGACCAGTTGTCCAAGAACCGATGTGTCAGGCCAAGTAATTTCTACATTTGCGCGTCAAGTGCAACAACAGCAAATGAAACAAGGACCGAACAAGACAGAGATGAACAAGATGAAAGTGCATGCATGTTGGCAGTGAAGCTTCCAGCCCGTCAGACCAATTGCCGGTGGACTAACATCGATTAGAAGTTGATTGTTCACTCTTGTATTTGGTCCAAATCACCATAGAGTTGCTAAGCTAACTACCGATACATTGTGCGGTGAATGAAGCATGTGCGCTCTTCGGCGAGGACAACAAGCATCGAGCGACTGAAAGCGACAGCGACAAAGAAAGAACCTTTCATATCCTCCACAAGCTCAAGCGGTGAGATATAGGCCACCATTTTCTCAATCTGTCAAGGCTCTCAAATCGAGCCAATGGTCTCATACAGCATGGCGAATGCGTCTTCGGGACTCGTCTGGCTAAGAGGGACGCCACCTTGATCTTGGTTAGTGCGTCATGACTGAAGAGAGAAAGATATTGAACTCACCCCAGCTGGTAGCGTCGCGTTCCTCCGGGGTCATTTTCTTACGCTCCTCTACGGCAGCCTTTAGTCTCATTCGGAACTCTGCTGCTCTGCGCTCCCTGTCCTCGGCGCTAACCGAGGGCAGCTTGTTGATCTGTCGCTTGGTCTCGCTGGTATGGTCCGCATGCTTGGTAGTCAATGTGTGGTGGTGAGTGTTGTCGGCGGTCCCGGCTGGCGCCGATCGGGTCGAGACGGCACGCACTGCTGCATCCCCAGACGAGCGACGATGACGATGGGTTGAGACTGCGTGGGATACCTCAGTTGAGAGAGGAAGCCCGTCCTGACGGGACGACATGTTGGCCTTTGTGATTATCCGAGGGTGCAGGTCTTTGTGGCTGGATCGTACGCCAGGGGAAAGTGAGGAATGAGGATGTTGTTCAGTGGAAGTGTAGTGTGCGAAGTTCAGGGAAAGAGAAAGAGCCCTTGTTGTACTGCAGAAACAGTCACGCGAGGTGCAAATTGAAAGGACAGTGAATCATACACAGCTCGCGAAAAGAGAGCGGCTGGAGGCAAACGCAACACAGTGCCTCCCTGTGGAACGGTAAACACAAGTCGGGTGCTGGGCGGGAGGCGCGCAAGCCGAATTTGCTCCAAGTGATGGTGGAAAAAGTGTCGGTGATTGCGATCAATGAATGTTTATCATGGTGTAGAATCAAAGCATGAGCTTGGTTAACGATGAGCAAACGAAGCAGCGTGGTAAAAACAACAAAAAGAAGGCGTCTTACAAGGGCAAAGGCTGTTTGTGGAAAGCTCCTGTGCCAATGGGAGGTATTGAAAGTAGGTTGCTTTGTTGTTGGAACAACCAAGACATTGTCGATTGAACCATCTCCTGTGAATACGACTTGTAGTCTCATGATGTAGACTCTCTCTCTCTCTCTAGCGCAGGCTCAGCAGAAGGCTAAGCGATGGGGCTGATTCACATTGGGTGATTCAGCCCGTCAGTGAAGGCCAAGGTTGCAGTATTTACTCTGTCGACAACCTCTCCGGGGCTTGGACCACGATGATTGGCTCGAGTTGCGCATGAATCGTCATATCCAAGCCGAAATCAAGCTTTCGCCGTGGAGAACCGCTTGTCGAGATTGTTTTACTTGCTGATGCTTTTCTCGTTGTTGGTAAAAGAATCTCTATAGATAGCTTTTTTATCTTTCCGAGTAGTATTTATTTCTTTCTTAGGTTATACTAAGTGCTCTAGCCTTAGGCTTCCTATCGATAATAGATATAGTAGTCTCGGACGCATATTAAAAGGTCCTAGTCTATCGTCTGCGAAGTTTATCGTTATAAGAAAGCTATAAGGGTAGTCGTGCGTATTCGAGGTGTCTGCGAGAGAAGTCCAGAGTGAACTAGCGCTGATCCTGAACGCTGTTGGTTCTATGAGCCATTGTTATATAGCGCCCCTTTTCAATACCTGGTGATCCACACTGTGAGTAGTAGAGAATCTAGTTAAGCCAGCATGAGCAGGACAAGTACTACAGGGCCAATCTCACCTCTCTCCTTGTTCCTCGTTCTGTCTACCACCAAGATCTCCTCTGTTCTTCGACGAGGCGCTCAAGGAGCCTTGACGAAGAGACGCGAAGTTGCACTGGCTTGTATTCTTACCTAGCAACTTTCTTTAGCTTTCTCGGTCGAGTTCGAGGAAAGGGGAGTCCGCAGGTGCGATAAGTTCCGCAGGTCTTGCCGCTCGATCGAGGTACGACTGAGGATAGGCGACCAAACCCCGGAGCCATGAATGAACACGCCGAGGTCTTTTATTGTACCAATGCTGCTGTGTTCTGCGGCGAAATCCTAATCGAAGCGACCGAGGGCAAGTTCGTCTTCCTTCTTCAGCGTTCAAGTGGCTGCTGCGACGGGTGGCGTTCGACAAGGGGGCAGATCGACAGGTCGACAATGGCATCTTCTGTAGATCTTCGATGTCGAGTTGTAGGGGCCTTTTCTATGACCAGAGTCAGTGTGATCTTCGTAGAGGGAGGAAGAAACCGACGTCCCTGAGGGCAGACGATTCAGTTCTGCATCACCACCACGCAGACCAGGTCGGGATCATGACCTCCTTTTTCAATCTTGAAAGAAACAGCGTAGATGTCGATCTTTGGTATTAAGTAATAGAATGAGAAGGTCCTGGGTGCACATTGAGGAAAGTAGAAAGAATCAAAATCATACGCACTGACTGCACAGCTCCTCGAGGTCCCGTTGGCCGCGATGGGGTCATGACACTGCCCACCAAGAAATAATTCCTGCACGCTGGCGGCCAGCATACCTCACAAAGAACCAGCACACTGCATGGCCATGACATCAATACCGCCTCGTAGGGAGTGCGTCGAACAAAAATATCAAAAACGCAACAATCGTCACCGAGTGTTTGCCAGCTGCCCATGGCCCCATTCGCTTTTACGTCCACTTAGCCTATTGTTCCTCAAGCTGTTTGGACGCACCTTAACCAATGTGCAATGCCCTGTCCAACGATACTCCTAGGACGTTTTCTAGGGGAGGCCATTTACGCGGGTTAGTGGGTGTCGAGGCGTATGCAAGAATTTACAGCACCTATCTGCGTCTCTAAAATTCACAACACCACTGATATTGGAGGCTTGTTTGCCCTGTAGGAGGGACAATGGATTAGAATAGAATCAATGGGAGCCCTAATCCTTGTCCAAGCCTATTACGGTGCATCTGAACTAGTCTTAGAAAGTTCTGCGCGTGTGAAGCTGCTGTGGGTGCCTGACCGTGGTTGAGGCTGGTGCTGCTCCCGCTCCTTGTTTTTCTGGCGGCGGCTCTGAGCTGCATCTCCATCTCCCTCCCAAACTCCCCCTCGCCTCTCTTTGTTTTCCTCCTTCACACTTCACCACGCTCACACCACACTTCCGCAAACCTTTACCCGCAACGCATCTTCTCTTTGAGCATCGCATCGTCAGGCACCTGACAAGCTTCTCGTGTTTATTTTTCAAATCTTCTTCTCGAGAGGCTTCCTGCCTTTGTGCTCGTCTGCTTTCCACGCGAGCCCTTCAGGTTTCTGCCGTTCGCTACTCAAGCGATCACCTCTTCTCCTACCTTTGAAGCAACCGCTTCACATCTCTGCTCACTCTAGCATCACTCGTCCTCGCGAGTAGAGCGTCTCTGACGGCTCGCTCGCTTCGTTACCTTCGCTCGTCACTTCAGAAACGCCCTCGAACGCGCCCGACCTCACTCTCAAGGTCCTCGGTCACCAGAGAAACAGGCCATCCAGGTAAATCCCCTCTCTTCTCTCTCTCGCTCCCTCTCTTCCTCTCTCTTCCTCTCCCCTCTTCCCTCTCCTCCATCTTCTCCGCCTCCTCTCCCAAGCTCCCTCTCCTCTCCCCGACCGTCGCTGTCGTCTCTACCGCTTCAGCTCTGGCCTCTAACTCTTCTGTCTTCTCCTCTGCTTGTTCTGCTCGTCTCTAACGCCGCCGCTCGCAGCACAGTTCTCTCTATTTACCACAACCATGCCCTCGTCTACGCGGCGTCGCCCTCGGGGTGCCGCCCGACACGGAGCAAACCAGCTTCGAAACGCTTTTTCCGCTCTCGACATCCAGCGCACTGCAGACTCTGGAAGCGACAGTTCTGACGACCGTAAGTGACCTACTTCTTTTCAGTTTCGCTGTCTTCGTCTCTCCCTATCTCCCCTACTCCTTTTGTATTGATACGCATCCACCTGGTCTCCACCGGACTCGATGTGCACTTGCCTCTTTCATCTGGAATACTGCATGTTTGCCTCATGTTTAGTCTATGCTTGTGCATATTCATTGTTTGCCTTTGTTTGCTGTTTGTTGTGGCCTTTTCGCCGTTTTCAGGGGTGCAGTTTGCACTGCTGAGGTCCCAGAGACGACCAGGTCACTCCCTCATCATTCCTCTACTTCACTTTGAAATCTTCTTTCTGTTCCAGAATGACTTTACTAACTGGCGCAGAAATCCGTCCTCGTGCCCTTCATGTGGCCAAGAGGTAAGCGTTGACCGACAGCTTGTTGCACGAGTTCTCCTAACACACCTGCAGCTTCCCTCCTCCGCGTTCTTTCGGTGACGCCGATGATGAGTCTCAATCGTTCTCTGGGTGAGTATTCCAGAAAGTCCTCTACTTTTCAGTTGCTGATACTCCTAGATCCGGCCCTTCCAACTCGGATGGCATGACCGGACGAGACAACACTGGAACTGATACTTCCGTCACTCAGGAGATCCCTCACCAGGAGCAGATCTCTCAGCCTCTCATCAACCCAGAGGCCATCCAGGACGCCTCCGGTCAGGAGTGGGACGCTCAGTCCTGCTACCCATCCGAGGCTTGTGTCTTCGTTGCAAAGTAAGTCACCAGAGCACTCTTTTGAAAACCACACACTAACTGGACACTCAGCCTCAGTCAGAATTACGATGACCTGACCCTCCAGTCCGCCGTTACCAAGGTGTTCAACCTGTACGGCACTGTCTTTGTCAAGATCAAGCGCGACAAGCGTCAGATGCCTTTCGGCTTCGCTCAGTACACCGTAAGCAACGCTGACAACCACACGTCTGATAGTTGAAATTGACTCTTCCTTCAGAAACCTGAGGATGCTGAGAAGGCCCTCGCCAACCTCCGAGGTGTCGAGATCCTTGGCCGACCCGTTCGCGTTGAACGATGCAACGCCAACCGTAAGTGACATCCCACTCGATCTACTTGACTGCCTGCTTATCATGCATAGTGATTTTCCTCATCATCCGTCGCAACAAGGGCAAGGTGTCCCACAACGAGGCTCGAGATCTCCTCTCTCCGTTTGGAGCCATCGCCAAGGTCGAGGACCTAGACCCTGCCACACAGGAGCGTCTTGGTCTCTCGCCCGCCGTTCGTGTTCGATTCGAAAGGTTTGATCCCCGACGTGATGTCATCAGAGTGAGTATCCAGCTATTACCATTGTCTTTGCTTCAATACTAACAGTCTTACAGGGCGTTGGTGACAACACCCCCTTTGTCATCATCAACTTTGATTTCAAAGTTGCTCAGGATCCCTCTGAGCGAGATCCCCACGACGTCACCTGCATGATCACTTTGGAGAGAGACAGTCGTTCCGTCTTTCTCGGTTCCCTACCAGCTCATACGACTGAGTACCTTGTCCGCGAGCTGGGTTCGGGGTGCGGAACAATTGTCAGTACCCAAATTAAGCAGTCAGTCGACGGCAGCAACGGTAAGTAGTCTATACCTCTGACAAGTTACTTGCTAACGTGTACAAGGAATGGCTAGCTTTTATGCCTTTATCGAGTACGATCATCCCAACGGCCCTGACAAGGCTATCGCCAAGCTGGCAAGTCCTCCCCGATGTGTCCAAGATATAGTCAACTGCTAACAATGATACAGAACGGCTACAGAATTGGTGGCACTTCGCTCCGCTGCGAGCGTCGACGCACGAAGTCCCTTCACGCAACCCCAGCTGGTTCCACTGGACCCTATGGCACGGTTCCCCCGAACCGACCTCATCGACGAAATGCATCGGCGTTCGCGACTGCTTTTGTCACTCCCAACAACGATGCTGGCTCTCAGAGACGTCGCTCTAAGGGACATCAGCGATCTGCTTCTGTCTACGATGTTCTTGCTGGCCCCAAGACTGCTGACTTCTCGATGGGTGCCTGGCCACCAAAGGACGAGTCTCCCTATGATCAGTCTCAGCCCAAGGGACAGTCCTTCCGAAGATCGTCATCCTACCGCCAGTCATCTGTGTATGAGCCCTCCTACATTGAGTTGCAGAGCGGTCAGTCTCCATACCAGGAGACTTCATTCCGGAAGCCCACATACGCTGGTTCTGAGTACCAGCAACTGCAGTACCAGAGACTGCAAGCATCGCCCCTTCTCCAGGCTCACAGCCCGGAAATCCTGCAGCCTGAGCCTCTGAGAATTACAGCTCGTCGTCTCTTCGACCTTGAGGAGACTACTGCCATGGGACCCCCATCTATCCCAGCCTATGCTCCGCTGGCTTCTGTCGACATGCTAAAGCCCACCGTTCACTGGGCACCTTCTCCTGATATGTCTTCTACTGGATCATCTGACTTTGAGCGCAACCCTTACCTTTCTAACGCCTATCGTGCTTCCACACTCGGTCCCTCGTTTGGTCAGCGCATGGCTGGTCATCGTTCTGGTGCTCGCCGCTCGGTCACCAACATTTTCCCTTCCATCGACGATGCTGTTGCTCGTGCCAGTTCGACCTTGGAGGAGTCTGAGGATGCAAAGATCCAGAGCACACTCGCAAAGTACATCCAATGCGCCAACAAGGAGAACATGCACAAGGCCGCCGAGGATGCGAAGAAGAAGGCTTCTGAGGACGCTACCCGCAAGGCTTTCAAGACTGCTGCCGAACTCGCTATCGAGACTGCTGCTGCCAACGAAGAAGCGGCCTAGGAGACCGTTGACGATTCGCAGAGTGATTCCATCCGAATGACCCGGAAGAGGGCCTTCACTCGTTCTCACCATCTGTCCGAAGAGAACCTGAAGCACAACAACAAGGTGGAGGATGATCTCCTCAAGCGCACTGCTCGATCCGAGGAGCACCTTCGACTTGGTCGCCTCAACCTTTCCTGCGACGATCTGAAGAGAAGTGCCAAGGCTGATAAGGGTGAGAAGTCTAACAAGGTTGTCAAAGCTGACAAGAACAAGACTCCCAAGACTCCCAAGTCTTCCAAGAAGAAGGCCAAGGATCAGGCCCCTCAGAGCACTGTCGACGCTCTCGCTTCCGGTGGGCACAACAACCTTGTCCCTCAGGGCATGATGCCACTGCCTTACATGTCGATGGTTCCGCCTTACCAGCAGGCTTTCGCATACCCAGGAGCACCCGGCGCGCAGGTGACGCAGCCCCAAGGAATGATGCATCCTATGATGCAAGCTCAGATGGCGAATGCCCAAGTCCAGGCTATGCAGGCCCAGATGATGGCATCCCAGATGATGTCGTCTCACATGGCGCACCCTCAACTTATGCCTCAGATGATGCCCCAGGGAATGACTCCTGGATTCGGCTACATGCCCGCTGCCTACCCTCAACAGGCACAGTACCAGAACGCTTACGGCGCCAACATGATGTACACCGGTAACCCAGCCTATCCGTACGTTATCGTCGAGTCACCTACCCGCCAGGCCAATGTCACCGAGCAGGTTGACATCTATGAGGATGGCCAGAACGAGGAGTCTGAGGAAGAGACTTCTGAGCAGCAGACCGAGGAGGCCTCTACTGGGTATGAGGACTCTGCGTTCTCCGACTAATCTCTCACTCTTTGATGCGCTCTCACTCTCCGACCATTGACACTCATCACCGCGTCGGCATGAAGTCAGAGCTTCACACTACGACCGACTTCTCGGTTGTTTCTTGACATACCATACGCATATCCATCTGATCGCTTACACTCATTTGCTTTACGATCCTCAACGATATGCTCTATATTCGCTTTGTCTTTTTCGGTTCATTCAGTCTGTTTCGCTCTGTTTCGCCTTAACGTCTTTCCTTCGCATCTCTCAACACGTCTCCGAGCAGTGAGCTCTGTCGCAACGATAGCTTCATCACCTGAGGCTTGTTGCTTCTCGACACACTCAACACACTCGGCTCTTTTTTTGTTTGCGATTTCTCTCGGCATCTTCTGCTTTCGACTTTTTACACTCTACACTCATTTGGACCTCAATCTTCTCTAATCTCTCGGCCTCCTACCTCACAAGATGAAACAGGACGGCTTACGCGCTGCCCTTTGCTTACCAGGGTATTTGTATGAAAACTTCGGATGGGACATGTATGGATGGGATAGAAAATTAGAAAAACAAAAAAACATGGTTGGAAAAGGGCGCAAGCCCACAAAAGGGCGAAAGCCCACCAAAAAAATAACTCTGGTTCCCTTTTTGCTTGGTGAATGTGTGAATGCTTTCTCTGGTGATGATATGATATGATGTTTAGGCCTGGCAAAAGGGCCGAACGTGGGATCATGCTATGGGGCACTTGGTAGCCCTGGCGAGATAACAATTTTGACGAGAGGCCTAAGGACCTTCACAGCGTGAGCAAATGTGAGTATGACTCCGGGATAAGAATGATCAAGATGTTATGGCCTAAGGGAAGACTGATTGATGTGAATGATAAGGTAAGCCTTACTGTGATGTGTGAATAGTCTCAGTCAATTATTACATGATGTCCAGGTAAGCTTTTTACGACTCCACGACAAGCATTACGACGACACTAAGCTAAGGTTTGCCTCTAATGAACGAGAGAGTTATTCCCGTGAGCAATGGAGACCAATCGTCAAAGAAGAAACACAATCTCCCTTTATTCATCCAACAGCAGCTTGCAAGCTCTTCGGTCCGTCGCTCCATGAAAAACTCCACTCTTTTCGTGTCCACCTGATGACTCCCTGTCGTCTCATTTTCACCACGAGTTCGAGAGATGAACTGACCCCCACACTCACTAACGAAAAAAGCTCGCATTCAATCAGCCAAGCCCAAGTATCCTTGGATCTGTGACGGCTCTGATTACCTTTACTGGATTGGGAGATGGGATGGGTTCTAACTGTAATCAGCTGAAGCGGCGGCGCATTTGAAGAAAAAAATCCCCTCGGTTTGGGAATGCCTGATTTTTCTTCTTTCCTACATCAACAATTCCACCCAAGAACGACACTTGTTCTGTTGAACGTGTACCCTTCGTATTTCGAAAAACGACAGATCACGTCCCCCTTTTTCGCCATGGGTCAACCATCTACGCAGGCGTCCAACGCCGTCATGTACCTAACTTATGGTGCATTTCTGTTCGTCATCCTCCAAAAATCCACCTTCTTTTGCGCGTCAACAGACACCAAGCTAACAATGGACGCAGCATTGTTGGAACGGGCATTGCCTGGAGAATGAGAAACCAGTCCAAAAAGGACTTTCTCTCTGGCAACGGAACTCAGACGGGTCAGGAAAACTTAACTCCCAGAGACTCTAGATCCCATGAGTTCTTCATGGGGCACCCTAGGTTCCCTTCAAAAAGACCAGCTGCTAACGTTTGGCAGCCTTTCCTCTGGCCCTCAACTTCATCGCCTCCGGTGAGTAGAGCCTCAAAGAGCTCTTGAAACGCAAACATCCCGGAGCGGTAGCAACACTGCAGCAAAGCAACGATGAAGCAATTGGCTGTGAGGAATTCAATCTCACGCACGAGTATTACGACGAGCATGAAGCAGTAAAGACTGAACGAGCAGGTTCGTACCTCACAATAACGATCTTACTTCTTCTCCCCCCTCCCCAAGATGTTTCACACAACTCTGTTGCTACTAACCCTCATCCAGCTCAGTTGAAGCGTACAACTTGAGCTGAGCTGGATAACAATGCATCAAACCTGCTCCAGAGAGACATCTCGGGAGGGGGGAGAGGATGCGGCTCACTACGGGCGCTGAGTCGAAGTATCGTCGGCATCCAACCTCGAGAGTTACAACTCGAGGAGATGCTGACGTGCAGAGGCAAAGCTGAGATTGTACCGTAAATACTCGATCAAGTTAATGCTTGCGTGGGAAAAGTGTTGCCGCTCCAGAACCCCCCCTGACCCTTTCCCCATTTCCTCAGTGACAAACTGACTCTTGTAGCTCTCGGATCCGCCATTCTATTCTCGTATCCCGAGTTGGCAACCATTGCTGGCGTTCAGGGTATGATTGTCTACTCGTTCTCGTCGGCTATTCCCATCCTCATGTTTGGATATATCGGTCCTGTCATTCGACGACGTTGTCCTGAGGGTTTCGTCCTGACCGAGTGGACGAGGCAGCGATATGGTACTTTGACTATGCTGTATCTTAGCTTCATGACGCTGGTTACTTTGTTCTTGTACATGGTTTCTGAGCTCTCGGCCATTGGACAGGTCGTCACGGCTTTGACTGGCCTTGATGGTCTCCCCGTCATGATCGTCCAGTGTGTCATCACCACTATCTACACCTGTAAGCTCACCTCTCCTGTCTTGAAGCCACGTTCTGACTCTCCCAGCTCTCGGTGGCTTCCGCATCTCCTTCTTGACCGATGTCATCCAAGGAGCCATGGTCATCGGTCTCGTCATCATCGCCACCATCACCATCGGCGCAAAGACAAGCATCGACCGCAGCCTGATCGATTCATCCGGCCTTCTCGATGCGAACCTTCTCGGCTGGCAGCTCCTGTACATCTTCCCTGTCGCCGTCGTGACCAACAGCTTCTTCCTGTCCTCTTTCTGGCTACGCACCTTTGCCTCCAAGACGGACAAGGACCTTCATCTGGGCACCATCATCGCCACCATTGTCGTGCTGTGCGTCCTTACTCTTGTCGGTTCTACTGGTCTCATCGCCATCTGGTCTGGAGCCTTGCAGGAAGATGAGACTGCCTCATCGGGAGCCATTGCCTTTTTCGCCCTTCTGGAACAACTCCCTAGCTGGGTCGTCGGTGTCGTTCTCGTCATGGTCGTCACCCTCAGCACAGCTGCCTTTGACAGTCTGCAGTCGGCCATGGTCTCGTCCGCCTCCAACGACTTGTTCCGCAACAGGCTCAATGTCTGGTTTATCCGAGGCGGTGTCGTCCTCATCATCATTCCCGTCATCGTCCTCGCTCTCAAGGCTCCCTCGATTCTTCAGATTTACCTCATCACTGATCTCATCTCCGCCGCCACTATCCCCGTCCTCTGCATCGGTCTCATCAAGAGCTGCTACTGGTGGCGTGGCTTCGAGGTTGTCGTTGGTGGTCTGGGTGGTATCTTTACCGTCTTCCTCTTCGGTCTTGTCTACTACGGCAACGCTCAGGAGGCTGGTGAGCTTCTGCTCGTTCAGAAGGGTCTGTACGGTAACGACTGGAGTGCCTTTGGTGCCTTTGTTGCTGCCCCTGTCGGCGGTTTCCTCTGGGGTGTTGGTGCTCTCATCCTCCGTCTCTCAGTTCAGTTCGTCATGGCCAAGGTCCAAGGACGTCGCTTCGATGCTCTGGATCGTCCCCTTGAGCGACCTGAGAGTAGGGAGACTGATGAGCCTGCTGAGAACCTCGTCTCTGCCACGGCTGGCAAGTTTTTCTAGACATGTCCCCATGAGATGCCAGACGCTGTCGTTTCTTACAACGACTTGGCTGACTCTGTCAATCAACCCCTGACCAGAGTGGTACACTCGACAAACATTATCTCTCTTCACATCACCAGAGGAACCTCGTTTCTTCATGGACGTCGGCTGCTTTTTACACAAAAGGCAAATACCCAAGATTGAATTGGAGAAGTACTATCTATGTACTGACGTCCGTTCGCCGACCTCCATGCTATTCTATAGTACACAGATATAATCCTCGTACAATATACACTCTCGTTTTACACGTTACTCTTGCTCCTTGACTCGTGATCCCATTTTCTCAGCTGGAAACCAGGTCGTTCAGCCTTCATATCAGTACAACTGCCTTCTCTTCCTTACTTTTTGGTTGGTCCAGTCCATCCCGCTCGCTTGGCCTGCTCCACGTTGATCCAATCCTGCTCCTCAAGATACGCCTCGAGAGTCGTAGCAGGGACTGTGCCCCATATACGCCAAGGTCCAGAATGGTAAGTCCTCTCATTGACCTGCCGTGACAGAGCCACGTATTCAATCTTCTCCTGCACCTTTGTGCTTCCCGGGATCAGCTCCCCAGTAGACTTCTTGTACTTTGACGCTCGCTGTGTTGACGCAATCGCAATGACGGCCTGTTCGGTCGAGTTCTCCTTGTCGTATGGGTTCACCGCGTGCACCTGGTGGGCGACGACACGAGGGTAGAAGAGGGTCTTGTTGAACTTGACGAGTTCGAATGAGGTGCGCTCGGTAGGGTTGCGGCGGTCGATGGCAGCCGTGAGCTTCTTTGCGAACTGGCCGAGGCAGAGAGAGTTGATAGTAGCCTTGTCGCCAGCCGCGAAAGCTGTGAGCATCTCGGTGTACATGACCTTGGCTGTCGGTGCGATCTTGCCGCGGGCGGCCTTCCACTTGGGTCGGGTCGTCCAGTTGGGCATGGACTTGAGCTTGAACTGGAGCACGGAGAGGGTCTCAATGCCCCATTGACGCAGGCGGTACCATGAGTAACGGAAGAAGTTGGTGCCGCCGGGGTATCGAGAGAGGGGGAGGGTGACGAAGGTGCCTTGAGTTGAAGTTAGTCTCGCAGTGATTCACAACCTCAATTGGAGGGGCTATATGACCAACTCACCAGGAAACAGAGGCCCTCCTCCTGACTTGAAGTATTCATCATTCGCCTTCTTCTGCATAACAGACATTGACTCGGCTTCCATCTTCTTCGACTCTCGGCGGGCAGTCTTCTCCATCTCCCGCACCATCTTTGCCCTCGAGGGCATGGCCGAGTACCGCGCAAACTGTGCACCCACCGTGCCCATGACGCCCCTCCTCAGGGCGCCCGGGCGCAGCGCCATCGTCGACGAGGCAGGCATTTATTCGTCTGGGCACCAATTGAGCCGGCGCAGGGTCATCATTCGGAGCTGGGTGCTCTGATCGGCGGGCGGAACCTGGGTATCGGCTCAGAAGAATTTCTTGGGCCGGTGTCGGAGAAATGATGTGCCGTGGTCCGACCCTGTGCGAAATGGGATCATTTTGGGGACAGTGGGTGGGTGGTACGCGGGGCGAGACACCAGAAGGTAAGTTCTTTCCACCTGAGAATTATGACATTTTCAAAGAGAATTTACTCAAAATTTGAGAAGCGATCTCCGAGATATGCACTGCTTTTTTTTTCTTCTACACACCTTCACGGGAGGATAAACTCATGCCTTTGTGCTGTGTCTCGTTCCTTGCTTGACAAGGGTGGGTGACACTGATTCACACGCGCTAGCCTGTGTAAACCTTCAACGGCTTTTCGAACTCATCAACCACATCACGAACTACACCACCACCTCTTCTCCGAGCACAGGCGCAGTCGCAAGGCTCTACTCGCTGCTTCTACCTCTAGCCCATGTCCCGCGACTCTCGGTGAGCCAATTGGCTCTGCGACGAACCTTGCGACAAACCACACACCATTTACTTGTCGAAACTCGCCCATCATGAGGGCGACGCAAACTCTCCTCTCGAGGAACTTCTTCGGGCGAAGCATGGACGAGCTCAGGCGACGAACACAGATCGGTATGCTCTCTCTACCCAATTTTCTGATCCTCTGCTAACAAGCCACAGCCGTCTCCTTCGAGGCCGTCAAGGGCGCCACGAAACCCAAGCCCCTCTACGACTTCAACACCTCCAACAACGTCCGCGACTGCATCGTCATGACCGACAAGACCATCGGCGGCTTCTCCGACAGCAACTTTGAACACGCAACATCCACCGACCCGAAATCCCCCTCCTCCTACGCCCGCTTCTACGGCTCCATCTCTACACGCCTCCCCGCCGACAAGCCCAACATCCAGCGCACCGGATTCGCCGGCTTCCGAACTCCCGATCAGCGACCTACGGTGTTTGGTCGATCGATGTGGGATATCGATCCCTTCCTGTACCTTGCGCTGCGAGTCAAGTCAGATGGTCGCAGTTACTTTGTCAATCTACAAACCGAGAGTGTGGAACCCTCAGATCTGCACCAGCACAGACTGTTCGCCAAGCGGCCAGGACAATGGGAAACGGTGCTCATCAAGTGGAACGACTTTGTACGAACGAATCACGGTTTCGTTGTTGAGCCTCAGACTGAGATGCTGAGGCAAAAGGTTCTGAGTGTGGGTGTCGGACTGACGGATCGTGTAGAGGGACCGTTTGAGCTTTGCATTGAGAGAGTATGGGCTACGAACGATGTGTCAGAGGCCGATTCAGGAGCACCAACCGTTGAGGCCAAGGCAGAGGAGACGCCAGCAAAGGGGACGCCAGCAGAGGGTGGGTTGAGGAACAGAAAGGGTGAAAAAGTACGATGGTAGACATCAGGAGGTGGAACAAGCGTTGCGTGGAACAACCACGATTGATGAGGAACGAGGCATTGCACGTGTATCATAAATCTCATGCTCTTGAAGAAGAGTACCCCTGAGGGCTGGTTCATATCTCACTCGTCCTTGTACGAATAAAATGTTTAATCAACTCCTAAAGATGCTCTCCACTGTGTTCGGAACTGTTGCCCAGCATTTCCTAGAGCTCTGCCACTGACACCAGTCCGAGTAATCGTCCCAAACCTGCGTCATCCACACTGGCCCGACTAACTCATCGCCATCATTGCCACGGCCACTGTTTCACGAGACCCAGCAGCTCCTGCATCCACGCCTGGGTGATATCCCCTAGGAAAGTGTTTTGTTGATCTTGAGCTCCCCTCCTCGCGGCAGTTTCTTGGCCAACTGTTTGAGGCTCGTCTGCAGGACCAAAGAGGCCGACCACAACCAGAGGAGCAATGCAGGGTATTTATCCCCTCTGAGGAAGTATTGATGACAACGTCTTTTCCTCTCCTTTCAAATCGTCCTTGTACAAATAAACAGTATAATCAACTCCTAAAGATGCTCCCCTTCGCCACCGTCCATGCTGTACCATGTCATATCATGCCTTGGCTATCATCACACATCACGCCCCAAGACTGAGAGCCGCAGCCTTCTTCTGCAGTGCCACATACTCCGCCGCGTAGTCTGCCGCCAGGGCCATGTCCCCAGAGAGCTTCATGATCATGGCCTTCTTCGCCGTCATCTGGCATTGCATGGTCATGTCCTCAATCTGCGAGTATTGGCCAAAAGACTTCTGTACAGCCTGGAGGGCTTTCGTCATGTATTCCATCCGTTTGGTCGACTTTGGCTCGCACTTCCCTGCAAGTCCCATGTTTGCGTCAGCCAGGTAGCTGTAGAGCTGGCCGGACAAGTTCGCCGTATCGCATTCAAGAGACCGAGGTATCACGGCCACCAGCAATTGTGAGGCTGCTTCAAACTCGCTGAGTGAAACGAGGATATTTGACACAGCGCCAATGGCTTCCCAGAGACCCGGAAGATTACGAGCTTCCCAAGAGATGCTTGCAGCTCGCATGGCAGCAGTGAAGCCCCTCTGCGTCCGGCCACACTTATCCAGAAGCGAGGCCTTCAGCAGTAGAAGCTTGACCTTGAGAACCACGTCTCGACGTTCTTCCTGTATCTGTGACATGATGCGATCGATCTTGGCAAATGCTGCTTGAAAGTCACCCCGCCGGATAAGGTAATCGACATGGAGGCTGTCAACGAGAAAGGCCATATCGGGCTCCAGATCATCATCCCTGGACTGAACGATTTGCGATATTAGTTGGTCAGCCCCTTCGAGGTTGTTGTGGTGTAGGTCTCTCTTGAGCTTGATGATCCCTCGATACTTGTGCCAGTATTGACTTGGCTTCCATGATCTCAATGAGTTCTCTTCCAACACTTCCAGCTTCTCCAGGGCCTCGTCGTATCTTCCTTGCCCCGCGAGCATCATTGCAAGTCGACAGCTGAGTTTGAGTTCGTCATCAAAGATGGAGTGTCGTGCATGGCATCTCAGAAAGACCTCGCATGCCACCGACGACATACTCGAGACACCAAGACGGTCCCACAGGGCCGCCGTGAGCGCGAGGTGAGAGCCAAACATGTTCTTCATGTTTCTCGCCATGACAATGTGAGAACTTCGAACCATTGACTCCATTGCCGCAGCCACGCTGTCGCCGTTGATGAGCCCAAGCTTCGCCTCGCTGAGTAGCACAGCGCTCCATAACGTCCACATGCCCGTTTCTTTCGACTTGACTCGGAGGAATGCGAGGTTGTCCTTGCCTGTGCCTAACATGCTATGAGACACGAGGTCACGAACAAGATCGGGGTGGGCACGGCCAAAGTGGAACAGCCAGTTGAGAGCAAAATTGAGGCAAGACATGTCCCGGTTCTCTCGTGCTGTCGATACGGTTTCGAGCATGGCTGTCAGGGCTTCTCGGTGACAGCCAAAGTCGGCCTGGAGAACAGCAAGGTTCATGAGAGCGTATTGGTAATAGGAGCGGTCTCTGTTGGACATGGTGTAGTCAAAATATCGATGAAGCAGATCGAATGCGGTCGGATAGTCTCCTCCTCTCCAGGCATCAAGAAAACTGTGCATGTCAGACAAAGGTCCACCAGCATAAAGGGGCACTTGAACCTACTTGAGGTAGTGTGTAAGACTGGGCTTGATGCAACTGTCTTTAAGCAAGTCGTGAAACTGAAGGCGAATTTCAAGTGGTATTCGGTTTCCATACTCTACTTCGTGTAAGCAAGGGCCTCAGGACTAGGGGGTTATACTCACTCTGCACTTGTTCAATCTGGAACTCAAGGAGGCTCCCGATGTCGTCGGCACTCACAGGGACCGTACTACTCTGATCCCCAGTGAGCATGTCACCGTACGCCACTGAGGCCAGGTCCATGACGTTCTGGTGATCCCAGTCCTCTTGCTCGCCCATCAACAAGACATTGTCGAAGCTCATCCGCCCAAAGCCCGGGATTTTGCGCTTCATGTACTGGGCGGTGGGCTGTCGATATCGTACAAAGTTTTTCCAAAGTTCGGTGCAGTCGTGGAATCGAAGTCGATGGTACTCCAGCCGTGCCCGACGGACAAACGTCCCAAAGGGCGAGTTGGGTGTGAGTTTGACACCTCCCTCATCTTCAACGGGATGGCCCACTTCGGCAAGTCTCTGTCGCTCCTCCTTCGTCTTGGCCAGCAGACGAGAGAGATGGTCGAAGAAGTCGTGCAATGCATCGAGGCAGTTGATGTCCCAGAGTTTTCCTAAAAATTGGTCCCATAATCTCCGTCCGGGCATGCCCATTAAAAAGGGATAGCTGCCGAGTAGCTTCTCAAAGTCTTTGATGCTGATGATGAGGCTGACCGTCCGCTCTGCTTTGCCCCATCTTTCGGCCTGATCCGCAGATGCACTCTTTGGAGCAAAATCTGTGAGGTGATCGTGGACGAAGGAGAGGACTGGGAGGATCGCATCACTGGGCACAGCTCCTTCGACGTAGAGCTCCACGAGGACGAGCAGGCCAATCTTGGCCGGGTTGAGGAATCGCGCCATCCTTGCACACCATCAAATATTAGAAGTTGAAAGGGCGAGTTTGGATGTGAGATGGAGGAGTTAGGTTTGAGTGAAGTGTGTGAACGCGATGGGAAGGATGTTGTTGCTCTACACCCGGTCGCGCCTTCCTGCCTAATTGTCAATCAGGAAGGACCCCAACCGAATGGGAGTTTGTCTACCTCTACGAGAGGCCTAAGCCTTGATATCGATTCTCAAAGAGTCAAACACTCATAACCCGCGTTCTTTAGACAGCTCCAGGCACCTCAGCTCCAGCCTGGCGCGCGCGCTTGGTGTGTTGATGGGTCGCTTGGCGGTTTGTGGTTTGGTCGGCAGTTCCTCGGAAAATGCCGGGATGACACAATGTTGAGTGGGCAGATGCGTCGTTGGACATGACTTGAGGGGTCTGATATCATCGGCCAGCAGCACAAATTCAACGTTCAATTGGCGTTCATATCAATTAAGATCCTCCTGGAACTGGACGAAGCTCGGGAGCTTCCAGTTCCTCATCCAGGACATGCATTGGGCACGCCCAGAATGGCACCAGTAAAGGGCGAGGCATTACTCATCATTGACAATCTCACATCACCACACATCACTCTCATCAAGGCACGCAATCTCAACAATCAGTCAATTCGAGTCTAGGGAACATGTACAAGGTATCTCCGGGAGGAGCTGTCCGTCAGTTGTCCAACACATGACCAGTCTAAAGATTCGCTTAGGCGACCTTGTCCTTGTTGTGGTAGTTGACGCTCTCGTTCCAGCTGTGGCAGGTTAGCAGTTTGTCCTCGGCACTCTACAGAAAACGTGAAGCTCCATTGGTCGAAGCTGATGTCGGGTTCAAGCTTCGCAGAGCTCTTCCAATGTCGAGGTTCATCGTTCGGGAAGTCGTAGTAACTTACAAGAGAGTCTGTGACCTGTTAGCATTGTGCAATTGACCCGTAAAGAATCCAAACTGACCTTGTCGCCATCACCCCACTGGTAGTTCTTGGAGCGGATGTTCTGGTAGGGGTACTCGGTGCGCTCCTCCAGAGGAGGCATGTGGTTCCAGTGGTCCCAGTGCTCGTTCCAGAGCCAGTAGGCGTTGGCAGCGGACAGGGCGAGGGCGGGGATGACGCCGCTTCCATCTTGTTAGCTCTCGTTCGTACCAATGCATCGCGGCCGTGTCGTCTTCAGCTTCCGATCCTCCGAAATCGACGCTCGGCTCGTAATTCACTCAATTCTCGGGTCGGGACGTACAAGATGGAGATCTTCTTCCAGAGCTCTGCCAGCCGTCAGTAATCATGTCCAATCCATCCAATTGACCCGGTCCGCAGTCGTCGGCGACTCACCAGTGGTGCCCTTGGCGTGGTCCTTGATGTGCTGGCGCTCCTTGATGAACTCGTTCTCGACGGTGCTGGCGAAGCGGCGCTGGGCAGGGACGCGGAGCTGCGCGGAGACGCGCGAGGCGGTGCGGGTGAACTGTCGGACGGCAGACATGGTGAACGCTGTTGTTCGTTCGGTTGACGGGTTGATGGTGACAAGCCAAGTTTGTGATCAGGTCATTCTTGGACGAGCTCGGTTAGAGCCGCCAATCAGTGCTGCCTCAATTGTCAGGTTCGAATTTTTCTCGCGGGTGACCGAGACCACGTGATCTCGCGAGGACGCCGCGAGGTGCAACGGCACGCGGTGGAGCTCCTGCGTCATTGTACTCAGCAGCCGCGGTCCTCAACCCTCACGCGAGCAACGCTGTTAAGACCACAACTTCGAGTCACTTCGTCACCACGATGCTTTGAGTTTTCATCTCTCTCGTGGTTCTGTTTTCCCTATAGTACACGTCTGGTGTTCTTGAATCCCACCAATTTGCCCTTGTTTGCGACTTACGGCCGAGTTCCCCCTGTCTTTCTATGACCACATCACTCAAACCGCAGGAGATAATGTGCATCACGAGGATCACAACCATCACGACCCCTTCGAAGACTCTGCTGTGAAATATTCCCCCTGGGGCTCGAATTGAGCCTTTCCACGATGGCATTTCGTCTTACGACATGGAATGGTGAGACTCCTCTCAAACTCCAAGACTCACCCGCTTACACATTCACAGTCAACGGCATCAGGTTCGTCATTCGTTGTCGAGCGGCTGAGGAGTTCTAATACCTTGCTTTTATCAGGAATCCCTTTGGTTATCAGCCTTGGAGAGAAAAGCGAACCTTCCAAGTCAGTGTTCCTCCAGTCTCCTACGCTGCGATCCTTCCGCCCTCAGTTTGAGTTCCTTCCCTGCTTCAAAAGCATTGGCCTAGATACAACCTAAATCTTAATCATATTGCGAATGGTTACAACAAGGCATGGGTTAGATCCAGGCTGAGGCCCAGATGGTGCTCTTGCTAGAACCCAGATGATGCTTAGGCATGGTTTCCAGGCAAGGACTTGGATGATGCTTGGACAAGGTCCTGGGTGATGGTTAGACATCGACCTGGTCGATACTTAGCCTATGACTCAAGTGATGCTCACCCTAGGACCTAGATGATTCCTAGGCCAGTATCTGGGTAATACTCAGACTTAGGCCTGGGCGATGCCCAGGCTGGGATCTCGATGAGACCAAGACTGGGACGATTTAGAAGATGCTGAAGCTAGAACTTGAGCCATGTCTAGGCTGTCCAAGTGCAATTTTTGACTCTTTTCGCAGGCCATGTTTGATATCTTGGAAGCAGACATCGTTGTCATGCAAGAGACCAAGATCCAACGAAAGGATCTACATGACGAAATGGTCCTTGTCCCTGGCTGGGACGTCTTCTTCAGCTTGCCCAAGCACAAGAAGGGTACAGCTCTACCCCTTTAAAAGTTCAAATACCAGCAAGCTGACTAGTCCAAGGATACTCCGGCGTCGCCATCTACACACGAAACTCCAAGTGTGCCCCTATCCGAGCCGAAGAAGGGGTCACTGGTATCCTCACACCCCCTAAGTCTACGACCAAGTTCCGCGATCTCCCTCCTGACCAGCAAATCGGTGGCTACCCTCGACCAGGCCAGCTCGATGGCATCATCGACGAAGCCACTCTCGACTCTGAAGGCCGCTGTGTGATTCTCGAGTTCCCGGGGTTTGTGCTCTTTGGGGTCTACAGCCCTGCCAACCGTGACGAGACACGGGATGACTTTCGCTCAGGTTTCTTCCAAGCGCTCGATGTGCGGATACGAAACCTTGTAGCAGATGGCAAGCAGGTCATTCTCACGGGTGACTTGAACGTTGTTCGCTCTGCGATGGACTCGACCAACGTCGCCGAGATGTTGCGCAAAGAGGACATAAGCTTGGATGACTGGTTGAACATGCCTGTACGACGCATCTTCAACCAGCTCATCTTTGAGGGGAAAGTGGTTGGAGAGAGGGACGAGGGCCGGGAGGAGCCTGTTCTCTGGGATCTGTGTCGTTGCTTTCACCCTGAGCGAGCAGGCATGAACACCTGCTGGGACACGAAGCGAAACACACGGCCTGCCAACAATGGCAGCAGAATCGACTACATCTTGTGCAGCGACGGCATCAAGGACTGGTTCACATTTTCCAACATCCAAGAAGGCCTCATGGGGTCTGATCACTGTCCTGTGTTTGCGACGTTTGCTGACAAGGTGACGATGGAAGGCAAGGAGCGCGCACTGTTGGAGCTCCTGAACCCCCCTGGGATGTTTCGAGATGGTGAGCGTCAGCGCGACTGGAGCTCCAAGGACCTTCTCCCTTTGTCTGCAAAGCTTATCCCAGAGTTTGACCGCCGGCAGAGCATCCGCGACATGTTCACAAAGAAGACGGGCCCAAGCCTCTCCCGACAAGACTCGGTCATCACAGATGCGCCCGCAAGGCCGTCGAGCTACGCAAATAGCAACACTCCTGCAGCGTCGACGGAGCTTGACCAGGTCACAGGGTCACAGACCAGCATCGCCTCGTCCAGGCCTGACACCATCGAGACCACCAACTCAAGCCAGTCCCGATCCCAACCGAGCACGAAGAGACCTGCAGAGACCACGAGCACGGCATCAGCACGGTCACTCAAGAAGAGCAAGACTACGACAAGCTCCAACGACGCCAAGAGCAAGCCGCTGGCCCCGGGCCAAAGAACCCTGCAGGGTTTCTTCAAGCCCAAAGCACCAGCCTCCCAGCCCGACAAGCTAGAGCGAGTGGCAACCAACTCTATGCCCTCTCCAACAAAGAAACCGACAGGGTCGTCAAAGACACGGACCAACCTACAAGGGTCACCATCATCAATGTTTGCTACCACAGCAGGAAGGACACCCGAAAACAGCAAAGCCACAACGGATGGCGAGCCGTCCGACCGAGTATTTGACCCAATCGAGGCCAAAGAGTCTTGGTCAAAGCTGCTGGGCAAGAGAGTCGCACCCCGATGTGAACACAACGAACCCTGCATCAGCCTGACCACCAAGAAGCCAGGCGTCAACTGCGGTAAGTGGACCAACCGGATGCTATCCTACGATTATCAACGTGCATGCTGTGGCGTCCCCGTTGCACAACGTCGCGGGTACACGGCTGCAGGCAGGTACAATGTCAAACTCTGAAGCTGATATTGATCACAGGGCGGTCGTTCTACATTTGCCCACGTCCACTGGGTCCGTCTGGAGAGAAGGAGAAGGGTTCTGAATGGCGGTGCGGTACATTCATCTGGAGCAGCGATTGGAACGGGTCATGACACTCGCCAGGGTGCTGTCAGCGACATCAAGAAGGGATAGGGCTTGTACATTTACGCGCAGTACTGGCTGGGGTGATGCAAATACAGTCGGGTCCAAGATACCTACCTACCCAAACACAGTCATGGAAGTTGAAGATGCCTACCTCAGCACTCAAGGATGCTCGCATAAACACAGTCAACGAGGTTCAAGATACCTGCCTAATCGTAGTCAAGGAGTTTGCGTGGTTACCATGGTGACCCCAGCCTGTGTCTCCCAAGGGCAAGAGCGACCGGCCCACGTCGACGGTAGAATCGTAAAAGCATGGCATCGCGATATCACGCAGGCAGACAGAAAGTTCAGTGAATGACCTTGTTTGGATCTTCACCCTGGGGCAACGCAGAAGCGAAGCCGGTGAACTACCTGAGGCATTGCTGCCCGACACTAGCTACTTGATGACCAGAGTGAAAGACCATGCATCCCATAACCACAACCATAACCATCGCAGAACCTGGTAAGCAAAGGTGGGATCTCAAGCTGTGCTACCGCCATCGATGCCCCCCCTCCAAGTGAACGGGAATGCCACCGAGTGCCGGTGAAGGCCCGGGGCAGCAAACCCGCACAGATTAGTAGAGGAAGGTACAATGCGATGCCTCCTCGGTACACCCAGAGGTACATTAACCCGAAGGTTCCTCTTCCATGTTTGCGTTCGAGGCTTCATTGTTCGCGGCCTCCTGCTTCTTCTCAATGTAGTGGACGAGAGCTCTCTGGGCCATGAGCTTCCAACGCTCTCTGACTTCAGGAGTCTCGTTGAACCACATTTGAGTAATAGCCTCGCCTATACAAGCATTAGCCAAGCTCGCATATTGGTGAAAGGGTTGCTTACAAAGTTGCACATGCGAGATTTCGGGGCGCTGTCTGCGAATGTCCGGTTCCTTCGTCTTTCTGTACAAGATCCACGCATTCTTCGAAAGGGAATGAGTCAATCCATTGTCCAGCGTCAGAAGGACAGAGGGGACAGGAACACAGTCCGCTCCGGTAGCGTCTAGTATCATATTAGCAACGCCTAATCGACCGCAGTAAATACAAATGCATACCACGGGTGAAACAAAATCTTCCATAGGTCGAGGTATCGGTATCGGTATCAGACGACACACCCGGAGACACGGGGCAGAGGCGGAACTTTCTTCTAGCCTTGTCATGAAACACCATGACGGGCTGCTCAACACGGCGGCTGCGACTGTCAGACCATCAAGATCCTCCCAATCAAAGGTCCACATACCTGAAGTTGTCTGCGACATAACACAGATATTGGGGGTGCGAAAGGTCGTTCAGGAACATGTGAACATCCGACCGATCCTTCTGGTACACGAAGCTGAGGGGGACGTCCAGATATGGCGGACTGAGAAACCCTTCCACAGTACATCGGGGGTGCTTTGCCATGTCCTCCATAGAGATGTTGTCGGGCGCCATGGCTGTAGGTGTTGGGGCTGCCTCGATAAAGGCGAGGCCTGTGACTGAGGTATGAACTTGGGAGGGTTGTGTTGCGCAGCAGAGCAGCACGCGAAGATTGGTTTGGCGACCCACTGTCAAGTGTTTTCAGGACAATGCAGTTAGGCAAATTTACCTAATCTAGTCAGAGAACAATCTGAGGCTTATCATATTGTTCTCTAAATTACCCAAATAGGCACTGAGGAACAATAGAAGCACAGTCCTATTGTTAGAGCTTTAGGCCTATGGCATGCAGAGTTTTAGGGGCATGTCACCACGGACCCGGCTGCTGCTCTGTTCGCATTCAAACTTCACATCACAGAGCTCGCCAACATGGAGAACTCGTTCAGCTTCAGTCCCCTGTGGATGGAGGTTTCCGTCGCTAAGAGGGTTGACCCTGCTCTCAAACCTCTTCACAGCATTATCCTTCAGCGAGCCCTCAGAGACATCTCCCTACCGGAATTGGAGAGCAAAGAGCTCCAGACTGAAGGTATGTATTACACTCTCCTTCTTGCATTAGCCCTAACGTCCTCTAGACATTCTTGAATCGGTCGCCTCTCTGATCCCAGATCTACTTTCAGACCTTGCTGAGGATAATGACATCCTCAAGAACATTCGAACGCTCGCTGCAAGGGAAATACCAGGAGAAAAGCCTTCGGTCATCATTCAAGCGAGCATTTCGATGTGGTATGCCGAGGCCGTATCGTCTTTCCGCAAGCATTACAGGCCTGACGAGAACGACACTATGGGACTTGCTGGCCTGTCTCGGGACATTCCTTGGGAGCATAGCCAGTCTGAGCAGTTCCCATTCGCCAACTTGGGTTTCCTTGCGATGCTGGTCGTGGGCGAAGTCTGGGACAAGCCCGCCGACCTCAAATTTCGATCTGCCAGCCTTATCGCCCATACCGCCCTTACTTTCCTCTACATCACCCATGTCGTTGGGGAGCATCTCGCGGATTATCCGTGGCGTAGTCTTTCTACCTATGTCGATGAGCAATCCGCCAGAGCACTTCTTCTCAAGATCTCACTCTCAATTGTGGCGAAGGGCTACCGGCTGTCTCAGCCGTCGCAGGCGCCGGCAATTGAATTCAATGTGGCTCCCAACACCATCAAAGTGTCGGATCAAGGAAAGAAGCTGCTGGTCAAGGTCGCAATGGACAATGAGTGGCGATCTGTTCCATTCTGGCATCCCTATCGAAGAGTGCCTGGTTCGCCTTGGAACAACTACATCATGAACACCCAGCTGCCGACCTTCCCTACCAGCACTCCCCCACCTCAGGACTCCATTGAATACCATCTACCCTGCTCAGCTTTCACGTTGACCGATGGTTTCGAGAATGCATACGAGTTCAAGCGCGTCGAGATGGGTGTGGTAAGTTTCCTCATTAACTTCACAAACAGTAACTGATATCTTCAAGGACGTACCTGGAAACGAACGGTCGTTGGCCGACCGAGAGGAACGATTCATAGACCTCGCCCAGCTATCGGGGGGGACATATCCGGGCATGAGACTTGACGGCTTGGTTTGTTGTTCCGTGTACTTCGAAGGCATCACGCTGACCCGATGACAGCCACCCAACGAGATCGATGACATCGGCGATGAGTACCTCTACTTCACACCAGCGGTAAGTATTTTGTCATCCAGCCATAGTGCACGGTCTAAATTTCATGCAGGGCAGGACACCCCGTTCGGACATGGGAGGGTACCTTACCCTCAATTTCTTGAACGCCGCATGCCATGCATGCCAGTTTTTCGAGGATGCAGACGCGGATGATGATGACTTCTATCTGATGACGTTCACGCATTACATGGACAATGGTCGGGGTGCTTGAAATGGAAATGGCAGCAGGTGCAGCAGAGGTGCTGAGGTATAGCTACAGAGCCTAGTCTAGATCGCAAAATTGCATGTTGACGGTCACACTTGTGTTGGATGCGTAGATTAGAAGTTCGGGCAGTCCAAGTTAGGTTCATGACTACGGCCTGTCTACCCTCGCTGCCCTCAGCCAAGCCTCCTGAGTACGTATCTGCTGTTCCAAAAGAGGAGGTTTAAATGCACGGACCATTCTCTGTTCGTTGCCTGAGCATCGGCCTGCCCCACCATTGTCCTGTGTGGATCGTGGTGGTCGCCGCCTACTGACACCCCCACACACACCCCTCTACACACCCCTGCTCCTCACGCCCTCACGCCCTCACGTCTTCACGCCCTCACGTCTTCACGCCCTCACTGCTTTTTTTAAAGCAGCATCCTCCCTCTTCTACCATCCGGCAGCAATCATCACTTCGCTCCATCCACATCGGCAACTCTCAGCTTTTGAAGCATTTACCTCACCAACATGGATCGAAACACGCTCACGCAGAGCCTCGTCGGGGTCACCGTTCAAGACGTGCTGGCTGTCCTCCCTAACAACACCCTCCGTCATGTTGCAACCCAGCTCAGCCCTGCCGCTCATGAAGCCCTCGAGTCGTCCAACGCGGGCCAGGCCTCGGGCAGCCAGGATGCCTCTGTTGGCCGCACCAAGCGCCCTCTGAATGCCTTTATGGCTTTCCGCAGTAAGGACGCTTCACATTTACGATGAATGTTTGCTAACTGTCGGAAGCCTACTATCTGAAGATGTTCCCCGACGTTCAGCAGAAGACTGTTTCTGGCTTTTTGACCACGCTCTGGAACAAAGAGGCTCAGCGCAACAAGTGGGCCCTCATTGCCAAGGTCTACTCCTTCGTTCGCGACCATCTGGGAAAGGCCAAGGTCAACCTGGCCGCCTTCCTCGCTCTTTGCTGCCCTATCATGCGCATGATTGATCCGGCCGACTACCTTGATACTCTGGGCTGGGTTGTTCAAGAGAATACCGAGGGCGCGATGACCATCACCCAGGTCCAGGACGACGAGCATTCTGTTGAGTCTACCAGCAGCCCCGATGCCTACCCCACCTCTGAGATTGAGCTCCTGGCCTCCCTCGTTGAGTCTGGCTATCTCCCTGAGTATGGACCTGCCCTCGTTCAGCTCATGAGCCAGAACAACAACGGTATGATGACCCTGAGTGTCGACAAGGTCGACAAGAAGAAGGAGTTCATCGATGCGCTCGTCAAGAACCCATACCAGGCGACGGAGCAGATTCTCGGCCCCGTCTACGATCATGCCTACTTTCAGCGCATGTCGGTCTACTCCTGGGAGACTGTCGACCTTGGGGATTTCAGTCACATCCCCATCACTATCCCATACCCACCCACCAACGAACCCTACCCTTTCCATGACGATAACCGCCCTGGCGTCCCGACTTCGATGCCTTTCGACGCTCACTATACCCCCGCCCAACGCGCCTACGAGAAGCGGCTCAACGAGGTCGCCGGCGCCTGGGACATGGATGATTCTTATGTCGCCGGGTACATTGCCGAGATCAGTAAGTCACCCAGTCTTCATATCCTCAGTCGTTTCTTGATTCTGACATCCCTCTTTACAGACTTCAACGGTATGGTCTACGGCGTCTCCGGCGAGCTCCAGTGAGCAAAGCAGCCACATGCTGCGATGGGATGGATTCATGGAAATCATGGGTGATGGAGCGAGGGTGGTACTTCTAGGACTTGGTTGGGACTCGGTCACTTTGATTCTGAATCAGCAATGAAGTAGATGTGCAATGCAATCACGTCACAGATCTACACGGCAATTGCAATCAAAGCAATCCCGTCCACGTATGTTATGATGCAAGGCAGGTGAAGGCGAGAATTACAGACTACCTAGTGACTGGTCAACTACAGCTTGTGATCGTCAATGAGCGGAACGAGTTCAGTGCCTAAGAGCATTTGCCAAGTAAATTACTGCTCCAAATGAGCCAAAAATGGTTAGATATCGCCGAGAATCCAAACTAGAAGTCTGGGCAAAACAACAAGTGAGGAACAAGTGAGGTCAAAATGAACGTGGTGTGGTGATTGATAGACCCACCCCTCCTCAGTGAATCACTGCCCACTGCAAGCGCGGCTGCCCAGGTAACAGGAAAAGTAAGGTGGAAGTGAGGTGGAAGTGAGGGGAATGTAGGGGAAAAGTTCCGTTCTTGTTTGCCGGTGCCGACCAGCTGTCAGGAACTGTGCAAGTGCAGTGCAGAAGCCATGAGCGTTGAGCCCAGTTTGCCATGAGGTTCATGTCAGAAGTCGCTAAAGCGAGTGGAGTCGTGGGCCCTAAAAGCCTCTGAACGCCATGTGCCTCGAACCCTCCGACCAGGTGCCTGGCGACCCACTCTAAACCAGGCTACCTGCCTTCACTGCAAAGTCTCTGTGCACAAGCAGTCAAGACGACCCTAACCCAACTCTGCCCATCCCAACCATAGCGTTATCACTCACACAGATGTCGAAGACGCCCTTTGAATTCTAATGCAATTCCTGGGTAGGTAGAAGTTGGCCCAGTTCATCAAGCTTAGCTTGCACACACTGTCAAAAGCCAAAGCTCCAACACGTAGGGCCTGCGTAGAATTGACGCTGGGAATACTGTAGCAGGTAGCTACTTCCTGGGGTATCGGATGGCTTCCACCACTCAACCACGTTTAGCATCATGCAAGGGTCCGTGAAACCCCCCACACGATCGATCAGCCCTACTGTGTGACGGAGCAAGCATGGCTTGGCTGACATGGATGTCAGAGATGGCACTAATACGGAAATAGCGTCGTGTAAGGCAAGGTCAGCCACAAAGCAACAGCGTAAGTCGAGCCGCCCATACAAGAGATAATGAACAGAAAGATAGCCAGATGGGGGTGTTCGCGGCGTTCCTAGCCATTCTGGCCAGGAGCTGGCTGATCTCGACCATGTGTCATCCGACTCCCTCGACCAAGGATAGACTATATTTTTCGCCGTCAGCAAGGAGTGCCATGACGTTTGTGCAGTTTGTCTTCTTAAACTGGCCATTGCACCAGTCCCGACACAGCCTGGCAAGCTTTAGCTTGCAGGTTTACGGTACTGTACCGGTCACGCATGGAGACATCACTACCAACCTCCGACGGCTTGCAGGTGGGCTCACGCCGCACCTGGCGGGGAACCGAGCCTAGTGGACAGACAGAGCGGGTGAGCGGCGTACGATGCAGATCAATTCAAACCGCGACATGCCAGTCGGCGCCACCACCACACGGTAGTCATGGGCCAACCACACCATGCTCCTGTACGAGCTCAGCTGCCATGCATGCGACGCAAACAGCATTATCCCCGGTCAGAGGCCCATCAACAACTACAATGGAACGCTCGGATCGGATACTGTCCTGTTGGACTGTGCGTCCCGTTCCCCATCTCAGCCACTGGCAAGGGTTCACAGTGTCTCGTTCGGCTGGGGGACTCATCCTCACCGTTTTCCCTACTGGCGCAAATCCAGCAATCCTAGTCGCCAGAGACATTCTTCAGACACTAACCACGACCAAAGACGCAGAGGATTCATCCACCCACGTAGTCGCAAAAGAAACTGAGACACCAACTCGCGCTCAACTAATATAGCAAAAAGGCTTTAAATCTGATCTTTTGTTGGTTTGGTGTCTCGTGTTTTTGCGACCGCGTGCTGCTGTTCAATCATAGCAGTCACATCACACCAAATTTGGCTCCATCTGCCCTGTTCAGCGTGAAGCCGCACCCCAGCTGGATAAATCCTTGAGACCTTCCCGGTTTAAGACACTCCACGGGCCACTGCCAAAGCCCGGGCTTGGTGGCTCAAAATCCTGACACGCGGTCCAAGGACAAAGTATGACACCAGAAGGGTAGAGAACCAGGACCAAGAATCAAGAACCTATGATCCAATACTCGCTCATCAGACACGGGTCCAAGAAAATAACAGGAGATACCAGTACAAAGGCATTGCTTTATACTTATATTAGGCGAGCCCTATAAGTAAAATTAAAAAGAACATTAGAGAGATTGATAAGTATCATGAATTCTAATAGTCACATCTTTTCCTAATTCTTTCCACACTTTAGGATGCTTCCTCATAAAATGAGAGTATTCTTAGGTATCGATCAATTGCAGCGTACGTCTGTTTGCTTCTCACTTGGTGCCAACGCGACATGCAGCTCATGGGCTTGGCAATGTCAAGAAAGGTGTGTGGGAGCTGCATTGGAATCACGCATGCCTGAACTGTCGGCCGCCGCGAGGTTGAGCAGTCGCGACAGCTATTGGTAGCAAGCAACCCAAGTTAGCGCTCCAATCCTCACATCACAACGGGGAACGTAGTCAAAATGTGCGAGTCAAGCCTTCAGAGACATCAAGCGTTCAGGTGACCCAACTCTATCTATGCCGTTCCGGGTACCCGGTCAAGCGCCAGGCCTGGATATGATCAAAGCACAGGGTTTTTGCCTTTTGCCAAGAGGCCAGCCCATCATCTATTTGAGCGGAAACATCTCTTGCCTGCTCCCCACCCAGTCTCGGTGGCTGGAGTTCTAGCGGTCCAGAGGCCAAGACGAAAGCGGGGGTTTAAGCTGGTGCAGTTCCCAGAGTGGGCAAATTGTCGCCAATTTGGGCCCGGGAGATCACGACCTACAGCATAGAACAGAGAGTAGGGTTAGAGATGCGAACAACAGGAAGAACCATCTCCAAAGCCCCACAAGAAATAAAAGTAATAGACGTTCTGAGGTATTGATTAAATTTATTAGAGTCCAAATACATGGATTCTTCTTCGCCCTGAGCGCCCTGTTCTTCTTGCACTTCTTGAAGGAGTTGCTGAAATGCGTGTCAAGTAGTCGATGACCGAGGTTGGTGAGAGGTCGGATCAGCTCTCAATATCGATAAGGGACGTCTCCTCCGAAGGTAGCCCTGCTTCAAGGTCTGGTCTCAAGTATTTGTTGCTGATTTCCTTTAATAGGAGGACCACAAAGGAGATCAAAGTCGCCACAATAGCGCAGGCAAAATAAGCCCAGACGAATACATTGTGCCATTCACTGTCTGGGTCCTCCCTTAAATTCAATAGACAGATGAATGCCGTTAAGTAGAGACAGACCGCTACGAAGATGGCGAGCGCGGTCATGATCTTAGCGACGATCCTCTGGCAGATCACCTCTTCGGACTCGAGGGCCAGCTCAGAAACGATGGAGGTGGGCATCCCAGCCTTGTATTTCTCCTCGAATTGAACCATTTTGATGAGGATCGTATGGTGGAAGGTCGTATTGGTAAGTGTTGTGGTAGTACTGTGAGATGTTGGTGGGGGTCGCGATGTTCAACAGTGATGTAGTGATGTTAAGTTATCACGAATATCGATCCAGTAGCGAGCTTTGTGTGTAAGGTTGAACCCAGAGGACTTGGATGATGAATCGATGAGATGGAGAAGGCTAGAAAACAGGGCAGAAGGCCTTGTTCTTATACATCCTATTTGGCGGCCTCGCTCTAAGATTATCTTTGTTGGGATGGCTTGAGATGCAGGCTGAAAGCATCGCGATGTTGAACATTGAGGCGGTGACCAGGATACTCTAAACATAATCTAAGAATCACGCAAATGTGAGTTTCCTTAGGTAGATGTTAATCCTTTAATAAAAAGAGTAGAATTTGACAATGCATGGACAAGTCGGTCGAGGGGTTCCTGCCTGATGACGGCCCTTCATGATACTTCGCCTACATAGAGTTCCCCAACAAAAACATCTTTTCTCTACCTGACTTCAGGCAAATTTGTATAAGAGTGCCTGTTACCTCGCCTTCAAATCACCACTCGAGCTGCAAGAGTACCACACTGCCCTTCAATTACGAACTCTACCTTCGTTCGCCCCGACGAACATCACTAGCATCACATTTCAACTATCCTCCCCCCCGGGCGATTTGATCCACACCGCCGCGATCCTCACCAAAATGGCCCGCTTAGAAGATGACGATAAGCATCCTCTCTGGAAGGACTTCCTTCAGATCGTCAAACTCCTCATTGCTCCATTCAACCCCATCATGGAATTCACAAGGAAAGCTGGCCCTAACGGCACGGCCAATGGCATGTTTCTGTGCCTTGTTGTCGCCTTTTGGCTTGGGATGTCTATTTTCTTCTATTACAAGGGAATTGTGGGTGAACCGGCCCTTGTATGGATTTCATTTCTCTGTTTTCTAGTGGCTGTATTCTGGATGATCGTCATCCGGATAGCCATTGAGATGAGGCAAGATTTCGAGCTTCATGGGTGGCCGAATTCAGATGAGTACGTCAGACTAATGCAGGGCATTTGGCGGAACTTCACTCTGCTTATCAGACTTCTCTCTGGCCCATACGCCCTCATCCTCGCGGAAGAAAGAAAAGGGATATTCGATACGGTTTATCATCTGGCAATGTGCCTTTGCATCACCATCCCGTACGCGGGATGTCCTTTCTTTTTCGTTAGGGCGTTTCTGGATACCCCTCTCACTGAATTTAAGAAGGACCATTGGTGGTCTTTTTTCTTCTGTTGTTTTGCCGCTTCTGTTTTCTACCTTCTGGTTGTTGTGACTACTGGGCGCCCTGGTCACCGTCTACGGCGATACTTCATTGCGGTCGTCAGATCCATCACCGCTCCATGCAGCCTCCTCATCGTCAAAGCGGGAGAGTCCGGTATCGCCTTGACTGTTTATGCGATATTCAGTTGCCTCCTCGTCACCTATCTTCTTACGCTGTCATCCTGGTTCATTTACCTTGCTCTCCTGGATCACAGTCTGGACAGGATCTGCTTCTGGCGCGCCTCTGTTGTCTCCCTGTTTGCTGCTGGTTCTATCTACATTCTTACCCTTACAGTAGTCTTTGGGTCCACGATGAAAGATCGTCATCGAGAGAAGTTGCTTGTCGCTTCCCTCCTCGCACTGTTGGGCATTCAGTATGGATCAACCTCGCAGGGGAATGGTCCCGAACCTCAAACGGCATCCTCCCCTGTTCCCTCTGAGGCGGCCATGGATGCGACATCTCAACCAAACCCTACCGCTGATCCCCTCGCCTCAGCCCATGACAATCAGTTTCCTAGGGGTTAAGACTGTCTTGGTTTGAGACAAGCCACAGGACTGTTAAGAGGGAGGGTTAGATGAGGCTTTACAGTGGTTAGGAACTAAGGCTTAGAGTGTCGCATCAGAATGATACTCATCACATCACCAAATTGTATGTTGATCCTTAGTGCCCAAGGTTGCATTAGTGAGAGAAGTTCGAAGAAGCAGCCAACGCTCTGGTAGCGCCATGCGAGGCACAAGTTGTCACCGGTTGACATTGATATGCATACCGTCTTAGTGGTGATGAGAGGTGTTACGATACTTGAGAAACAAGGCTTGAAGCATCGAATGAGAATGCTGCGCATCATGTCACTCCTGCGTCTTGTTCCTTGGCGTCTTAGCTGGTGATCAATTTGAAGATTCAATCAACGCTCTGCTAGTGTCATGCGAGGCAGCATGTCGTCTTGGTGGTGATGAGCTTTGGAGTTATCGAATGAGAATAATACTCGTCACATCACCAAAAGTGTATCTTAATCCTTAGCGCCCAAGGTTGCATTAGCTGATGATCAATTTGAAGAAGCAATCAACGCTCAGCTAGCGCCATGCGAGGCACAACTTGTCACAATTGACATTGACATTGACAAGCCGCGATGATGGTGGTGATGGCGGGGATTGAAGATGCACGATGGCTTCACCGGCCTCGGCATCTAATGATCGGCATGTCCCCTAAACCCCACGCTAGATCCTCCTCTCAAGCTAGATCCGATAGAGTGAGGTCACAAGAAGATCAGACATGCATGCATGCATGGGGGAAATAGCTGCAGGAGAGAGGGGAAATCATGGCGCAAGCTTGGCAAAGTACTACCCTGGATTTCAGCCGCAGGAGGCTTTCCATATCACCAACAGCACCAACACCAAAAGCAAACAGGCAAACAATCTGCAAGGTTTGAAGCAGGCTGTGAGAGAGAAAACGGACCATCCATCCCGTGTGTGTGTCAAGTCCGTATCGATACGAGGAGTACGACTCAGGCTCCGAGATCTGGACTCAACACCAACAATCGCCAAGACATCCATGACGAGACGTCGTAAATGTGTCTGATTTCAGTCACAACACGATGGAAAAAAGTCCAAAACGTGATTATAGCTCTTGCATTCGCTTGGCGTCCTGTTTCTATCTAGTACAAGATGATGAAGATGAGAAAAAAAAAATAAGGTTACCGTCCCATCCAATACACACTCGATTCTCTCATCGACCTCGTCAATTCGGCCTGATCGATACTAGCTCATACTAACCCGTACGGCACTGTACGATACTGTACGGGGCCGCTGTCTTGATTCCATCTCTTCTTGTCGGGGATCAAGACTTTTAGCTTAAAGCGCCTCTCGGGGACCAACAAGCTTATGACGCCTCGCAAGCCATTGACTCTCTCGTCTCGTCTGGTCTCTGACCCCCGCCCAATAAGGCTCAGAGGCTAACCTTGGGGAATGCGCACACCCCGGACAAATCAGCCTCCTTACTCTTCTTGGTATGAGATCTTCCGCATCTCTCCAAGGCGATGCCGGGCGGCCGCCAGGGCGTTCTCCAACTGGAGAATCTCGACCTGTTGGTGGCTGTCAGTTGTCGATCCTGAAGCTAGCCCGGACATAGTAACCGTTGTGGCCGTCAAACCCCGGAGATGAGGGGGAGAGGGGGTAAGGCAAAAGAAAGGTAGGGGGCGTATGAACTAACCTGCTGCTCCATCTCCCGCACCTTGAACTCGTGGGCCCCGAGTGTGGAGTAGTCTACCTGGTCCTCCTCTTGGCTGCGTTCCTTGATCAAGCTCTGGACTTGTCGGACAAGCGAGCGGCATGCGGCTCCGACCGCCTTGCTGGCCTGCTCCAGCTTCTCTTGGCTCTTGGACATGAAGCCAGCCTTGACTCGGCTGGCGGCCACGAGCTGTGCAGTCGAGGCAGCGACATCGTTGGAGGCCACGATGAGCTGCTCGGGGCTGTTGCGGTTGGAGATGACTCCGTCTGCAGTCTCAATGAGCGTGTTCGTAGACGATGCCACGGCCTTGGCTGCAGAGATGAGACCTTCTGTCCATCGGTTGTTCTTCTTGTAGAAGGCTGTTCGTGAGGATGATCCCCGGCCTGCCTGCACAATCTCCTGTTGTGTCACTGTAGCCGCCTGGATAAGCTGGGTGATGGCATTGGTGATAGCTGAAGCCGCGTCCAGGATGGAATCGTGCACCTTGAGCTCGTACGTAGAGTAACCATCACGAGGCTTGTTCTTGAGCTTGAGCAGTCGTGCTGCCGCTGCCGCGATAGCATCCGCAGCCTTGCTCAGCTCCGAGTCAACGAGGTCTCCCAAGTCTCCCTTCTTGTTGGCGAGCTTGCCGAAGCCCGGCGCGTACGTCTCAACAAGCTTGTTGAGCTTCTGCAGGTTCATCTGCACGTCATTGTTGCTGTTGATGACCACGTCAGTCTTCTGAAGAGGGTCCATGCCCTCAAGTCGGAAGCTCTGAAGTCCACGGAGGAATTGCACAGTCGACAGCGCCGATTGGCGAGTTCCGTTCATCAAAGAGTCAGTCTTCTTGTCGTCGGTTGCCAGGCGGGTGAGACCCTTGGTGTTGCTGCACACATCGGCAATGGCGCCAGAGAAGACGTTGATGGCCTTGATCAGCTCCGCGTGAGTAGCGTTGGGACCATCCGCGATGAAGTTGTTGAACGAAGTCGCAAACTCCATGGCGCTAGCAGAAGCCTTCTCGATCTGCGACAGGACGTATGTGGGAGATGCGTTCTGGTTACCGGCCTGCATGCTAGAGTCCAGTTCGTAGAGCGCATCGTCAACACGCGCGACACCCGCCTGCAGAACCGAGTCGATGATGTCGTTGATCTTGTCGAGGTTCGCCAGGATCAGAGCATCGATCTGACCGTCGAGAGCGTGATCCGTCTCGCCCTGGTTCTGCTTGAGCTCGTTGAGCTCGATGAGAGTCTGGTCCATGCCGGCCTTGTAGACCTCGAGCTCCTCCTCCTTGTCACGGAGAAGCTGCTCGAGATCGGAGCTACCATCCCGGAGGTTCAGCTGAGCATCCTCCAGGGCTCGCGACTTGTTGCGCAGTGCCTCCTCAAGATCCGCCATCTCGCGGTTGTACTTGGCGAGCATCGTCGAGAGCTCGTTGCCCTTGCTGCGCTCCAGGTTGTCGGCTCTGTCCTGGGCCATGCGAAGCTCGCGCCTAAGCTTCTCGACCTCGTCCTTGTTGCTTCCGTTCAGTCGGTCCTTGTCGTGAAGAGCGCGATCGCGCTCACGGATCATGTCGGCCAGCTCCAGGTTCTTGGTCTTGATCTCACGCTCGAGCTTCTCTCGTCGATCAATAGCCTCCTGCGCACTGGCAGCCTTGAGCTGAACAGCCTTGAACTTCTGGAGGAGGTCAAGATGCTCGTGTCGCAGCTGAGAGTAAAGCTTCGCGAGCGCCTCGTACTTGGTCCTCCATGTGTTGACCTGCTCCTGGAGTGCCCGGATCTGGTCGTCCTTGCTATTCATCTGCTGGCCGAGGCTGTTCTGGATTTGCGACAGCTCGCTCTCCAGAGCCTTGACACGCTGATCGTACTGCTGCAGCATCAGTTGATCACGCTCGTACTGCGCGCGCGCATTGAGGTTCTCCCGCTCCAACTCGGCAAGACGACCCTGAGTCTGCCACTGCGCCTGCTGAGCCAGGAGAGCCTCCTGTTCTCGCTGTTGCTGCTCCATCAGCAGGCGTTGTTGCTCCTCAAACTCCCGCTGCGCATTGAGTTGGTGCTGCTGCTGCGCCAAAAGGGCCTGCTGCTGGCGTTCCTCAAGCACACGCTGCTGCTCCTCGTACTCCCGGTTCTGACGGTCCAACTCGCTCTTCCAGAATTCGGACATCTCGTCGGGGCCTTCATCCTTGGGCGCCGGTGGAGGGGTCGGCTGTCGCTCGATCTCCTGCTTTGGTCGTGCGGGAAGCGCAGGAGCATCGTCGTCTTCGCCAAGGAGGTTCGGGGGGTCTTGAGGTAGCTTGGGGATGGTGATGAGGCTGGTAAGATATCGAAGGTTGGAGCACTCGTAGTAGAACTTGACCAATCGGTAGTGCTGGGCATTGTATCGTTCACGGAGAGGTTCAAGTGCTTCGTCGTCGCCGGTCGCTATAAAGGTTAGTCTAACACAGGGATGGGGTAGGTGAATCACTGACTGGAGTGCATGGCGCGGAGCATGCTCGTGATGAACTTGTAGATACCGTAACTCTCCTGAACGAAAGGTACCAAGGCGGCGATTCGGCACTCGTTGTTCCCCACGTTTCGGAAATGAGAGAAAATCAGCTTCTGGAACTGCTCGATCTGGTCCTGCAGCACCATGAGGTCGCTGATGGTCTCGTAGCCCTCATTGGGGTCATTGATGGCCTTCAAGCTCAGGTACTCCTCGTACTCAAAGGTACCGTTGAACTCGGGGTGTTGGTGGTGGAAGGAGAGCTTGGCGAGGAGGTAGTAGACGTATTCGCGGATCAGGGGACCGTAACCACGCATGCCTTCACCTCCTCCGCCCATTCCGCGGTTCAAGCTCTCGATCCAGCCCCTGTTGGCCATTGCCTCTTTCAGAGCGCTGGGGTGACCCTCCTGCAGGACCTTATGGATGGTGATGAGGGCCTTGAACGTCTGAACTTCGTCGGCGAGGATCGGTTGGCTGTTGAACAGGTCGAGTCAATAAAAGAAGTCATGATGGAGGGGGAATGTGAGACATACACCTTGATGCCAGACCAGAAGGCGGCCGAGGACCGGTGATCCCATGTGTAGACGATACATGCTCGTACATGCTTGCGCTTCGGGGAGATCTCTTCGGCATTGGTAGCTTTCTTGATGTTGATGGCAAGTTCTTGGTCGGTTCTGCACAATCATGAGTTAGCTATGTGCTTCTCCGGCGCGGCCGTGATTCACGAACTTGGTATGCTCCATGCCGCGCACGGAAGCCATGACTGCTGCTGGGTGGCGGATAGCTCCGCGGTGCGATTATTCGATAGATCGAGTAGGTAAGGGAGGATGCGCGCGGATGCGAGAAATGATCTGTTGAGCTCCGACAGCTGCCAACAGACCCCTGGAAATCACGAGACAAATAACTCCCGTCGAGGCCCGACGCCGTGCAAGCTAAAGAGACTGGAAAGAGAACAATGTGTACTGGTATCACGACAAGAGGAGAGAGCAAGGCAGCAGCTCGTAGCGCGCTGTATCGAGGAGGAGTTTGGGTCGTCGTCGTCAGCCTTGACAAATCTCGGGCGACTTTGAGCGTGGCTGTTCTTGGTTGCGATAGCTCTCAGTGGCTGGGCTGCGAGAGGAGCGTCATACGGGGGTACGTATTCTTGCATTTGATGTGGGGCACGAGATGAGAAGTCGCGGGTTAAGAATAAACGAGACAGCAGCGTGAGTGTCGATTATTCGAAGAAGAGGCGTGATGCAAAGGGCAAGAGAATTAAATAAAATTTTGAGAAATATTATAATATTTTATTAGATTTTCTATTTGATATGCTACAAACTTATCATAATTAATTACGACTCTTAGGGCAGCATGCTTTAAAATCTGCATCTCTGTTTAGGCGTTGTCTTATTTTTTTACAGGTCCGTCCCAGGGCCGCAAGGCTCCGAGTTGGGTTCGGTGGTCGGACAGAAATTATCCGACTTAGACCGGGCTCATGCGAGCACTTATGAAAGGGAACGATGGATTTTCACAACTGGAACCATGTTACCATTGAAGAAGAGGTAACAGTAGTGGTCACACGAATACTAGCCCTCGGCCATTTTCACATTTTGGTTTTGTGAGATGCACACACGCCGCCAGTCTCACGGACATGCGTTCATAGTACACACAAGGACAAATGGTGAGAGGGGATCGCACAAGTTACTCTTTACCCTATAGGTCTTTCTCCTTCAGATTGATCTCAACTAAAACGAGAAGAGAAGACCAAAGAAGAGAAGACCGGCGAGGATTTTCAGGAGATGTTTGGCCTTGTTGCTCTCTTTCCTGGGGCGAACCTCAGTTAACCAGATACAGTGTACTGAAAGAATGCTTGAATATACCGACGAGAGTAGGTTCATGCGGTGGGAAGCAATGGCTTATGTCTAGTGAGTGATGCGTCATCAAAGGGGCTTGAGACCGCTCAGTTGGGGCGGGAGTATGGACACGCAATCCATCGTGAACTGCGGCGGTGATGGTTGACTGCTGGAAAGAAGATGGGGGCCATTGGGGAGTCCAAGACCATTGACCGACCGACATGGAGCTCCAAACGCAGTTCAAGGACTGGTAGCAGCATCACTTCATAGACCAGTCACATAGACCAACTTATTCGAAGCCGGGTTATTCATTGATGCGTCAAGTCAATGGCCAACCCACGACATGGGTCAGACACGCTTCACCAGAGGTATCTTCAAATACAGACATTTGGCATGCTTTCAAACGATGTCATTTTTAGTCTCATTCCCTATCGACATCAAAATGCAAGCCCTTGCCATGCAGAGATTCTTTCCCATCCGGACGCAATACCCCAAGCAAAAAGAAGCAAGCACCACCCAACCCCAGCAGGAATCCTTTTTAGATCGTAGTCTCGTAGGGGAGAGGAGTGAGGGTCTCGGGAGGGTTGTCGGTGAGGGAGACTGTTCGGGCATCTCGGGGGCCGAGGGGCTGGCGCTTGACGGAGACCTGGACACCGTCGGCCTTGGCCTGCTTCTTGGCCTCGGCGTTGGACTTCACCCGCTTGAGGAAGTCCTCACGAGATCGCGAGGGCTGGATGTGCTCGATTCGGATGTTGATTCGCTTCTCGAGGTATCGGTGCTTGACCTTCTTGTAGACAATGATGCCAACAGCGGACTTGGTGACGTTGTAGATAACACCAGTCTTGCCGTGGTACACCTTGTAGGGCATACTGTATTCAGTTGTCAGCCCTCCTGCTCCATCGCACAAGTTTTCCCAAGCGCTCAATCTCGCAATTCGAGTGTTTGTCGCAAGGTGTTGAGGGCGTTGCTTACCCCTTCTGGACGGCACCGTTCGCCTTGACGTCGACGATATCACCAACACTGCCCAATCGATCAGTTTCTGTCGCTGTTGCTCGTGCGATCCGGACTCGCACTCACCGGTACTGTCGGAGATAGGTGTTCAGGGCGATCATGCCCTTCTTGCGGAAGTCCCGGCTGAAGGCATACTGCAAAAAATCGTCAGTTTCAATGTTCGACGTCGTTGAAATTCGAGATCGTGAGCAAACGTACGCGGGTGCCCGCTCTCTTTCCGTAGGAGTGACCCATCTCGAATCGTTATCTGCCGAACGCGGGAAGGGTTGGGGTTAGTAGTCGTGGGTTGGCGAAAGAGATGGTGAAGACCTTCGCTTGGTGTTGTGGATTTCACGAAGGCAGCCGGGCTTGTGGGAGCGGGACCTGAGATTATCCGAATTTTTTTCCACACCGGTAGGGCAAGGGCGGTTCACATTTTACACCGCACACAACCCCACCCCTGTTAGGGTTCTCGAATTTGCACACGTGACCTTCAACTCGGGCCAAATTTCCCTCCACACAAGTAGCGATTTTTTGACCTCGTGTGTGCAAAAGTTCAACTCCAGCCAAACACCCAGGAGCCAGTCAAGTGAGTGCCATCGACGGCAACATCACCACGAGCATCAATTAACAAAGACTTTCAGGATGCCTCCCCGCGCCCATTCGAAGACCTCCCGTGTCCCTCGCAGACCCTTCGAGTCTGCTCGACTGTCAGTATCACCGGCCACTGAACATGAGCTTGTCTCTGTTTAAGTCGATTGTGAAAGTAAACTGACGCGAATAACAACAGGGACTCTGAGTTGAAGCTCGTCGGCGAGTATGGCCTGCGCAACAAGCGTGAGGTCTGGCGAGTCGGTTTGACTCTGTCCAAGATCCGTCGTGCTGCCCGGTATGCTCGAAACGACTTGCGCATCGAAAAGACAATCTCTAACACACTCACAGTCAGCTTCTTACCCTCGACGAGAAGGACCCCAAGCGTCTCTTCGAAGGCAATGCCCTCATTCGCCGTCTCGTCCGCGTCGGTGTCCTTGACGAGTCCCGCATGAAGCTGGATTACGTCCTGGCCCTCAAGATCGAGGATTTCTTGGAGCGCCGCCTCCAGACCTGCGTCTGGAAGCTTGGTCTGGCCAAGTCCATCCACCACGCCCGTGTCCTGATCCGCCAGCGCCACATCCGAGTCGGCAAGCAGATCGTCAACGTCCCCTCGTTCATCGTCCGTCTCGACTCCCAGAAGCACATCGACTTCGCTCTCACCTCTCCCTTCGGTGGTGGCCGCCCCGGCCGTGTCCGCAGAAAGAAGGCCAAGTCCGCCGAGGGCGGTGAGGGTGACGAGGAGGAGGAGGATGACGAGTAAATGCACCAAAATATGCAAAAACGGTTCTCCCTCATGTCTAGGGCTCTGGGTGATGGGATACCACTCACGGGAAGGGGATTCTCTTCATAGCTTGCGGCGTTGGCCAGAGGATAAAAATGGAATGATTTCACCGGATAACGACAAACAAAAACTTCCGGTGTCTCTCCTCACCTGTGTAAATGAATCTCATGGATCGTGCCCTATTCCACGACAATTCTTCATGTTTCGCCTGTCTGATGTGATCAAGTCCCATGTGCCATCCGTAGAGTGCAAGTGTCTGTTTGCTCAAGCGTGAATTAATGCTACATGATGCTAACGCTATGTCAAAAGTTCATCCTTGCCCAGGAGCTTCGCCATTGGATCAGCCGCAACTGTTCGTTTCCTCCTGTATTCGTCCATCTCCTCCTCTGTTACCCCGTTCATCATCTCTTCTCTTGTCCGTTTCTTTGGCTTCGACTCCTCGGCCTCCTTGTCTCCATCCTCGTTGGTGGGTTCCTCTTCCTCCTCTTTATCCTCAATCAGGTTGGCACCAGTACGTTGCCTCTCAGCAGCCTCCCAAGCCTCCTTGCCCTCCTCTCCTGTGCAGTAACTGTTCTTGATAAAAGAGTGACAGCATGCGTAACCCCATTTGAAGTTGGACCACCAGCTGCCCCAGGTTGAAGTGTGGTTGTTGATGAAGATGTCCTCGGCATACTTGGACTTGGCCTTCTTCTTTGGTGCACCCTTGATCAGACCAGCCTCGTCGTACTCGACAAATGTCTCGGACTCGGTAATCGCCATGTTGCGTAGAGCAGCTGGCATTGCCTTTTGCTCCCCTCCGTACTTGTCCAGCAAAGCTTTCTCTCGGTCTGCGCGCTTCGCCTCTGCCTCTTCCTGCTCCTTCTTTCGGTAGAACTCTCCCGCCGTTGGGTTTGCCTGCAAATGTTGGCTGGTGTCGCCAGATGTTTCTTGCGCCTCCCATGCGTATCGTTGTGCCTTCTCGAAAGCGCCAGCATCGCCTGAAGATCGCATGAATCCCTCCTCCGCAAACATGTCAGCCGCTTTATCGGCTGTCGCTCCTCCATCGACCAATGCTCGTGTCTTGGGGTCATATTTGGCGGATTCCAGGTCGAGATTCAGCAGGTATTTGGCTGTGTCTTCTCGTATTCGCAGTTGTCGGGTCGCTGTACTCTGGTGCTTGCTCATGTCGTTCTCCTCGGCGTACTTATCGCCATCGTCGTTTTCTTCCTCGCCATCAACGCCTGCTGTGGCCTTCTTTCGCAGTTCCTCCATCTGCTTATAGTCTTCCACTACGCTGCGATATTCCTTCGCATCGTAGCCGTTCCAGCGATCGCGCTTGGCGTCCCAACCCATCTTGACATCCTGAAGAACCTCGTCGGCCTGGATATCTTTTCCAGTCCACTTTGCGCCCTTCGCCCGAGGTCGGCTCAAGCAATCCTTCTTCTTGTGTGTCATCGCGCCGCAGTTTTCGCACGCGCCTTTGCGATACTTGGTGGCGGCTGGGCCAGCCTTCCTGCCGCGGTCGTACCATGTTGACTTCTCATCCTTCTCTTCGCGACGCTGATGCTTGAGGTAGTCATTGTCGTCTCCTTCCTCGCCGGCGTAGAACGGTCGTTTACTGATGAAGGATGGGATGTAGATGTTTTCCTCTTTCGAAGCGGCGCCGGCGCCAGTTGGCGGGTTTGTCTGTGGCTGCGGCATTGTGTAGGTTGATGAAGTCTAGGTGAATGATCTTCAACTTCAAAAGAGAATACAAAAGATGGATCAAGAGAGACCCTGATTCACTGAGGCTTGTCTACTAGGCGGCAAAGCTTGGTCGCGAACCAACTCGAAAGCATCAGTGTTAGATAAGCGCCTTATCGCGCTCACGTGACTTCGCGACACTTGAAGACATGGGTCCTGAGGCGCGTCGGTTACACAAAGACCGTGTCAGCCTAGACGAATTGCTTCATGACAGAGCCATCTTGTCTGTGATAAACTGTTTTGGCGTCTTTTTATTATGCCTTTCTAAGCCCTGATGGATTCGAAGCGTGGAGAATATGGACTTGTTCCGGGTCAGATTGAACTGTATCGATCACTACCAAGCGACTCCAACGCGATATGACCCCCAGCTTCGCAACGATGTCCGTCCTTCTCAGATCTCGAAAGGGCCCAAGGTTCCTGTCGTTAGGATCTTTGGATCGACAGAGACAGGTCAGAAAGTGTGTGCTCACGTTCATGGCGCGTTTCCGTACCTGTACGTGGAATACCAGGGGAGCCTAGCTCCTGATGAAGGTTAGTGACATCAAGGTTCGGGTTGGACAAGCCATTTACTCTTTCTCAGTCGGTGCATACATCTATCGTTTTCATCTGTCCATCGATCATGCATTGGCAGTCAGCTATCGGAGAGACAAGAAAGGCGACAATGCGAGGTTCGTTGCGAGGATCACCCTTGTCAAGGGAGTTCCGTTCTACGGCTTTCATGTGGGATACCGCTTCTTCTTGAAGATCTACATGTTCAACCCTGTTGTTATGACGAGACTGGCCGATCTTCTTCAGCAAGGCGTCATCATGAAGCAGAAGTTCCAACCCTACGAAGCGCACCTTCAGTACCTTCTCCAGTTCATGACTGATTTCAACCTCTACGGTTGTGACTACTTGGACGCTTCAAGTACCCGATTCCGGTCTCCCGTCCCCGAATACGACCAGGGATTGAACTCGACGCATTTATGGCACACCCGGTCCATCCCTGAAGGGTACATCACAGATGAAACCACACTTCCTCGAGCCAGCCACTGCTCGATAGAAGTAGACATCTGCGTCCAGGATATTATCAACAGGAAGAAGGTCAGGGAAAGGCAACTTCATCACAACTTCATAGAGCGAGTCAGCCCAATTCCCGGAGACATGAAATACGTTTACAGTATGGCTGGGTTGTGGAAGGACGAGACGAAGAGACGGAAACGAAAGATGCAGAACCCTGGCCCAGGGAGCAGTCCATTCCCACCAGAGGTTCTTATATCAATGTCAGCCAACGTTCGAGACTCGCAGCCGCAGGGTTGGATCCATGAGGACGAGTATCGAGCTCAGATTCAAGAGCTTATTTCAGCTGAGAGGGGTGCAACTTCTGACGAATTGTCCTTCGACAACTTTGCCAAGGCCCTTCCGTACGAGGAACAAGTAAGAACCACGTTGCAGTCTGTTGAAGATCTTTTCCCTTCAACCCTTGCACCAGTATTGGGTCTACCATCAGGGGTAGAAGAAGCGAGAAAAGATCCAGCAAGCAGCATTGAAGTTGACGAACGCAAGATGCGCCAAGTCGGCGACTTTCAAGATGACTTCTTCTCTGATGACTCGGACGAGGAAGCCATTTCAATGATGGTGTCCATGGAGAGGGCTGCTGCCAAGGGTTCTCGAGGTTCCACAGCCCAATCTTCAGGGATAGGGCGTAAACAGGATACCACGGCCGATGCCATGGACGATTTGGACGACGATTCTTTGGACTCACTGCTTGGCATCTGCCAAAGTGGTCTGAAGACTGGAAGACTGCCTGACATTCCCCTGAGCAAAGAGTTGCTTGAGTTGGCAGAAAACGAAGGCTTAGTTGGCCGCACCTGGAAGACTATGCCGTTCAACGCACCTCTACAGTTGAAGAGGCCCTTGTCCAGCTCGACATCAACTCTATCGCCCAACAAACGACCCAGACTCGCCGAGCCGCCACTCATCGATGATGATGAGATGCACTTGGTTCCCGTTCCCTCAGACTCGGCCAAACCCTCAACCTCTACGTTCAGAACCCATTCAATCCTCAAAGGGCGTTCATCGGTAACCAAAGCCTCGACGTCACCTTCGAAAGAGGCTGCTGGCTCCAACTCGAAACTACATTTCCCAACTGTCAAGGACCAGAATGATCCTAACACGAAACTCCGTCTCAGCCAGATGAGCCAAAAGTCTGCCTCTCAGCAAAGTGACGATGGTCACTTCACCAAACACGTTTCCTTTGACCCCAGCACCTTTGCTCCTGGTCCTGAGAAGGGCCTATCCCAAGTAACATTATCTTCCTCTTTGCTGTCATCCATTGCTCTGGAGGAGGAGGACGACGACGATAGCCAGGAGTCCAAGATCCAGCGAGCCATTGAAAATTTTTCAGGGTCTAAGATTCATCTTGTCCTGCCACCGCCTCCCTCTGCTGCCTCTGTAGTTTCCTCCCTGAAGGACCACTTTCTTCCCGATGCCATCTACCAGGATGCGTATTACAGCAAGGAAAAGGATGTCCCCGGTCGGACACGCGAGTATGCTGGAAAGGAGTTTCGGCTGGAAGGTAACACACTCCCATTTCTCCCTGAGTTCGACCCGACGGCAACAGCACCAGCAAACTATGGAATCAAGCATGGCGCTCTTGACAAGACACGCATGAATCTTCAGTTTGAACGCCGAGGGAAGAAGTGCTCGTGGCGTGGTTGGGAGATTGCAAATCCACCTCCAACGTACCACGAAGTTGAGAGTTGGTGGCTCGAAAAAGAGCGAGCTGCGAACGCAGAGCCAGGCTCTGACTTGCCGCCGACCCCAAGACACTACCACTCTCAGATCGACGGTCCAACGCCAAAGAACAAGCATGGCTTCAAGTACACACAGGGAAAGAAGACGACAAGCGTGGAGCATGAAGCTCAGTACATGAGCACGATGAGCCTTGAGGTTCATGTCAACACAAGGGGCAAGTTCGTGCCTAATCCTGAAGAAGACGAGGTACAGTGTGTCTTCTGGGCACTCAAGTCAGACGAGACGGTCATTGGCAGTCAGAATCAAGCAGAGGCAGTTCAGACGGGTATTCTTGTGCTGGCCGGCGACAGCGACTTAACTGAGCGTATCCGGCGCCAAACCACTGCTGAAGTCATTGAGGAGACTTCTGAACTGGACCTCATGGTACGGATGGTGGAGATCGTGAGGACGCATGATCCTGATATCTTGACTGGATACGAGGTTCATGGCAGTTCTTGGGGCTACATGATTGAGAGGGCTCGTCTCAAGTACGACTACAACCTCTGCGATGAATTCTCTCGCATGAAGACAGAGTCTCATGGGAGGTTTGGCAAGGAGAACGACCGATGGGGATTCAACACTACCTCGACAATCAGAGTTACCGGCCGACACATGATCAACGTCTGGAGAGCAATGAGAGGAGAGCTCAATCTCCTTCAATACACTATGGAGAACGTCGTCTGGCACCTACTTCACCGTCGCATACCACATTACTCCTGGAAGTCGTTGACGAGTTGGTACAAGAGCGGGAAGCATCGCGAGCTCGGCCGAATGTTGAGATATTACCAAAACCGGACTCGACTCGACATTGAGATTCTTGAGGCGAACGAGCTCATCGCCAGAACAAGTGAACAGGCCCGGCTTCTTGGCGTGGACTTTTTCTCTGTGTTTTCTCGAGGATCTCAGTTCAAGGTCGAGTCTATCATGTTCAGAATTGCCAAGCCAGAGAACTTCCTCCTCGTGTCGCCCAGTCGCAAGCAGGTGGGCGGTCAAAACGCTCTCGAGTGTCTTCCGCTTGTCATGGAACCGCAGAGCGCTTTCTACAACAGCCCTCTCGTGGTACTTGACTTTCAAAGTCTGTACCCGAGTGTCATGATCGCCTACAACTACTGTTACTCAACCTTTCTGGGCCGAATCACCAACTGGAGAGGCATGAACAAGATGGGCTTCACCGAGTACAAGAGGCAGCAAGGTCTCCTTGCCCTCTTGGAGGACTACATCAATATTGCACCAAACGGCATGATGTACGCAAAGACAGAGATTCGCAAGTCCCTGCTCGCCAAAATGCTCACAGAGATTCTCGAAACGCGAGTGATGGTCAAGAGTGGAATGAAGCAAGACAAAGACGACAAGGTACTCCAACAACTCTTAAACAACCGACAGCTGGCCCTGAAGCTCCTCGCCAACGTCACCTATGGCTACACCTCTGCGTCTTTCTCCGGTCGTATGCCATGCTCGGAGATTGCAGACAGCATCGTGCAAACAGGCCGGGAAACCCTTGAGAGGGCGATCGCATACATCCATTCGGTAGAGAAATGGGGTGCTGAGGTCGTCTATGGCGACACTGACAGCTTGTTCATCTACATGAAGGGTCGGACAAGGGAGCAGGCGTTCGACATTGGAAACGAGATTGCCAAGGCCATCACCGAGATGAACCCACGACCGATCAAACTCAAGTTCGAAAAGGTCTACCATCCTTGCGTTCTCCTTGCCAAGAAGCGATACGTCGGTTACAAGTACGAGAGCAAAGACCAGACGAAACCCGAGTTTGACGCCAAGGGTATCGAGACTGTTCGCCGTGATGGCACGCCAGCGGAGCAGAAGATTGAGGAGAAAGCTCTCCGACTTCTCTTTGAGACGGCAGATCTCAGCCAGATCAAGGCATATTTCCAGAAGCAGTGCCAGAAGATCATGCGCAACAACGTTTCCGTGCAGGACTTTTGCTTTGCCAAGGAAGTTCGTCTAGGGACGTACTCTGACAAAGGTCCTGCTCCTGCTGGAGCTCTAATCAGCACCAAGCGCATGCTCGAGGACGCACGCGCAGAGCCACAATACGGCGAAAGGGTTCCCTACGTTGTCATCACTGGTGCTCCAGGTGCTCGACTCATCGACCGATGCGTGGCGCCCGAGGAGCTTCTCAGCAACCCTCATTGGCAGCTCGACGCCGAGTACTACATCTCCAAGAACTTGATCCCTCCACTAGAACGCATCTTCAACCTTGTGGGTGCCAACGTTCGACAATGGTATGATGAGATGCCCAAAGTACAGCGAATACGCCATGCGACTACGCTCGGGACACGGAAGACAACCCTTGAGTCGTACATGAAGTCTTCTCACTGCCTCATCTGCGACAAGAAGTTCGCCAACGAGGACAATTCGCTATGTCCAACCTGTCGAACCAATGTCCCTGCGTCGCTACTCACCCTTCAGACGCGTTTATCAACCGAGGAGCGTCGCCTTCAAGAGGTATTATCACTCTGTCGCAGCTGTGCGGGAATAGGGCCGGTGGAAGATGTCCAATGTGACAGCAAGGATTGTCCGGTCTTTTGGACGCGCATGAGGCAGACCAGCAAGACACGTGGAGCGCGGAATACGAACCAGCCCGTGATACAGGCGTTGGTTGAAGGTGTTGACAGGCTGTCACTTGATTGGTGATAGTATCAGCAGCCTCGGGATGATTGTGTATGATTATACAAACGAGGACACCCGTTCTTCTTTTGTTTGTTATGTATTGCTAGGCGTATTGGATTCGGGGTGCAAGATCAGAGATGCACTGGCGCTTACAATGATTCTGATATCATGAAATAAAGCTATTGAATACCTTGAAGCTGGTGAACTACTCAAGTTATTGTTGCCCAAGGGCTAGCCACTTGACTCCCAGAGTGAAAGACCATGCTTCTTGGTCAAAAGCCTCCATGAAGCCCGGAGTGGGGACTTGAGAGCGGCTCAACAGAAATAACACGGCCGTAACACAACTGAACCTTGTACCCAAGCTTCAATGACTCAACAATAGTGAAAGGCCATGCATCCCAAAAACATAACCGAACCTTGCACACAGATGTGGGATCTCGAGGTGAACAGTAGAATCTTGACCACGGTCCCAGTTATCCCGTTCATGCCTGGAATTCTAGAAGGAACTCGTCTTCTAGATTCTCTCGGCCGCTTTTATTCCGAGTCTTAATGACAATATTCGGTTTGTCCTAAAAAGACAAGCCGATCCGCTCGTGACGACAGTGGCCATAGAATGGATCGTCGCCGTCAAGTTCGGTGGGTAGTGGGGCCGTGATCCGGAAACCCGTTCCGTCGGAGTTGTCGGGTCTGCGGCCGCGAATGAGAGCACGATATCAACTGCACACTGATGCTGTTGAGCGGGGAATACAGTACTAGCGACTGAGAGACCCTGGCTTCAAAACGCTGGTGCTATCAACTGCATTGCGCCGAGTTGCGATACCCGCTTAAAGAATGCGGACACTGCAATTGGGTGGTCAATGTCGAGAGTCATGTTGTGCGACTTGAGACTCCGGCTAATTGGGACGAGATTCGCAAGACTCGAGCCAAGCGGGAAGGGTCCTTGTCCCCCCTGGCGAGGCGAGGGAGCACAAGGGGTTTTGACAGCGGCCGCTGCCTGCCATCCCGACTTGTCGGTCAGTTCATGACGCCACGAATTAGGGGCAGGTATGTGTTGAGGGGCTTGTTACTGTGCAAGAAATCACTTGTCTCGCGCAGCTGCGCAGCCTCCAGCGAGTACATGCTTGGTCGGTCAGACAGCGCCAGGTCTAAGAATCTCCGATCCAGCCTGGCCCCGGTCCGCAAATAGCTTCAGGGACAGCTCGAGTCAGAGCCAGAGACAGAGACAGCCACTGACATGTGAAGGCCATCAGACATCGAGGGCAGATTGAGGATCTAGATCAAAGCATCAGCGAGCTCCATGACTTGGATGACTCCCATGCTGGTTCCCCTCTGGCTTGCGCGGCCTCCACATTCCTTGCGTCCACAAACAGCCAGCCACATGGCAACCAGGGCGCAACCCCGTCTAGCTCTTGTGTCGGAGCAAAAGGTGAGGAGGTCTTGACCGCCGTGGTCGTCGAGGCCCAGCTGAACTGGACTGGACTGGACTGGGCTGCAATGCGTTGCCAGCAAACAACCTCTTGCTGAGCTGTCGCGTGCGGTGTGCGGTGTGTGAGCGCGCTTCCCCGAAAGAACCGAGTGGTGGGTACTCTAGCAGCGTGGATTGGGCTCTGCAAGTGTGTGCCTGAGCTCTGAATTCTGCGGCAAGGAACAAGACGGGAGAAGCTGGCAGATATTGGGCCTAGAAGACCCAATCAAGGTTTCCAAGGTTCTCGAGGCTTGGGCTAGGCGTTGAAGGGGCGGACCGCGGTGGAGGTTGCCCTTGCAGAGAGGAAAGACTAGGGGCGTGCCGGTGGTGGTGGTGTCGAGCTGTCCATGATGTGGTTTGCTGTGCGACATGGCGACGCATCGGCGATCACAGAGCCAAGTTACCCAACGTTGAATAATCTGATGCCAGGGTGTGTGTGCGACCTTGATATCAGGTACCGCAAAGGCGCAAAGACATGGTAAAGAGGCCCTGAATTGCATCTTCCGCCCATGGCCATAACAGCCGGGCAAAGCTGCAATAGTGCCGAGGTATCAGGCAACGTGAAGATCAGGGTCCTTCTTCCGCCTCAAATGAACCCCATGTCGTCGGCGCGCTCTCCAGGAGCCCCTGCCCCTGTCTGTTCATCTGTTAAAGCGCAGATTGACCACAGAACCTCCGAGGGAGAGCCGTCGACGTCCAGCACTTCAAGGCTGCAGTCATGCACTGCACTGCACATATGGTTAACATCAACGTACGCCCTGAAATGATCCAATCCGTCCGTGTGCCCGTCAGCTCTCCCGCCTGTCCGGTCTCCGCCGTAACCGCCCGCTCTGTATAGATATGAAGGCGCCAGACACAATGCTTTTGGAGGCTGAAACATCGGAATGCATGAAAAGATAAATGTTCGAGGCGACTTTGCCACGGGCAGTCTCGAGGGAACGCAGCGAGTGATTGTCGACCGTAACTGTGTAAACGGAGAGATGATTGCGAGACATCCTGTGCAGTAGAGGTACGTACATACTGTAGTGGACGTGTTTCACGGGCAGGTACAGCTCCATCGGCAGATAGCCAACGCAGTCTCGGCGCAAGACATGACATATGATGTGTGCTTTATTTTAGTCCATGTTCCATCTCGTCAAACAAATCCAAATATGAAATGATACACACTCATAACCCATATGCACTCCAGGCATTCCGCAGCCATTCCGGACTCGGGCCCGGGGAGCACGGGAATCTCTCTGGTTGCAGGGGGCCCAAATTGGATGCCACAGGGGGTGCCGCAGTGAACCGTAGGGGCCCGGTGGCCCGCTACAGGACGCGCTACAGGGGAACGACGCTGTAGGGCGACCTGCCAGGTGCCGCCACGCCCAATGGCTACGGGGCGCCAGCACCCACTAGCGAACAAGTTATTACCGGGAAGGTGCGCTCCCCACACTTTTTTTCGCAGCACGCGCACCCTCCCATCTCCACCGGGCGAGGTTACCACCACCACCGGCGGGTGCTTGCTCGGGGTGGCAGGGAAAGTACAGACCAGTACCGACCCGCGGGACCTTGGCTTCCGCGCAGGAACGAACGAATGGATCAATAAGGCAAGTCACCGTCTTTTTACTTGGGTAGCTATTTCGCTCCTGCCTCGCCTTTGACTCACTTTCCTGTCCCTTTCTCCATCTTTTCTTCATTCCCATGTGAATATCTAGATAACAGCCTCGAGTCCATCGCCCTCGCACGTCGTGCTCTGCTCTGTTATACCTTGCTTGCTTACCTGCTTCGAACCAAGCTTCTCCCTCGCACAGCCCAAGACGTAACCCTACCTCCCGCTACTACCTGAACAAAAAGGGACCCTGTGCCTTGCACCTGGCGGACCCATTTGCGTCATACTTTGATATTCGACAGTCGTCACCATTCCCTAGTGCTGCTCTCCCTCGTGCTTGCTACTCAGAGGATAAGACTGTTTAATTCCTCGGGACCTGCTATACTCTCGGAAACCGACTCGACCTTCCTACCGATTAAGCCATCACGATTGAATCACGGACAAAAGAAAACAATCGAAGTCAAGCTCCTGGTCAATGCCTTCCTAACGAAAAACGATCCTACGCTACTTCCCCGATTTCTCCCTCGCTCCACCGCGACCGACCTTCTACGCACCTTCCATGATTATGGCGACGAGATTCTCGCCCGAGGCTTTCCTGCCTTCGGGCGCCTACGACACCGACGTTGGTCTTACCCTCAAAGATCCTCTCGTCTACTCCCACATCTCGCATCCCAACTCATATCCACGAGCCGGAACTCTTCGCCATCAATACCCGCAGCACTATCTGAACTCGTGTCGAAACAATATCCAACACCAGAACCAGCGTGGCTGGATCCCTCCGGCCAGCACGATGTCTCTGCAGCCCAGCGAGACGTCTCCTCAGTCACTCGCCGCGTTGCGAGCTACGCAGTCTGTTCCACCGCACTATTCATCAATCCAGTTCCAGCCCGAGTCTCTCGAATCTCTCAAAGCTCGACCGGCCACCGTATCTCCCACGTACGGAGGTCCACCTCCAATTCCCGAGCACCGTCTGCCACCTTCATCCACGGCTCCTCTTCCCAGCATGTCTTCCGGACTTGTCGGTGCATCACTCTCAAGATCTGTGTCTGCTGACGCCGTGGCGCCTTCCCAAACACCGTCGCATGTGGTCCAACGACTTGTTCAGCAAAACGCTATGATTCGTGAAGCTTGGGAAGCGGAACGAAACCACCTCGAGGCCAATCGAAGACGCGCCGAAGAAGTGTACCAGGAAGAGCGCATCATCATGGACGAGGTTCGAGTGGGTTGGGAGACGGAGAAGGAAAACATGATTCGAGAGATTGAGGATCTCAAGGAGCGCATGCATCGACTTGAAGGAGAAAACAATGCACTCAAAGCCGTCGCCGCCCAGAGCATCCAGGTTACGGGCGTGGTATCGCCTCTGGCGAGTCAGCGAGGTGGAAGCGGCGATGGCTCCTTGGAGAACTCGTACTTTTCTGCTCCACCAGGCCGACTTACGTCAAGGTCGCAAAACCCAACCATTCCAGCTAGTCTATCGATGGGCGATGCGTCATCTCTTCCGCCGGGCCTTGACGGGGCATCTCGCAGACCTCACTTTTTAAGTCCAGGCAGTTCCCGCCTTTCTCCCAGCACACAACCCGAATCATCCCCCTTTGTCCCCCTGGATCCAAGAATGCAGACTCAAAAACCAGTTGCCAGGGACTTTCTCTCATCTCCTTCAGATGACGCCACGACGCCCGTGCCAGTCATTGATGTTCAGGAGATTGATCCCAAGTTGGAAGGGATTCCCCTCAAGGCCACTGCCGTTCAAAAGTCTACCTTTGCCGATGGCGCAACTTCTACCGACAACCCTTCATCACCTATAGCGTCGCCCCCTGGTCCTGCTACTCAGCATCCGGAACGACTTGGACGACCCTCAAATGTCCGCGGGTCGTCAAAGGAATACACCCTGCAGGCCCTCTCTGCCGTGGAATCTCGCCGTCTAACGATGCACGCTGGTCACACTCCCAATCATTCTCTGTCGCTTTTCCCCACTGTCAATCCGACCGACACGGATGCCATTGTGGGCGAGGGTGCAACGCCAACCGTTGAGACGGTTATTGACCTTGCAGCAGCACTCCCAGAAGAGCCGGTTAAGAGCCCTGCAGCTACCATTGTACAAACCGCCAGGCGCGACTCCAAGGTTTCATTTGTATCCTTTGCGGCAGAGGAGCTGGACATGGATCATCCTGAGCCCGTGTTTGAACCAGACGAGTGCGACAAACCACTCAAAGGACCACTCATGATCAGGAACATGCCGGCAAAGGACGAGCTTTTCTGGGAGGCTGTCAACAAGAAACTGGAGCCCATCAGCCAAGGGCAGAACGCTCTTCCATCTGTCATGCAGACTTCCCTCGAAGACTTGGAGGTGGGAGCCGGGCCTTCGGGCTTGAACGCACAAGCACAAAAGCGCCAAAAGGTTTCACATGTCGGCGGCGACGGGTCGGTAGATGCCCAAGCGGACGGCGAGGACAGTGGTAACGATAGCGAGACGAGCGACAACGGGATCGACGCCGACGTTCCCCTAAAGTTTAAAGCCACGTCCAACTTTGGCGCTCCTTTCGGTGCCATGTAGGACAAGGCGGCTCTAGGGGTTCCACGGAGCATCAAAACAGATGGGGTTGAGGAGTCTTATCTCCCCAACTGGTCCACAAGAGGACCTTTTCAATGGTCGTCCTGGGCTTGGAAGGCTTCGGGACTTCCGCCTGCTCCGCCTCCTTCAGAGGGAGATTGGGATGATAATCCGACGCCTCCCCCAACGCAGCTGCACGTTTGACGCTTTTCATGATAATGAAACATTTTGCGTTTGGTGTTTTCTTGAGCGGTATTCTTACGTACGTCACGATTCACATGCCACGACACAGCACAGCACAACAAACAACGCGACGCACACGTCTAGTCGAATTTGCAATCTGTCTTTTCAGGTCAGGCTGAGTTTTTCAGTCGAGTTCAACGGCGAGCGAGCACACACATGAGGTTTCACGACAAGGGATTAAAAAAGGGATAAACATTTGATAGAAAAAGGAGTAACGGAGGTCCGGTTACTAGACCCATTGCGTTGTTTTATTTTCAGGAGCATGGACATGGACATGGACATGGGCAACACTTTGAACGCAACAGCGGGAAACAGTGACGCATTATGAGTTTATGGAGGCAAGGTGGCGGGCTTGTTTGATATCGTCGATGCGTGTTAGTGCATCGGGGATGGTGTTTAATACCCTGGGGGGTTGTAGGTAGGATGCTTCAGCACCATGGAATTGATATGGATGGGGATGGGAATGGTACGCGATGGCCAAGATATCAGACTGGGAGGCCAGATCAGGACGGACTAGGTTGCAGGTGCTGGAGTTTTACGGAAATATAATTTTATGAGAATACCGGATGAACAAGAAATTGAGCATCAAGTTTACCTCGCGCCCTTTGTGGACTTTGCTATCGCTTCATTTCATTCATGACAAGACGGGAGATCTACCCTTTCTACCTGACTCAAGATCCATCCAAGGAAACAACCTGCAGTAAGCAATCAAGATAAGACAAAAACACCGTCGACGCCATGTCTCCCAAACTCATTTCATCTTGTTGGCATTCTTCCACGGGCCCTTTCTTCCTCACGTTTGTTGACTCCTTGCTGTTGCTGTTGCTTAGACTCCCATAGTGAAGTCGTGCTCGATACCAGGTGTTACACTGGCCATGAACTAGAGATTTGTTAGTGATTTGAGACTTGGTCAGGTGAAAGACTGGGGACTTGCCTTGAGAAAGACAACCAGATACTGATCCACACGGATAGCAACCTCGTGATCATCAATCTCTGCCTCCTGCACCTCTTCCCACTCATCCTTATCCGCCGCCTCCTGCGCGCCCTTGACGTCCAACTTGTCAATCTCATCCACCAAACCTTCCATTCCGGACGTTGCGGATGCACTGGCGCCGGCGCGCAGCTTCTCCCTTCGCAGTCGTAGGGCGGCGTCGGCACGGTCGAGCAGCGTCTTCATGACCGAGGCGTGCTTGCAGGGATGCACTGACGCCATCTTGATGTTGTTTGCGAAAAAGGGAAAGTCCTCGAGTGTGACAGTCTTGTCCTTGTAATCGCCGACGATGTCCTCCATCATGTCGTGGGGAGGGAGGGGCTGGCCGTTGGGGAGGTAGCCTGAGAGGTAGAGTCGGGGGGTTCGGTAGTAGGTGGTGTACATGATGTACAGGGTGTAAGTTCGACGGCCGCTGAAATGTCAGTAGAGGTTCAAGAGAGTTTTTGCGAAAAGTCAACTTACCTGCTCTTGGAGTCGGCGCCGGTATCACGGATGATAGCTTCGTCGTCATCCTCATCCTCCATGTCGGGAATCTCATCATCCTCCACAACCTCTCGGTCGCCGACATTTCCAGAGTCGTCTACCGTCCTCACTTCCTTGACCTTGAGAGGCTGTGAGCTCGCGAGCCCGCCGGTGCGCAGCCATCCATCTTCATCATCTCCCGCGCCTCCCTTGAAGTCCTCGCCATCGTTGACGAGAGCCTCCTCATGGCCAGCGTCGCCAGCAAAGTCGTCGTTCAGACGGCGGTGGCAGGGCACGTTGCGGGTAACGAGGAACTGCTTCCCTGGGGGAAGGTAGCTGACGCGGCGCTCGGGGGAGTCGGCATCGCCCCAAGACCAGGTCGGGAACTTGTAAACGAGGTAGTCTCCGGCCGCGACGAACTCTTCGGGTGTGATCTGACCCGTCTGGCGAAAGGTGGACTTGTGGGTGACGGGTGTGTAGCGGTCCCGAAGGGTGTTGACTGTTGAGTAGATGTAGTTCATGATGGGCGATACGCGAAGGAGGGTTTTCGGTTCGATGTGTGTGTTCGTGGACGATGAAGCCGAAACAAGGGCGAGATAAGCTCTCTTTATAGAGAGGGACACCAAGCAAAGTACCGGCAGCGGTGGAAGATGCGGGGTCGGAGCTTCGTGAAAGCTTCAAGTCGACGATGCGAGAAGAAAGTAACAAGATCAAAGTTGGTCGCTACCTGACAGCTTTAGGTTCTGTCAACGGTTGCCTTGGGTATGACTGATGGAAGAAGCCTAAAGAAGAAAAAAAGGCAATGACTGTAGTTTGTAACTTGACGGCACATTCACAGAAAGTGATGAAGCGATCACATGGAGGCGGTGGTGGCTTAATGGTGGGGTGCCTGAACCCCTCATTGGCTGCACTGCAGATCATCCAGTCAGAGGCGGGCCTTGCTGCTGAGTGTGCCTGGCTTATCTTATCATGGTGCGCGACGCACGTCATACTCCAAAGTTGGCTCACGTGCGACAGAGGCTCTTGATACAATGATGGGAATGAGAGTCGGGTGTTTAGATCACGAGAACAAGTGGTTTAATATGGTAGTGAGTGTGTGATTTAGAGATGGCTTAGATTCATTATTCAAAGTGCCGTGGTATCTTTTTTGTCCCATCAATGGCGTTCATGTCCCTTTCTACTCTGTGATTCCATCTCATCAGCTTCATGCCTCTTCCTCGCCAGCCTCCTCTGCCTCTCGCTTCTTCTTCTCTTCGCGCTCCTTCTTCTTCTCCAGCAACTTTTTCAACTTCTTTGACGAGTTGAAAACCCCATTTGTACTGGTGCCGCACGCGGCGCATGTCGGATCTTTCCTATACCTCTTTAGAGCACATGGCTCGCAGAAGTAATGCCCACACCTCGTCACAATGGGTTCCCTGTACGATTCCTTGCAAATTATACACGCAAAGGGGATTTTTTCAAGCATGGCAATCTCTGCCTCGTCTTCCTCGACTTCCTCCTTCTTGTCACGGTTGGCGCTCGCAACCACGGTGCCACCCAGGTTCTTCTTCCCCTTTGTAACGGTCTCCCACTCTCGATCCAGCTGCCATCCTTGCTTGACCTCCGTTCGATCGTGGAGGTAAATGCAAGCATCGCCATAGCCGCAGAAACCGGTTTTTGCATAATCTTTGCAGATGTCGGGCTTGAAGTCCATGACCGTGATCGTTCGAATGTTGGTTGGCGCCTTCATCGGACCCTTGGATCTGGTGGGGGCATCGGGGTTCTTCTGGATGAATGATGTTTGATTCGAAAGTCCCTTGTATGTTCCATCAGGTTGCGAATCTTTTGTTGCTGATCTTGTTGAGCCCAGGAGGTTCTTGGCTGAGAGCGCATCCTTGGAGTCTTCGTCGTACCAGTTGCTGTGTTTTGTGGCGTCGTTGGTACTCGTGATTGGCACACTCCGATCTGCAGCATATACCGTCGCCGTCAACTCCTTTTCCCTAGTAGCAGTATCCTTGGAGGAAGCTGTGACGGCAACAGTCTTCTTGCGCCGCTTGACGCGCTGGCCCGACTCGTCTTCAGAAGATGAATAGTCGCTGTCGTCGCTGTCTGCAGGAGGTGGCGTCGCGGGTCGTTTTCGCAGGTTCGCCTTGCCCTTTGCGCCTCGCTTCTTGAACATGGCGACGGGCGCCGCGGTTTCTGTGTTTGAGTCGGCCATGGTTGTTGGTACTTTGGGTGTGTTGATGGCTGGGTTATAAATGCGATCAACAATTGGAAATCAACTTTCAGACGGAGGAATCTAGAAACTGTCATGTGACTTGGTGGTGATTTCGCGGAATGAGACGCGGTGGCTGTGGGGGCGTGTTTATACTTTACTACCCTATAACGGCGTTTTAAATCGTGAAGTTCTCCTTTTTGTCCTCGTTTCGATGTTGATTTGCAAAATCATAGCCTCTTTGAATATTTATACTACATTAAAATATTGATTTACTGTTCCTGGCGTCATTTTACATGATGTTAGTAACCATTGGTGTAACAGCATTTTTTGCTGCTAATCATCGTGGCTGATTTCATAAAATGTACTGGCGAAATCGTCCAAGTCGGCAACAACGTAGCTTTCCACAAATTACATCTTGTCACTATTCTGCTTCATTTAGCATCTCACAGTAGCCCAGAGGTTGGGCACCACCACACAGGGAGCTACAATACTCGAGAATACATATTTCCCCCATGGTTTTCCTTCGCCAGAAGGCCAGGTCCGAATCGATCAAGACCGTGTCTAAAAATAGGCCAGCCAAAATGGGGCTTGCCTGACGAGCCCCATTTTTATCAAGCCATGAGCTGCACAAGGAAAAACCAACGACAGGACCAACACATGGGAAGACCTGGATCATCCAGAACACTCAAGCAAGTCAACCACTTCCAACGAGGAGTCAGAATCAATGAAGGCTTGAGGTATGTCAAGCGAAGGCAATGCTGAGCAGCGAAGATAAAATGTAAAATTGCCAGATTAGTACAGTCATCATCAACACCCACAGTCATCATGCCTGCAAAGAGGCAACATCAAACATGCTTTACAGATGCATACACGTGAATACTCCCTCAACAAAGCTTATTTTATCAATAATCATAAAAGTGACCACCCCCCATGGATTCAAGCAGCACCAGCAGTGCTACCACCAGAGGCGACGCCAGCAGCAGCACCAACAACACACAAGATAGCTGCCCGGATCAATAGGTAGGTGCGTTTTCCCACCCAATGACACAAGCCAGGCAATGAATCAGTACAAACTTGCGATGCCATGCTCCCACAATGTGCTGAACCCATCGTGGTCATATCTTCAGGAGTCGTTGCGTTGTCCTGGATATGCTGGCCTCGAGTTAGTGAGACTGTACTGGATCCAAGAGCCACCCCTAAGGCCGCCATCAAACCCCTCCCCATCTCATCATATCTGAATTGCTACTCTCAGGGGGATAATGGGTTAATAATTTTCAAGTCATTGCTTCTTAGGATCCAAATATGGTGCTCTCTCTGCGGACAACGCCCGACGGCGTTGAAGACTCAACGGATCGCATCGAACCCGAAACCGGCGACTATATCCCCGACTTCGCCGCGAGAGAAGTCCTAATTACAGGACTGGATCAAATCAGGCGGTCCAGGATACCCGTTCGTTACTTCACACCTATCGCGACTGCAATCTTGATGATTGCGCCCGTGGAGATACTCCAAGACTTGCTTCAGTCCTGTAAGGAGGCACCCGACGTCTTTTTTGACGGTGTCATGGTGAGATTGAACAGAGATGGCCTCGCGGCAATTCAGAGCTGTACGTTGGACCATGTACATTCCTTCACTATACACAGGCAAACACTGACTGAATAACGATGACAGATGCCCTAGGAAACCGAATGGTCACCTTTCCCAGCATTTTTGAAGATAATCCAACACCTTGCATCCTTACGGGAAGATCAAGATATGTGAGTACTATGCGCCTTTTCCCTCGTATGGAAAACGGCCAGCATGAAATCCATCGTCTCCAATCGATCCTAGAGGCGTTTTGGGGAGAAAAGGCTGCCTCATGGATAGCCACATTCACCAATCCCGACTTCGTGGAGTCTCCGCAGAACCACATCTCACTAAGCTGCACATTTCACGACCTAGGTCGCGATACACGCTTTGCCTTTAAGCCTCTTCGAAGTGCTGACCCCAACGAAATGCGACTTCAGCTTCACTGGTTGAAGCCCTCGCCATTCCGGTTCTTCAATTCCTATTTTTACGAAAACCCCATCCAGTACGCTGGCATGAACGCTGAGAACACCAAGACGTGGGGTGACAGGTTTGCGGATGAGGAAGAGTTCAAGACGGGGCATGTCTTCACCATACGCGCCGAAAACCCAGCTGATCTCCCAGATTGGGATATGCTAGAGCTGCAGTGGGATCTTCTCCGAGTTGCAGCAATCGCTGGCGCTAGATCGTCTGCTCTGGATGACGGGACGGACTGGCATGACTGGAGCAACGAGGATGACGGCGATGACGAGGATGTCGAACCCTTCCAGCTCGACCAAGAGCAACGGATCTCGGACGATGATGATTCTTGAGACGAGAGACATGAAGATATCGAGGAGATTGCTGATTGGCATGCTGGCCAGGAGAAAGACACGGCGTTCAAGTTGAGAACTGTATCACCGACTTTGATAAACGAGAAGCCATCCTTATGGAACGTATTTGCTGAGGTGGCGTTACGGAAGTTACCCCTGCTTTCCCTGGGTAGTACTCTTGCACTTTATGATAGTTGCGCCTTTCCAAAGGCTACGAACCCTCACGCTGATTGTCCTATATTACGCTTCCCCCTCCCTCTTCAGACGTAGGTGATGCTTTGGACCGCGGTCGTAGATATTCCAAAGGTCAGCCGTCGTCTAATTGTTGTTGACTTATTGGCAATAGATACAAAAGGTCCCGCTGGAGCACTCCTCACTCCTCCGCCGCTGGGGGCGGGATCTAGTGTATCTTCCAGAACGCTGAAAGTCTTAAGCAAGTCTCGTGATCTCCATGTTTGCATCGTTTTAGGAACCCCATAGGTGTCCTCGTTTTCCCCAGTGCGACAGGCAGGAGCTCAGCCAAAAGCCATTACATCTAAAGGGCGCGGAATATATTTAGGGGCAAGCAAAGCTCACTTTGGATCACAGTTAGTAATCCTCGCTTTGTGTAGTCCATCCAAACCGCATCTCACTCAACCACCAACTTCACTTCTGGTTTGATCGGGACGGCGAGGATGTCCCTGAAGTGATCGGGGAAATGATATTCCGGGGTAATCCTTCTTTATCAACTCTTTTTACGGCTAGCTCATGTCTTATATATCAGTCTCTACCGTTTTCCATGCAACGTGCTGGGCTCCTCATTTCTTTCACAGTTTCCCTGGCTACCTCAATCATGAACCAGTTGTGTTTGACACGTAGGTGCGGTCTTTGTCAATTCCAGTTTTGCGCTGGAGATGACCTCATTGCTTGTAGGCCCACCAGCGGATCAGATGCAACCTCCACTAACCTTCAGTAGTAGAGTCCGGCAAGAAGTCCGGGCCCCTACGATACTGCTCTCGCCCAGAGGCCCAAGATGGCTCTGGAGAAATTGTTTACAAGGCATGCCCGTATCCTTGTATCCATGCAAGAGAGCAGGCGATTGGGTGCCATGTTTCTTGCTTGAATATGCTGGACTCCGCGCCTCTACAACGGTGCCTGAGGATCAGCAGCTATTCCTTTGAGCCTCAACTGTGCCGAGAACGAGCTCGACGTCGTTGGCTACGAGATGAGGTCACATCGAAACTTGAAAAGTCTTTGCCGCTACCGCCCGAGCTGCGACGAGAGATCAGCTATTATCTGCTCCAAGAATACGCCGTCACGAGTACCAGGGCTTTCCTAAATCGCCACAAGGTCTTCAGTATTTCTGCAACTAGCCTCCCTCGGACCATTGAACACCACGTCGAGTTCGAAGGACAAATGTATCTCAGCAATCTGACAATCGATGAGGATCGAACCAAAGCCTTGGAAGTCACCAAAGTCGTCTACGTAGCTGAAGATCATCGAGGAATTCAGAAAATAGTATGTAGCACGTCTATGGATACGCCGAAGGTTGCCTATACTCCTGGTATATGGTGGAAAGCATTAGAAATCCGGCAAGCAGGCGGCATCGTGGAGTTTCATAGCGATGTATGAGGTCCCCCACGCTTGGTAGTCGTTGAACTAACTATCTCCCGAAGGGCATAAAGCTGCGCCATCTAACGTATAAGGACGACTCTACCACGAAGACAACTCGTAATGCTCCCTCATTTGCGATTCCTCAGGATCCCCGGAAACCCTTTCGCCTATACCAATTTCATAAGGCCCATTGCCCAGCACCACCTCGGATCAGAAGCTTTCGGTACAATTTCCGTGGAATCACCGGTCTTTCAGTCTGCTGTAACCCCGAGCCCCTTGCCCTGCACGCCCACACAGCAGATGATGATTTATCTTTCTACAAGTCGTCTCCAGATAGCTCGGTATGGGTTCATATCCCTTTTGAACCGAACGAGCGTATCGTGAGCCTTTGGATGCGACAGGCTCGTATAAACCAGCACTTGGCGCTTGCATTTACGACAAATCTGGGTCGCACACAATTGCTGGGAGCCCAAACCACGCCTGTTCTCTCAGCTTACCCCTGGGCCCTTTTAGATATGCCCCAAGGGCAATCCAGTCATTTCTTTTTCGATTCACATCCCGCGGGAATCATCAGCCTCGGTTTCGACTCCAAAGTACCAGAGCACACCGGAGCAAGCCCGCTTGTTCTCCCAAGGCCACTATCGCCACATCCGAACCCGGCGTCATTTGAGGGCTTCCTCTGGTCTCAGGCTTCTCTTGAGGATGTCGTCGAGATAACTGCATGCCGTGGAGCGGCTGCGACCAGTTCAGCGATCACAGGCCTATCATTCCGTTATGCAAATGGGTTATCGGCATGCGTGGGACAAGTTCGCATGGACTGCCTTGATCGACCTCTGTTGGTCACGTCTTCGAAAAGGCTCTATCTACGTTTTGAGAAAACAGAAGAAAGTTATCCATATGTATCCGAGGTTTTGCAATCTACCGAGAATCCGCAGTCGATCACTGGTACTGGTACATGGTTTGAGGTTTCTTGGGCTGATACCCTTGAGTGGTGGTACTCTTACAGACAGTGTCAGGTTTGGCAGAATGGGCGCTGGAGCTTGACGATGAGATGCTAGAGTTTTGGGGGCTTGGAGATATACTATTCTTATTAATGCACTGTTAATTTCTTTAAAACCTCGCCCTCTCTTCTATTAATATGCAGTACCTCATGCAATTTGCTGAACAAATCAAAGCTATAGACACGATAATCGATACATTCGTCCTCGCTCTGCGCACCACTGCCCCCTAGCCTTATATAGCCTTTTAAATAAGTCCTCTAAACAGGCTAAAGAGCTAGGCAAACCTGAGTCTGCCACTTATTTTTGGACACGGTCTCGATCGATTCGGGACCACAGATCTAATCATCTCTAACGAAGGAAAACATGGGAAAAAAACACAAACGCAAACACAACAGCTCGGATGGCAGTCCACCCCACCATCTACCCCTACACGGGCACTTGAAGGACTAGGCTGGGGTTGCTAAACGTAATTGGCCGGAGCTTCTACCCTTGTTCAGGCACACAACCTTGGATGAGAAATGAGATGAATGAGGGTGTTAATGCGGAGCCTAGGCTCATTGATGGACGGGCTGTGTTGTGTGTTTGCTGGTCATGACGGAATGTGACGCTAGAAAAACAATGGACGACACGTCCGGGGCCATACATATCTAGTGCTGCACCCGCGTTACTGGCGTCACCAACCAAAAGTCAACATTGCGATTGGATGTTATGCTGTGCCGTGTTGTTGTTATGTTGTTTGTTTATGTTTTTATACTTTTGCACAATGCGCTATCGTTGTTCGCATGAACCCAGCCATCCCATCCCATGTCAAGCTTCGGTAATTGATTGATTCAGTAACGCGCAATTGATGCGAACAAGCAAAAAGAAAGCCAAATTCGACGCCCAAAACCTTTTCCCAGTCTTCAATGCGGCCGTGAGAAGTGGTCATCTGCCTCTTTGCGGACCCGGTGGCGGTCACACACTGAAGCTTTCGCGCGGCTCACCAGAAGGGCTGGAAGCTCAGCCTATGGCATGTGCCAGAGGCTATGGCGCTGCGCCGTCATCAAACGGCGGCTAAGAAGTAAAAAAAGAGATCCATCGTAATGGCTTCTCCTCTCGGCGAGGCCTGGACTTGGACTGCAGGGGCACCTGAACCTATCACGGCCGGCGTTACGGCGGTGGAGGCCGATAGTCAAGGCCGGAAGCAGAGGGAGACGCAGGAACAAGATTATGAACAGTGCTTGTCGAGTGAGTGATGTGATGTGTCCATGTTAACAAGGCTCACCGTCATGCTGCATTGGTCGAATTCAGCATTTCGATATGCAGCCAGTGGGAATCACAATTGATCCTTCATCCATACCTCGCCTGGCCCCCGGCTCTCGGCCAGGGGACGAGACAAATCACACGGCCTGGGACAACCTGGGATGAGGGCAGCGGCTTGTGGCCTTGCCTTGACAATTCCCTTACCCACGTACGCAGTCAAAGTCAATGGCCCAATTAGCGCATCTCCGTATGACCCCTTCTCGAAGCCGTTTCACGGATCCTATCGTGGTCCTTGCGGCATGACAAGAATGGAATAACACACACATCGGCGGCTGGGACAAGGCCCGGATGTACTATGTAAGACATGAGGGCATGTCAATAAATGCACAGGAGAGTCAAAAAGTGAATCACTTTCTACTATCCGCGTACCTGGCTACATCAAAAGAGTCGGTCGGCGTTGCGAGTCTCAGTTCATGTCTATCCCACCCCGGCGTCCCACTCTCCACGTTCCACCACGACTCCACGCTCATCCCAGTCAATAAGACTCCTCATTCCCAGTTTGAGCAGCTCCTCAGCCAGCCCAGAGACGAAAAAAGGACCTGCCGTCAGCAGGGGGAACATTCACTAGCAGGATAGGTAGTGACCCTGCCCTGTCCTGGCCTGCCCGACTGGTGCTCTCGTGCATCTCGGCACGCGGCTTGACGCAGGTACAAGAGCAAAGCGCAGGGGAAAGGGAGGAAAAGCGGAAATCATCAGGTACCGTGCAGACCGGGCCATATCCACCACGGACAGGGTCTGGGAGCATTTTCGTAGTGACGAGTCGGTAGCTTCTTCAGCTTCAGTGCAAGGCAGCTCGACGCACAGCCCACAGGTTGGACCTGGTTCCCTGTTGTTTCTGCTGCTTGACCCCGTCGTCATTGAACGAGGAGAGGAAAATAAGGAACCAAGAGCGAGAGTAACGAAACGTACGTCCTCAGCTTCACTTTCAGCTCTCCCCCTCTCTCCCTACATTACCGAAACCTCGTCTTCCTAATTCCTCTTCCATCCTCTCCCAACCCTTTCTTTTCTTGTCTACACTCCTTTAGACTCGGTGCTACCACCACCACCACCACCACTCCCTCCTAATACTAACCAATACAGCATATCAAAGGGCGATAGGCCACTGCCGGACCGGAGGCACAAAGGGAGCGCGTCTAATTCTGGATGCCCTTTGCCAATCACTTTGCATCCTCGTCCCCTCGGCTCCCCAAGGACCGACTTTGCGCATCACTAGGTTCCTTCTCTGGACCGTCCATTCCTTGATAGTCGATTCCTTCTGGGTCCCTTTCCTCGACGTCGTCTTAAAGAGGGGGTCTTATTGTGCAGCGGCTCATTTCGTCAACCTCGGCCCTGCCATCTCCTTTCTTCTTCTTCTCTCCAGCTCTGTCTTGAAGAAGACTGCGAATCGCCTCTCTTCGACCTAGTGCACCTACGTACTGTCCCTCATTATCGGTTTTCTGTTCTTCTGAGCCGTCTTTTTTCCTTTCTGGCTGCTTTTACTTTGGTCAATCCTCTTTTTTCCTCAAGGGCGATCCAATTCCACACGTCCACCACCGCACGTCACCGCCCGCCGCCCTTGAAATCGGACGATCCACCCCAGTCGATTCTGGACTGAGAGAGACGTCTTCCTTCTCCTGGAATAGAGACTCCACCTGAGATTCAGGTACAATCTCACTCTTCCCCTCTTGTCTGTTCAGTCTTTCTTCCCACAGGACCTCGCCGTTCGTCGACCGTTCACGTCGCTGCCGTATCTGTGGTCGCTCATTTGGTTGCAGCGCCCACCCTCCAGCATCAGCCAGCACCAGCCTCCGACTATCGCCCAAACGCTTTCGGCCGTTAGAGTTCCCTCGAAGCGCCGAATTCCAATTGGATTGGGAATGATCAACAAGGTCACTGTCGCATAAGTCTCAGAGGCACATTCCAGCAGCCAGCGGCCTGAAATATTGCTGTCAGTCCTGCGACACTTGGAGGACCAGGGGGCCACTCGCTCGCTCCACTGTTGACCTTGCTTGGTACGACCGTCCGTCCGTCCGCCTGCCTGCGTGCTGCAGTGTAATAAATCATTTGCCTGCCTGCCTCTACGGTAAGGTACCTGGAATCACTCGCAGACGACAGGGTGCGTCAACAACCCGCCCGCCATTAGACGCACACGGCCTCGGCATTTCTTTCTGTCGAATACCTGCGACGCGACGACTCGGGGATTGTTTGTTCAATCCTTCACACTCATTCTTTGGTCCATTCTTCGTAATTGTCGGCTTCTTTTTCGCGCTTGCACTGCACACATTGATCCGTTGTTGGTTTTCTTCAGCCCTGCCTCGTTTTCTGTGGGAAAGTCTTTCTTTTTTCTTGCAGCCGGGTCTGCTCTCTAGTTCCAATCTCACGCTCCCTCACTCTCCCTGCAGCCAACGCCAACTCTCTTTGCTGCAATCTCACTGGTCACGTCTGCGGCACTGCACACGCCAGCTCTAATTCATCTCGCTCTGGTTGGGTACTTAGCAAGAGGTACCCCGTTAACCTCAGCTTTGAACAACAACACAAACACGTTTGACCTCCAACAACCTTCTCCCCCGCGACGGGCCTGCTACGTCGTCCGTCCGATCTCTTGATGGTTTCAAGGCGAGTCTGAGGAAGCTTTGCTTACCCTGACGAGGGTCAAATTGCTCTAGAGCAATCATGGCCTCATCGCTGGCTTCCGACAAGCCAAGCCTGCCCGCTCCTGGCGCAGCGCAATCTGATCCCTTCGTCGCCAGCACGCCCGCGCCCGCCCACCATCGATATTCCACCTTTGACCATGACCTCTTCATCGCCGGTCCCGCTGCCTCGCCCAGATCCGCAAAGCGCGCCCTCGAGGCCCATCTCGCCGAAACCGAGCGACGTCTGGAGGAAGCCGGAAAGCTGGGCACCGCGCTCGTGTCCCAGCGCAAAGCCCTCACCGAGCAGCTCCAGGAGGTCGACAAGTTGCAAACCGAGGGAGAACTGAACCCGGAGCTCCGCCAGAAGCTCGTCGACATTGAGAAGGAGTACAACAACTTGGCCAGGGAGTCTGCACGGGCTTTTCTGCCTAAACAGAGGGTCCCCAGCAATGAAGCTAATCCGAGCTCCCCTTTTGCGCCTGAGAGCAGGGGCGGCAGAGTATGTCGCTTTCGCATCCCTGGTTTCCCTGCTACGTGGCACAGCTAACTGACATTACTTTCTTCTCTATAGCGGTCAGTCAGCCCATCCAAGTTTGAGAGTCAAGCGACAGGGTCCCCCACCAAGCTCAGTGTTCCGAATCGAAAGATTCGAAACCAGCCCTCCAATCGCGTCCACGACATCGAGTTCGCCGCCGAAATCAGCACCTCCCTCATTGCCCAGGTCCGCAACTTACAAGCGCTGCTCGCCGAGCGAGATGAAGAGACCAAGGACCTCAAGGCCGACAAGTCCAGACTTGAAATCGAATGCGAGGCCTTCCAACAACGAGTCAAGACCCTTGACGAGAGTGAGAACCGATACAAGGAGGAGAACTGGAATCTGGAGACTAAGCTACAGGAACTGTCGGCTCAGCAGAAAGAGTCCGCAGACCGCGAGAAGAAGCTTGCTCAGGCTCTTAATGTCATCAAGACAGAAAAGGTTACAGCACAACGCGAGCTTGACGAGGTCAAATTGCACCACGCCAGACTCATCGACCAACACGCCGCTGCTGTCAAGCAACACGACACTGAGATTGGAGCTGTCAAGCGCAACATTGCTATGGCAGAGGGTGAACGCGCGGCCATGCAGCGTCGGATTGATGACCTGACCGGTCAGAACCAAGAGCTCGCCAGGGCCTTCTCTACGCAACGAAACAGAGTCATGGAGCGGGAGCCTAACTCGCGTCCCAGCGACGATGACTTTGAATCCGCTGCTGATCACATCACTCCCGAGCACTCGCCTCCTCAGTCTCCTATCAAGGGAACTCCTCGCCATGCTGTTCTTGAGACGGAAACTGTCAAGTCATCACTCCACCACGCCCAACGCACCATCCAGAGCCAGAGGAGTCTGCTCCATCGTGAGAAGACCGAGAAGCTGGAGCTTCGACGTATCATCCAGGACCTCCGTGACGATCTTGAAAAGGCCAGAACCGACGCCACTGAGCACAAGAGCCATCGACGATCCCGAAAGCCGGAATCCAAGGAGTTTAAGAAGCCACCGCGCCTGCTTGGCTCTTTCCGCTCCAGTAGGCAAGAGGTTGTCGCCGATGATGGTGATTGGGAAGACCAGCACGATGTCTCCCCTCGCGGCTCTCTCTCTCATGCCTCTCCTCGTCCTTCTGTTTCTCCTATGAGCACCAGCAGCCACACTATCCTCCCCAGCATCGAGTCTGCCGATAACGACGACCATTTCGACACTGCCAATGAGGCCAGCGAGTCTGCCTTTGAGACAGCCAATGAGCGGGCCACTGAGACGGAAGATTTCCAGACCGTCAATGAGCAGATGTCAGGAAGTGACGGCGAGACAGAGACGGAGGGCACAACCCGAGGCTTTGGTAAGATGAAGAAGCCCCCGAGTTTGCCCTCTGGCCTCGCTCGACATGCCAGCAGACACTCGTTCCACAGCACCGCATCGACTTCGGCTGATGAAGACGACTTCGCCTACCATCTCCGGACGCCTACCAGCACTATTGGATCCCAGAAGAGCACTCGTTTCCGCATGAACCGCAGCATCTTCCATCGTGCCTCGAGACAAGCCAGTCAAGAGCCGCTCTACCACCGTGCTTCCAGACAAGCTAGCGAGGAGCCGCTCTTCCACCGCATTTCTAGACAGGCTAGCGAAGAGCCGCCATTCCAAAGCAGCCCGGCCAGCTTTGCTAGCAGCCGTGGTGGAACACCTCAAGCCACTGGCCAGAGCCTCTTTGCTGAGCTTCAAGACTTTGACGGTAGTGACGACGAGTCGCTTGAGCCAGGCACACCCAGTCGCAGACGGGCTCGCTCTGGTACACCCGCCTCTTTTGGCCGAGGACCATCACCGCAACCTCCAGTGCCCCCGTTGCCCAAGGTCACCATGGTTGACAGCGGCAGCATGACTGATCCCATTAGTATCTTGACCACCTTTGAGGGGGCCGAGACCCCGCGAATGATCACCACCGGTGTCATGACGGAAGATGAAGAGTCGATTCCTGCTTCTCCTATTAGCGTCGTGGTCGTCCCCCGCCCTACATCCTTGGGGTCCGTGGTTGACCACTCTGAAGTCCGCAGTGTCATATCTTGGACCCATGAGGATCATCTTGACAACTCGCGCCCTATCTCCATGTCCTACAGCGACGCCGGAGCGCAGCACGATCCCGATATGGAGGAGAAGCTTGCTCTGTTCCCTGCTCCCCCGACCATGCTACCGCCTATCCTACCCCCGACCTTGAGCATGTCCTCGATCGCCTCCGAGGATATCGAGCCACGAGAAGAGGTCGAGGTACCTCCTACACCACCAGCTCTGACTTTCACTCCTCTCTCGAACCAGAGCGTCGAGCCCCTACCCGAACCTGAGATCCCTCTCCCTACCCTCAGCTTCTCGTCTATCAAGGCTGAGGATCTCACTCCCCGAGCTGAGCCTGAAGCACCTCTTCCCGACTTGTCTCTTACAACAATCGTCACTGAGCAAGTTGAACCCATTGCTGAGCCTGAAACACCTGTCCCAGAGCTCTCCTTCACAAACATCATCACTGAGCAGGTTGAGCCCATCGCCGAACCAGAGGCGCCTCTTCCTGACTTGTCTCTTACGGCAATCCTCACTGAGCATGTGGAGCCTATTGCCGAGCCCGAAACACCCCCTCCCGAGCTCTCACTTACAAGCATAGTCACCGAGCAAGTTGAGCCTATTGCGGAACCCGAGGTTCCTTTGTCCTTGGCCACAATCATGGCTCAAGAGCTTGAACCTGTGGCAGAGCCAGAGGTGCCCTTGCCAGAGTTGACAATGACTACGGTTATGTCGGAGACGGTCGAGCCAATCGCCGAGCCTGAGGTGCCACCTCCTGCTCTGAGCCTCTCCATCATCTCAGCTGAGTCGGTTGAGCCAATTGCTGAGCCTCCTGTTGAGCCAGTCATGTTCATCCCGCCTCCTCCTGCACTCTCCATGTCTGAGATTGTGGGCGAGCACGTTGAGCCTATCGCTAGCAAGGCCCCCCAACTCGCTATGTCTGCCATCCAAGGCGAGCATATCGAGCCCATTGCTCAGCGATCTCCTGATCTTAGCATGTCTGCGATCAGAGGTGAACATGTCGAGCCTGTGGCTGAGCCGGAGCAGGAGCCTGCCATTCCCGCAGTGGTTATCCCTCCTCCACCTCCAGCTCCAGAACTGAGCTTCTCTACGATCCAGGGAGAGCAGGTTGAGCCTGTCGCTACCAAGGCACCGGAACTTGCCATCTCCACCATCAAGGGAGAGTCTGTCGAGCCCATCGCGGAACCTGTCCCTGAGCCGATTGTCCCTCAGCTCACCATCTCGAGTATTCACGGCGAACATGTCGAGCCTGTTGTGCAGCCGATGCCTGAACTCAGCTTGTCCACCATTTCCCGAGAACACGTTGAGCCAATTGCCGAGCGTGCCCCGGACCTCAGCCTGTCGACAATCTCTGGACAGCAGATCGAGCCTATTGCTGAGCGTGCACCTGAACTCAGCTTGTCATCCATCTCAGGTCAACATGTTGAGCCGATCGCCGAGCCCATTCCGGACCCGGTTGTCCCTCGGCTCAGCATTTCCAACATCCAGGGAGAACATGTCGAGCCTGTTGCCCTTCCTGCCCCGGACCTGGTCCTGTCGTCTATTTCTGCGGAGTCTATCGAACCGGTCAAGGAGCCCAAGAAGGTGGTTCCTCCGCCGTCCTTGAACCTCTCTTCCATTTATGCCGAAAACTGCGAGCCAAGGGAGGAGCCTCAGCCAACCCCTGTCAAGCTGGGCTACTCTGATCTATCCACACAACACGTCGAGCCCGTGTCTGAGCCTGCTCCATCGCTTGGCTTGTCTGCGATTGCCTCCGAGAACGTCCATCCTGTTCTTGAGCCTATCCCGGCACCTCCCACACTTGTTATGTCTTCGATCGCTGCCGAAGGAGTGGAGCCTATCAGCCCGGTCGTCGAGACGCCCAAGGTACCAGTGTTTGGATTCTCGTCGATCGAGTCTGTTGAGACTATCCCGGTGGCACCCCGAACTCCCAAGAGAGACGGCTTCATCCTTCCTCGCGACATGAACTCTCCCTTCAAGGAGAGAGAAGTGCCCGAGACACCCAAGAACAAGACTGGATCGCCCCTTGGCCGGGAGATGGATCAAGATTCATCGTCCCTGATTGCTGAAGATGAGACAAGTCAATCTCCTGCTGACACTCCCGAGCCTGAGACACCTGATTCTCAGCGCCCCTTGAGGGAGATCCCTGCCAACTTGAACGGTAGCCCAACGCGCAAGGCTCTGGTCCCGACCAGTGACCAAGGTGCGCAGACCGCGCTGACGGCCGAGGCCATCGATGCCATGTTCAAGGCTCGAGCTCAGCCCGTCTTTGGCCTTGATAAGAGCCTGTCACTCGCCAGCCCCGGTACCCCTGGAACCGCTGGCACCACGGGTACTGTCAGAATCCGCCGATCAAGGGATAGCTTTGAGAGCCCCATTCGAAGGGGTTTGGAGGGCGACGATGTCTTTGACACTAGCCCCATCCGAAGACCCGGTAGCTCTAGAAGTGGTAGGGCATCCCTCCACGATGCTCCTCCTCTGCCTGCGAACCACCGCCAAGTCATCGAGGCCGCACGATCTGGTTCATCTCAAGGCAACCAAAGCAACATGGGCCCGCCTCTCTGGCCAGCGTCTGCCCTCCGACCGCGACCAAGCACACCTGGTCAGAGACCTACCTCGCCCATGTCCGCTCGCGCCACTCCTACCCCTCATGTTGTTCGCAATGGTGGTGGATATGGCGACCTTGGAAGACAGTCACCTGCTAAGCTCACTGACGCATCGCGAAAGTCTTCTCAGTCTTCGTTTGCCTCGGAGCTCGATTCTCGATTCAACATGCGCCCCGGCGAACTTGGCATTGACCCCAGCGGCTTCGGCCCCAATACTGATCCCCGCATGATCCAGGCTATCACCCAGACCATGATCGGCGAGTATCTCTGGAAGTACACACGCAAGACTGGCCGTGGAGGCATGTCGGAGAACCGACACCGCCGTTACTTCTGGGTGCACCCTTATACCAGGACTCTGTACTGGAGCGAACGGGACCCCTCAAGTGCTGGGCGCGCAGAGTTGAAGGCCAAGAGTGTTCCTATCGAGGCGGTGCGTGTCGTTACTGACGACAACCCCATGCCTCCAGGACTTCACCGCAAGAGTTTGGTCATCATCTCACCTGGAAGGACCATCAAGTTCACTTGCACGACCGGTCAGCGACACGAGACCTGGTTCAACGCCCTTTCCTACCTACTTCTCCGAACCAACGACGATGTTCAAGCTGATACCGAGGATATGGCGGAGCACTTTACCCGCGAAGATGTGGACGAGTTCAACCCTCAGTTTGGACAACGTGCTGTGAACGGAACCCGACCAGGAGTGCCGGCTTCCTTGTCGTCTTACAACTCCCGGACGACCCGCAACGAGTCACCGGCCGTGGGTGTCTCGATGAACATTCCGACCTTGACACCCAAGGCGCAGCCACAGCGACCTAATGGAACGCTGAGCAAGCTCAGCGGCTACTGGAAAGGCAGCCAACTCTCTGGGACGTTCTCGAGCCGCCGTGGACGAGGGGCTAGTGCGCAGAACGTGAACATTTATGAAGCTAGCGAGGCGCACGACAGCGCTGAGGATGTGAGGGAGATTATTGAGCGGCAGGATAGAGAAGCTGACCGCCTCGAGAACGTCCGAGCATGCTGCGATGGTAAGCAAGACGATGTGCCCATGTAAAGATTGAGATACTAACTCGACTATAGGCAAGCATGACGTTGGAACTCTTCACCACCACCACTTTTCGAAGCGAGGCCGACACGGTAACAACCACACGCACTCGCATCAGGGACTAATGGCGTCCCACACGACAATGGCGTCTCTTCGCTCTCGAGCGTAAGCAAGGACGACCAAATCAAACCAACTCAAGCATTTTTACTTTTGTATTCATGGCAACAAATTGTGCCACCACGTCTCTTGCTAGACTATTTTACACACTACCAACTGTTACGACCAAATATCCTCACGGACGTTGACGACACTCACGATTTTCTTGACTCTGTTATCAAAACGCTGTTGCATCCTCGAAATGAACCCGGGATCACAGCTCATGTAGTTTCTGAAGACTATAATCAGCCAACCTCAGCCATGCCTATGGCTACGACTTGCCAGACTTTCCCTTGCTTTGTTTTTTCTTTTTTCCTTTAATTCTTTACGCACACAAACTTAATCCTACCAATCGACACACGAAATGGAGGAGACGAAAAACAAACACAAAAAACAGAACCATAAAAAGCCATTGAAGCATACACACACAGCACGATAGTTTGCTTTACTACACCACTACCACTACCACCACTACTACTCTTGGCCGGATCAGCGCATGGGAAGCTGGGGGACTTGCAGGAGTTTGTATTTTTTGCGATGCGATGCAGGGGCTGTGTCAATTATGGTTGACGAGCACACCTGACATGCGCCGCGGCGCCTTGTTTCTGTACGAGTCGAACGGTATAATGTTTTCGAGGCTGGCGTGTTTTCGGTTTAGAAGGCGCCAGTTGTTCGACATTTCTACTTTGGACCAGATTGCGCAATGTTCTCGATGCCGAATGGTATCACGGGGGGGGCCCTGAGTCGACTATGCTTAGACGCGGGTGGTTCAGGGGCCGAGAAGAGCAGGACAGACTTGCAGATAGATGATGGATGGGATGAAGAAGTTGTTGCTAGGGGAAGTATTACCTATTCACGACTGAATGAGATTTCGTTTTAGATTGTTGCCCGATGTTTCTGTCTGGTGTGTTGTGTTGCGATGTGCTTGATCGATGAGTGCTATCCTTGACTGACAAGCTTTTCCTCCTGCCTATTCAACAAACTCTGTCGGGAAATACTAACACAGGAAAGTGTACGTCTCTCGAGTCTTTCTCCCTGCAGATAGTTTACTGTTTGTTGACATGAGGCTCTTTGATACAGATGAACGTGCACCTGATTCCCCACTGAAGCAACTACCAAAAAATAGGCGGGTCTCGAACGGTGGGGGAATCAAAGACCACGAGAGGCTGTCAGCCAGTGGGCTCATCACATGACGTAGGCAGCTGGTGTTGGTGGGAGCTAGCTACCCTTACCTGCCGAGTAGCTTCGCAGAAGCCGTGTGTGGGTGTCACTTACACTCTCGCCAGCCTATCAAGTAATTCCGCGTATAACCTTCCGTCCACCATCAGCCGCCTCCCCAACGGTCCTCGAAAACAACACCGACTGTCTTTTCTTTTCCTTCTTCACTTTCTTGCGACGTCCATGACACCTCCGATGCCGATTCCTCGCCGATCCCTCTAGCTAGGAAGGAGTCGAGGCTGCAGTGCCCCTCTATACCACCGCGCCGCACCTAGCCTGGCCTCCCTCCATCCGTTCACCTCCGGCCTTCGGAATCCGGAGCCATGGCTGGCTTCACGTCTCTTCTCGTGGCCTACCTGCTCGGAGGAGTCACTTTTGTTCCTCTCGTCGTCTTGTCCGTTCTCGCATACGTCTTCTACTCGTCCCCCGTTCGCAGCGATGCCGACCTCCCCGACGAACCGAGCGGCTACGCCGACATCGTCCACAAGGGCGACGATACGACCGCTCTCGACGCCGCCAAGAAGGCGCACAAGGACGAGACCCGGGCGCACGCAAACGATCTCGACGTAGCTGCTGGCTTCTTTGCCGTCTGCAGAGAGTATACACCCATGGGCATCAACGCAAAGCCTATCGAGCGCTCGACCCCGGTCGGTTCGACTACCGTGGCCTCTCCAAGTCCCAGTGTCTATCAGACGATGTATCGGAGCATCTTTGAAAGGAAACCCACCCCGGGACCCCTGGATAACAATGGGAACGGGTCGAGTCAGCGTCCCAAGAACGCTGGCAACGTCTTTTACGTAGTCCTGAGGTTCGTGTCGAGCTTATCCGGCCCCGCATCCACCATTGCTGACCGATGATGATATCTAGACACGGCCACCTGATGCTATTTGACGATGAAGAGCAGGTCGAGGTTCGACATGTTATTTCACTTGCACACCACGAGATCAGTATATACTCGGGCGGCGATAACACCCCCGAGGGCGAACTATTCATCAAGCGCAACGCCATCCGCCTGTCCCGAAGACAGGGCGGCGCAGACCTGGGCCCCGATAGCCAGGTCTCGAAGCCTTTCTTTCTCTTTTCCGAGAACTGTTCAGCTAAGGAGGACTTTTACTTTGCCCTGCTCAAGAATCAAGAGCAGACTTTTGGCACGGACAACCAGGTGCCCCAGCCTCTACACTTTGACGTCAAGAACATCATCTCCCTGGTACAGAAACTCCACTCGACTGAGGAGAATATTCACTCGAGATGGGTGAATGCGATGCTTGGTCGGGTTTTCCTGGGCATTCACAAGACGCGCGATCTCGAGAGCTTCATTCGTGAGAAACTCACAAAGAAGATTTCCCGGGTCAAACGGCCCGCATTCCTCACCAACATTGCCATTCAGGGGATCCACACGGGCGATGCGGCGCCATACTTTACCAACCTGAAACTCAAGGACCTCACCGTCGAAGGAGAGTGCGTCGTCGAGGCCGACGTCAAGTACTCGGGCAACGCTCGCATCGAGGTGGCGGCGACGGCCAAGATTGATCTTGGAACCAGGTTCAAGGCTCGAGAGGTCAACCTCGTTCTCGCGGTTGTCCTCAAGAGAGCTGAGGGTCATATGCTCTTCAAGATTAAACCTCCACCCAGTAACCGTGTCTGGCTCACTTTTCAGTCCATGCCCAAGATGGAGATGGATATTGAGCCGATTGTGAGCACCAGACAAATCACATATACCGTTATTCTCCGCCAGATCGAGAATCGAATCAAGGAAGTCATCGCCGAGACTGTTGTGTTACCGTTCTGGGATGACATGCCCTTCTTCAAGACGGAGCATAAGCAGTGGCGAGGAGGTATCTTTGAGGGAGATGATGCCACAGTCGCGTCTGATGATGCTGAGAGCATAGCGGCAACGGCAGGAGACGTTGGAGCCGTGAACCGCCTTGACGGTGAACCGGATATGACAGAAGAGACTCGTCCTATGGAGAAGAGCCATACAATACCCGTTATGGAGACTCCTCCAACACCTACCGGTCTGTTTGGCCGGAAGCACAACAAGACGGGCAACAATCCAGCGGCATCTGCTTCTTCAACGAGCGTCGACTCCAAGGGAGCAAGCGCTAGCCCTATTCTTGCGCCCAAGATCACCAAGTCCATGGAACCCATCGTTGGAACAGATGCTGCCCATGCCGAAATTTTCAAGCCGTCCTCACCACCTGATCATGCAACGAACTACATGGCTGCCTTGCAATCACGTTCACAAGATGCTTCCCCAAAGCCACCGCCTTCTACGGATTCTCCCCCGAAATCCTCAGCTGCATCCCAACGATCCAGCCGCTCTTCGTCGTCAGCGAAGGACACGCTTGGTGAGGTGTCGGAAGATAGCCAAAAGACACCGGTTGCGACGGGGCGTCGTAATACAACCTCATCGACTGGGTCAGCATCTCTTTCGGACGAAAGGGGAACGGGATCCTCATCAGCATCCATCAAGGAGTCAATCAAGAGCCAGACAGGCTCCTTGGGGCGCAACTTCTTCATGCGGCGAGGAAACCAGGAACTGCAAGAGTCTGATGAGCCAACTCAAGGTGATGGACCTCACGAGCACGGCCAGAAGCAGACAACTCTGGCTGCCGTCTCCAACGCTGCCATGCAAGCTAAACAATGGGGCTGGAATGCCTATCAACGACACAAGGAGGCGCGAAGACAGGCAGAACAAGCAAACCACCTTGATCTCAGCCAGCCCATGGGGAGAGGCCAACCACTACCTCCCCCTGGAACACCGCTTCCAAAGCCTACCAACGGTATGACACGGATAGGACCCCCTGTCAACGTTCCGGCAAGGAAGCCTGTTCCTTCTCATGGTTCTGCCGAGTCTCTGGACACGCATCATGAACATCACCACGAACATCATCACGAGAACCACCATGAGCATCACAACGATCACCGGCCTGCACTTCCCCCTACGTTGCACCAACGTGGTCGACGCAGGCAGAGCCATGCACCAGAGCCGGATATCGGTCAGAATGTGCTTGTTGTCGCTGCCCCCGACGACTCTCAGCCGACAACACCATCAGCAGAGGACCACTCTAACCGTCAACCTTGGGCATCAAGTGGCGAGCAAACTATGGCGAACAGTACAGTAACTTCTCAACAACCTTCGACACTGACTCCCGAGTCCTCCATAGTGAAGGATGACGGCAGTTTGGTCAGCCCGATAGAGGCACTACCCGCCTCCTCGGCCGCGGCCGACGACGATGACGACTACTCGGGATGGCTGGACAAGGACGCCTTAGACATGGAGATTAACGATCCTGTACAAATTCCTGTGTCACAGGGAGTCAAGTAATACAAAACACAACAACTTTTAGCAACAAAGAAGGGAATGGGGGGGAATGGTTAGGCGTTTTTGGGATACACGGGCTCGCTCGGGTTCACAAGCAGTCCCGACGAAGCAAACTCAATTCTTTTTTCTTTTACTTGATGGGAGTCATTAGGCGTTTTATATGTATGGGGGAAGGCATGGTTTGCTGCTGCTACGGACAGCGGATATACCTGAGTGCATTGAGTAGTCTTGTCCTCAATATCAGAACTCTGTTTACAATACTCATGAATGATTGCATCTCTTTGGTGACTTGCAACTCGGGCTAGATGATCAAGTATAATACTATATACATGCCACCTCGAAGCTAAACTTCAAAAAGAGACGAATAGATGACGCAACCTTACGCCTCGAAGACCAAGTGAGATGCCGAATTGCTCGTAAGGGCAGATGTTTGGAACACTACTGTGGTCATTGTTGGCCAGTTTTCATTGGCATCAATGTTCACTATCAGCTTGTGGACGGTGTCTAGATGTGACAGCAGGTAGTTGGGGTTAGTGATAGCATATTGACCATGTCTTCTTTCGCTGAGGAACATTGACGGTAGCAGCAATGGCTTCGCAATCCAAGGCCCAGACCGAGCACTACTCCATATTAGCCCTCATAGCTTGCTTCCACAGTCTCCTCCAGTCTCCTCCTCACCCAGTCCAAGGGTGTCATTGTAACCCTCACTATGAGAATGCTAGGGGTCGTTGACAATTGCTTGAGCGTTCCAGCTTAGAGCAGTGACCCAATCCTCTTGGGCTTCCCGAACAAGGCTGTCTTGCGTTCCTTCCCAAGTCTAGTCCTGATGTCTGCGGTAATAGTGATTTCTTGATGTCGTCATGATAGCGTTCTGGGCGGAAGAAAGGGATCACTAAAGCAAATCAAGCTGCTTCCAACTATTAGTTGAATCCTTACGCCAAGATATTGACCATGAATATGCGCCAAGGAGCTCAAGCGGAATGGGCCAGATGTGCGTTCCTCATGTGGCTCATCGTGCAGCATCCAGCGTGTAAAGATGGCATAGTGTCAGGGGCTCAGCACTATACATCATCTGTACGCCGCCCGCATAGGGCCTCGACAGCGGTCTAGAGCGAATGCTGACCATGTCACAAGCACGAGGGTGAAGGCGGTGACAGTCTTGGCCTGGTAATGTTGGCACTAAATGGCTCAATGGATAATCCAGCCAGTGTTGGCTTCAATGCCCCTGGATGAACTTGATTCGGTGATGGGGTACATGACTGAGAACTTCATCTCTTTAGGAACAAAGTCGAAGCAAGTTCCCCTTGGCCACCGAGGTCTTTAAGATTATCATGGTGAGTTACCCCAGGAACAAGAACACGAGGGAGCAGAAAGAAGCCGGGATAGGAACTTCATGCACTCCGACGAACAGCTTGATATGCCCGGGGCAGGCAACCTCTCGAGAGCAGAATGGCCAATATTAACCCTGGAATACAGGGCCTGAAAGGACAGTAATGACACCAAGGCAACCAACAATCCATGAATAAAGACTCAAACATGTTCTTATGCAAGGATCGCTGACTGCACCCCAACTTCGCCCGAGGCTGGTCTTCATGGGTTCACAGGTGGGATAGTACAAAGCCTTCATTGATTGTGAGGCCGTGACGCCGAGGACAAGCATATTGCTGCAGCTGCTGTCCTATACCAGCTTTGCGTCTTGGGATGCATTGATACCCAGACACTGTCCGTTTCATCACCCCGTTGGAGGTTGATTGCATCCACTCAAACCGAAAACAACGCCCGAGTGCCTGGACCGAATCTTCAGGGTGAGCGCAGGTGAGGTTCTGAGAGCTGGGGCAACCCTATGTCGACCCCTGCGAGCTTCATCATGTTCGATGCCGCAGGACAAATCGACGAGACTCGCGACTCTCATGGCAGCCTGGTCAGTGCCCGACTGGCATCGTGAGCGCGAGTACACATGCCGGCCGTGGTGTGCAGTGTAAGCCGAGGGTGCTCTCGGATGGTATCCCGATGCCACATTCTTCCCCTCATTGAAACAACGAGATGATTATCGTGATGGCTCCGTAGACCCGAGCTGGAGTGTGTGCATCTGAGCCGTATGAGCATGACCTTGATGCTTATTTGAGGGTTGTGGAAGGCCCATCGTAGGCAATGCAGAGGCTATCGCGGTTCTGTGTCACGGCTGATCACTAGACAAGAAACCCCCAACTTGCGGTCTGAGATGATGCCTTTGCTGCTGCCATCAAGTCTCTGGATAGAACGGCAAATGAAGACATCGTCAACTCTGGGCAATGTAGACTCAATCAACAGCTGGGCGTGCACCTAGGACATGAGTCGATCATGACGTTTCCCATGCCGCTGCCCCACGGGGATGCTGTTGGTCTCTAAAGGCTGCATCGCATCGCATCACATCACATCGATATCCTCGGTCTTCAATAACGGACAAGTGGGAGTTGAAGCCGGAGGCGGTAGGGCTAACCCAACCTTGTGAGTGCCGTTGGGGCCCATGTAGGAAACAATCGCCGGGGGGCAAAAATCACCGCGGGGAGCCCATTGGGTAGTGACTGTGAGTGTGTCAAGTCGACATGGGAGGTCAAAGGATGCGATGCGCAGGGACCGACTTGCGACACAGTCTCTCCCTCCCTGAGACTGCAATATGCAGCCCAGCTACCCGGCGCTGAGCTGAGCTGTACTGAGCCATGCTGATGGCCAGAAGCAGGAGGTGTTCAAGGGGTCCCCTAACCTCCCTCGCCGGGCTCTCGACCAGTGGCTTTTACGTACAAGGCTCCATCGTGAGTCGTGTTATTCCCCAGATTGCAAGCCTCTCTGCAGCATGTCTCCGCCAAGAATATGGGGTAGCGGGGGAAGACGGAGGGGGGCTTTCTTGGTTGCTGCTTGTTGCTGGCATTTGCCCTCTCCTTGTCCCTTGTTCTCTCGTTTCGCTGCAACCCCCTCTTCTCAACAAAGTCCATCCTGGCAACACCAAGACTCGATGCCATGTGCGTGTTCTCCTCGCCAATGCAACCTGGGCGCACTTTCGGAGCTTGTTTTCTCTCGTCTGGATGCTCCACCACAATAGTTCGTCTCTTGGCCCCCCAGTGCCAAGATAACTCGTCTTGAAATAAGCTTGATCAACAAGCTTGTGGTTCGTCTTGCGGCCAAGCCGACGACTTGTGGCGGCCAAGAGCTGTGCGTGGTCGGGGCAGACAAAGTATTGGAGGGGCCATGAATCATCAAGCGCTGCGTCGTGCCCAATCTTGTCGTTTAGATAAGACGCATGCCAGGATTGAGTTTGCGGTTTGGCTTTTTCTTTCTTTCCAAAAGGGACAGATGGAAGCTTGGCCTGCCGAGCCAAAGCTTGACTGACGGACAGACAAAACACAACTGCAGCACTCCATCAAGGTCAACCGACGACCTGGGACACCGGGTGACATGGTGTATGCATCATTTCGAATTGTTACTTGTCGTCTGGTTGATTCAGCGTGCGATATGTCCCGATCCGGTATCCCATGAGCCGTCATGTCACTCGTCTCATGACGATAGGGTGCCTTGTCTGGCGACATGCCGCTCCCGTACCGGCACCTGTCCAGTCCATGGTTGACAGGCGCGCTTATCCAAGGTTGACAGAGCCTGTGCCTGTTTGATACAGCACAGAGCTGAGAGCATCTTGAGTCGTCGAGCACGGGAAACATGCCGAGACACATGACGCCACAGTGACCATGACCGGGACGGGCCCTCTTCTTTTCGTCCAGCCAGGCCTTGTTGGGACCGATATCCATGGATGCATCATTTGCAAGGACAGTAGCGTATCCAACAGCCTGGATAAACTTGCCCTGTCGAGCAAGTATCCGCGGACAGCCGTCGGTGTCGCTCCGTGTGCGGTGCCGTACGGTGCGCCTCGTCGTTGTTTGGTGAGGCATTTTCTGTCCCCCAAGCGCCGCGCCGCAACCACTGACTGGCTACCGGCCCTCGCATGCCCTGACTGGTCTCCCCTCCCTCCAGCCTTCATTACGTCCTCGATAGGCGCTCGCTCCTGAGAGGTGGTGGCCGGTATCAGGTCCCGCAGCGCTGTAAGCGGCCGGGGCGGGTCTCGAGTCTCGAACATCGTGGGCTTCGTTGCCCAGGGTTCGCCAAGATGACCATGACCGCCGTACCGACCTGTGCATCATGGCACGCACCCTGTCCTTCTGCCTGTCTCCTCAACCAGGTGAGCTGAGCTTGCAGTAGTCGGAGTCTGTCTCCGAGATGCCATCACCTGATGCAGCTTCTCTGCAATCGATCTTGTTCGACATTGAGATATGCTCATTCGAGACGTCGTTTAGAACATGAGACATCACAAGCCGCTCGAAAACGGTCCATGCGATGCAGTCCAGCATTCAATGAATGAACGTATGGCTGCTGTCGCAGCTCCTGCTCCTGATGCACGCCATAACGTGCAGAGCTTCCCTTGACGTGCCCACATCGACAGATTCGACACTAAGAGACGATAGTTACGGGCGGCGCCGACGATGGCGACCGTGGTATCGCAGACGCAGACGCACACTCCCTCCCACTACCAGATCCAACCTCAGACGATCCCGTCGTCGCCCAGCATAACATCAGCTCCACGGGCTTGACGAGTGCTTCTGTTAGCTTGATGAAATTTCTTTTCATCAAGACCTCAACCTGGCCCTTGCCGTCTTGGGTGTAGCACCGCACGGGGAGGGAGGTCAAAGAAGGTGTGGCGAGATTCGGCATTTGCCCAGATCTTGAAAAGCTGGTTGCTCGGACCACTTGAGGCTATTCTCAGGTGCTCCCATGTCCGTCAACCCTGAAGCGACCAGATGCCTTATCCGCCACTGTTGGACGTTTGATGCGTAGCTGAACTTTCTTTTCTCTGACCCATTGAGATTTGCGGACAAACGGGCCAAGGAAGCCGGAGCCGAAGGCCGCATCCAGATCTCCAACCAGGGGAGACGCCACGAGGTTTTTGAAGGATCCTGAGAGGCTCCAGGAGGATCCATTGGAGAACTCAGAACGCCTCTTCCGAACCATATCTGATCCATTGACATACTGGATATCACGGCATATCCGTGGGTCAGTTCTGGTGGCGCCATGTTTCGCGTCTGAGGGATGCTCTGCCTGGTTATGCGATGCTCCCAACACCTTTCAAGTGAGATTTGAACGAGCAGCGACCCTAGCGAGGACCCCTCAGTCAAAAGCCAGGCCCCGTCGACAGAGCAGTCATGGGACATTGCCTGGATGAGAGACGCAGTTGCGCTTGCAGCATGCATACTATGTACACATACCAAGAGCTCTTCATTTCCGCGTTGAAAACCCGTTTGACTGCATCATGCATCAGACCTCTAAGAGAGCGGTAGCAGTTTGGGTGGAGAGGATGTGACTTGCCGGAAGCGAGCCAGTCGAATCTTTTGGGGATGAAGCAATCGAGCGTGGGGGAACATTTCTGTGTCTTGGGTCCATGTCGTAGCGCCGTCGATGAGTTCTTGTGTAAGTCTTGGAAGTCTTGGAAGTCTTGGAAAAGTCTTGGGAGCCCATTCTTGGCCATGATTGTCTCTCACTGCAACTTGTTGAGCAGTTCCTCATGGCCCATCACCGCTTGAATGATGGACATGTTTCACGACTTGGCAGCATTGAGCCCTGGTTGACAGGCGCCACGCATGTCTGGCCGGCCGTCTTGAGACGAGGTGAAGAATCGGCGAGACTTGGTGTGTCTTTCCTTGCAGACCAAGGTAACCAAGGTGTACCTTACATGAAGGCTGCGAGTACCCGTATTGCCCGCCTCATCCTCAACGTCCATGTCTCATCGGAGGGAGAGCGATACCGGGCCGACGACTCTGTGCTACACCTCCACGCGTCCATCTCTGTCTGAGATATTGTTGCTGTTGCTGTTACTGTTGCTGCTCCTGATAACCTCCTGATGTTCTTGGCATTCTTAAATTCTCATGTTCTCGGCCTGACTCTGATCCCCTGTCAGCCCAGCACGGATAATGATTTGCGAGGCAGATCGCGGCAGATCGCCATCAACCTTCAGGTGAGGGCAGAATGAACAACTCACCGAACAACGGTGTGGCAGAGCCCGTCCAACTAGCGTGTCCCATCCTTACCAAATTCTGCCAAGCATGTTGCGACACCGTAACCCAAATTGCCATGCCGAACCTCAAATGGATGAGCGAGGCAATGCCCGTTGCGCACTGTATCCTTTGGTAAAACGGAAAGGACGGGAGAACCCTAGACGGCAGCACTAATAAGTCATTCTTTAATCCCCACACCCAACTGTAAAGCGGATGCTATTGCTGTTGACAACTGTCGGTGATCTCAACAGCCTCGTCATGACGCTTTGTTGGCCCTGGACTGAGTGACCTGGCAGGGCTAACCGGCAATGAAAATCGGTATAGCAGCCATTGCGGTGAGACATTTGTTTGTCAGGGGTATTCGAGGACAAGACTTTGATCAATTCACTTGACACGGCCCAGTGGAGATGTTGTTAGTTTAGAAACCGTCGTCGATCCCTCTGTTTAACTCAACCCGTGCTCGTCTCCGTTTCTTGGACGGCCCATGATGGGTGGTTGATGAGCGTTCAGAGCAGGCACATGAAAAACAGCAACCGCCAATCGATGGTCGAGAGTGTGAGTGAGACACACAAAAGACTGGGGACCGTGCCACGGGTTATTCAGGGATCATCTTAACCCCTGGTCTCTCCGGGGCGCATATGACGCACTCGCACCCGTGTCCTCCATCCCTGCCCTGCAGAGGCGAGAAGATGGCTTGGCTGGGTGTGGGTTAGGGTGGGTGTGGAATAGAGATCCCGCACCGGACCGGTTCTGGGGAGCCTTTTTCGTACACGATGTTAGCCCACGAGACCGCTTTAAACACCAAGAAACAGCCGCTCGAGGCGCCGTAGGTGCTGGACGATGTGCTCGGTCAAGATCCAAGGTGGGCTGGAATAGACTGCTATCTTTTCCCAGTGTCCCGAAACCGACACCGGAGGCTCAGAAGCAACCGCGGTCTGCAGAGCCAAACGGCCACCGAGGAGTCCCTGGATTTGCTACTGGAGCAGCCGAGATCTCGGAGTCCAACCAACCAGGGCCACCAGAACAGGGGGAAAGACCGACAGGCTTGGCAACAAGGGACTTTGGCCGATTCTCCAGAGCCGGACAGTGCAGACAGGTTAGACCTGGAGTGCGACCCTGTTTTGCTTCGTGTCCTTCGCCTTTGAATTCGGCGGTAATATTGATGATGATCCTCACTTTGCTGGCGGCCTTATTGAAATGACAAGAAGCGTTTCAAGGTGACGTGGAGACTGCGCTTGGTACTGAGGCCAGGAGGCAGAGACAGACCGATAGTTTGACTCCGGCACGCCCCAGGCGTATCCCTGGGTGGTCTCAATTTGCTGTTAATCAATTCCCATGCGATTTGCGTTGCACGTACGTAAATGCCGCCTGCGAGACCTCTTATCTTGCGTCGATCAGACGGTGACGGCTGTGAGCTAGAATTCAAGCTTACTTGGAATAATCTCAAACCGCCGCGCAACGTGTCTCAATTCACGTCACGGCGAGGCGCAATGGAGCAACGACAGCACGCAGCGGCCGTAATTAGATGAACCGCACTGTATCTGAGATCTGTGTCGAGATGCACGACGTGTAGTTACTGCGTACACATCTCTTGCGGGCTACTCAGGGGTCACTGCCGGCAGTAATGTCGAGCCGAGGAATGATCATCAGCATTGCCGCAAGTTGATGTCGTCCTTGATGCTGTCGTGGCTCAGGATTCACCGCAGTTGCGCTTGGCAAACATAGGGAACGCGTCAGGCATGGCTCTGTCAATGGGCTTCAAGCAGTGAAGCAGACCCGGGAAGCCAGCCGGGTCCTGGCATGCTGGAAATATGCCGGCCGAGTGACATCCTGATACCAGAGCCGCATTGACGAGAAACATTGTGGTTGTCGAGGATCCGCGGCTTTGCGGATGAAAGGATGCGCGCGATTGCGGCTGCCCTGAGGTGCGCAACACCAAGCCCCCAACCAATCCGGTGCCAGAACAGATATGTAAAACCCGACAACATGGAGAGGCTCATGTCTGGTTGCAGGTTTGATGGTGCATGTTGCTGGTCTCGTGCTGTTGGCAAGAATTGCCGTTTCTCCCGACTGATGCCAATCAAATGGACCCTCCAAGGCGGTTGTCGCGGCGCATGTCAGCGATGCTGCGTTAAGCGGCAGCAGCGCAACCGGCCCTCACAGGGCGCGAGAAGACCGACGGACCTATAATTAATCTGCCCAGGTTCCGTCGCCGTTCTGTCTCCAGGAGTCCCCCTCGCTGCCAACTCAGGCGAGGCGGCTGAGCGGGTACGCGTGGATAGCGTTGCAGTGGTCGTCCACTGTTTCCAGCCCTCGGCTCGCGTGGGGCAGCCACTGCAGCATGTTAATGCAGTCTCAGCACAGAACCCATGGCGGACGACGCAGTGGCTCGTCGGTCTGCTGGGTTCTGGATTCGGTTTCTGGAGATTAGAAGGTGCGGGCTTTGAATGCAAGCTCAAATTGGCTGAAGGGCACGCGAGGCGACTAGGAATAGGGCCGCAGCGGTCAGGAGAGGGACTGTGAAACGGGGCCGACAGCAAGGAGTTCTGTAGTTAGACAATTGTTCTCCTGGTCCATCGCAGCGGGCGTCAGACGTCGACCAGCGAGGCAGGGCGAGACAAGGCTGGGATAAGGCGCGGGATTATTGACCGAGAGCCATTGCGCCTCGTCAGGGAGTGAGAGCTTCAGTCGTGAAATCGTGATGCATCTGAGTGGATAATGCCTGATGATGTGCAACGCATCGCCACGAAGGGCGTCTTCAATTCCTCGTCGGGGCGAGTGTTCTGGACGGGAGCATGATGTACTGTAACATCTGATGACGATGACTCCTCTCGCAGCGTCACGATCGCTCTCTGATGGCCTTGGCAGAAGCAGGGTCTCGGGGAGATGCTCGTGCTGGAATTGCCTGGGGGGGATTGCCATGATGCGGCAACAGATTGACGAGACAAGTGGGCAATTCGCAAGACATGAGCTACTGTGCTTGAGGTGGGACATTGACGAAGCAATCATGGGGCCAACAAGAGGCAACACCAACAAGAGTTCATGATCGTTCGAGACGTCTTCATGATATGCATCCATAAGTTGTTTGGGAGCGTGCAATTGAAGGCGGCGCTTACACAAGCCAAAGATGGCGGTGGAGCTTGTGCAGGTGGATGGCTGTCACAGGTTGGAGGAGGACGAACTGTCCATCTCGAAACGGGGAAAGTGACACCGGCTTGACAGGGAGGTCTGGCCAATCATGGAGCGCCAAATCAAAGACCGATTCTTCAGGTGGAAGGTACAGTGTGCGCGGACTACCGTTAACAGGGAAGGCGCGGGTGCGCGCTTGGTGCTCTTCATTTCAACTCACATGAGCTGCTGCATTGGTTGCAGACGAGCATGTTTATTTGGCTGTACGCCGTATTCACGAGGATGGGAAGGAAAAGGAGGTCAACCAAGAGACAACACATAACTGACAACAGTCACGTTGATTCAATTGTGCTGCAGAGTCAACAGAGCCCCAAGAGGCAGTTGAAGTAGCAAACTCCTGGGTCTTGGAAAGAAAACTGGGGACCTCGGTCGACCTGTAGGGGAGAGCGACCCTGCCCTGGGAGACTGACCTCATTACATGGGTGACATAAAAATCGGACAACAACACAGAGGCATTATTTGTCCTTCAGAGCATGACCACCATGCCTAGACAGCAATCATAAAGCAAGGCATAAGAGGCTCTTGGAGTGTTGCATTCTATCAGAATGTTCTTCTCTGGCTTTTCATCACTCTCATATAAGTCATTGGGCAATGTAGGAGCAGTACTTGAAGCAGCTGGCATCTTCACCCTCCAGTGTCTCATCTATTTCTTCACCCACGCCATCATCCACTGCAGGACACACCAATCTGCGTCTTGCAATGGATCTCCAGACGGAAAAGAGGATTCATCCACAGACTGACTGGGTCGCATAATTCCATGGATGAATCCATGTGGATTCGTTCAAGATGGGAGAAAAATCACGCACTGTGCTTATTTAGGTACGTATCCGTATTCCGCCAAGCAGAGAAGAGATCCATGGATGGATGGATCGAATCCAACCACTCACGTCCCGGTCCCCTTGAGAAGCACTGGAATTGATGGAACGCGTAGCAGAAGGCCGATAGAAGAGACAGTTTGACTCTGGAGTGTCCGACGATAGCTTCCTGTTTTTCCCTTGATCACCGGCACACTCTCCACTCAAGCCCACGTCAAGCCTCAAACCAAACCCTGAGCCACTTGTCAATCAGTCACTTTGTGTGTGCGTGAGTGCGAATCGTTGTGTGCGCGTGTATCTTCAGTATGCGCACGCCCCCTCCCCTTGACAAGGCATCCTCACCCCGGTCGAGTTCCCCACGTCCGCCGGCTGGTCCACATCCAGAGCAGGCAAGCCATAGAGGGTCCTGGCTTTGGTTTGGCTCTGGTGGGCTGGGGTGGTGGACGCTCAACAAGGGACCGAAATGTACG